GCGCTTAACGGGTGTCTTACGAGTGTTTAAGAAAGAATAATGGTTTGTATTTGGAATTCGTGACACTATTGAAATGGTGGAACCCTGGGCGACCCCAGACTTGTATAACTAGTTGCTGCGTAGGTATTCTATGTCTTGTTTGAATTGTGCGCGAGCATGTGCAAATGAGGCTCGCGAAACGGAGGCTCCTGTAGGTCAGATTAATTTGGTGAGATGAGGGAGAAGCTCGAGAGGCTCACAGTTCACAACTGCAGGCTGCGTACTGACAAGTTCATCAACTTCTTGTTCTTCGTCCTCGGTCATAACGGCGACATCAACTTCTCGTTCTTCCTCCTCGGTGGCGCTCATAACGGTGATCTGTGGGATGAGCTGGCTGCGACTGGGTCCAATGGGGGGACGTTGAGTCGCCTTCAACTTCCAGGAGGGAGGCGCAGGTGGGAGTTCTACGAAGACTCGGAGTCTGCGCGGATTAGGTGAAGTAGAAGTATTGCCCAGACGGGTCAACCCACGCCTATCTATCCGGCCATTGGCAAACATTCGTCGGCCGTGAGTGTGTGGTGAATGTGCAGTGGGCGCTTCTCCAACGATGACAGGGGCACGTGATTTCGCGAGACTTTGGCGGGCGTCCAGTGTTGGAATAGATTTGATGGTGAGGGTGTTGTTCTTGAGGGCATCCGCAAGCTGGAAGCCCTCAAGGGCGGTGAGGTCATGTATGCCCTTGCTCCTCGTGATTGTTGGACGTCTCTCGCCGGGCATGAGAATGCCCTCGGGGTAGTTTTCGAGTATGTACCCACAATGGGCTAGAACCTTAGGCAGAGTCTTCCACAGGATGGTTCCCCCTCGTCCATCCAAAGTCCCTGTATAATATTTAGTTGTCCTTCATCTTGATTTAACCATGACTCACCGAGAAGCGCTGTGAAACCACCAGCGATGCAAGGAATGCCCTCAAGCTCCCTCCATCCCTCAGGATCCCTGACCTCTCGCTTCTCCATCCACTTATCCAACACCACCTGCTCGTCCACCTTGTAGCGCGATGACACGCGTCGGAGTATAGAGTCGAGCTGGGTGAAATCCATGAGTAAGCAATGTACGGTGAGCTTAAGAGGGAGGAGTGCGGAAGAACGAACATTGACAACACATTGATAAGATGTGTTGTGCTTCCATGAATCCATCGATAATCGACGTCGGATGAAGTAATAATCCCTGAACATCATTTCAACCCTCCGAAGCCTCTCACGGGCTGTCCCCGACTCTCAACGAAGTTTTGTCATTCCTCCCCTCCCGTCTGTCTAACCTCCTGCGCCCTCAGATGCTCCAGTGCCTCGGGTGCAACAGCGTTTTGACTTTTGACTTCTTTTATACCCTCTTGTTCCTCTCTCGTCCCACTGTAGGTCGTTGTCTTGAATGCAACGGTGTTTTGATTTTTAACTTCTCTTCTTTTGCAGTACATATGTTTTGTCGCAAATTTACTATGTGAATCCCAATGTTTGTTGAGCGCTCAGGCACTATGAAAGCCTGGGGCATCATGAGCATTTCCTGCCTCCTGCCCTCCTTGTCGTCTCACAGGTCATTTTCCTGGTAGGTTTGTGCACTAGGTTGGTATCCGTCAGCTGATAACACCTCTATCAGTGTACTCATCATCGTTTAGCGCTTCTACCTCATCTTCATTGCTGCACAGGAAACCTGGCAATGTCACGCTCTAGTCCAGAGGCCCTTGACCCTGAGTCCAAGCAATTTGGCAGTGGTCGCTATGTATCTCCTCCTGCCGTCCAGACTCCAAGTCGACTGCGCTCGTGCGTTAAACCAACAGCCCGCGATTCTGGCCTTGTCAAAAATGCGCAGGGTAGGAGGGCTAAACTGCTCACTGAATATCTGGACGAGAGTGGCGAAGTCAATACTTCAAATCAAAATCCGACGTTGAACACTGTCCAGCCTGAGACAGGACAATGGCTTGCTCCCGTCTTGCAGCAAGAGCTCCAAAGCAACTTTGCGCAAGGTAGGCAGGGCTTGTATGGTGATTTGCCACGCCGAGCTGTGTTGCGTGAATTATCACGTGAACCTCAGCGACATCCTTCAGGCCCACGTGAACTTCCTCCCCCTCCTCTCGTTCCTCAGCAACCTCACCTTAACACCACCCATCCGCAACCAGGCCCACGTGAACCTCCCCCTCCCTTCATTCCTCAGCAACCTCAGCATGACATTATCCTTCCACAACCTCCCCTTGCTACCATGCAGGAAACACGTACACCTGTGGGGTTGAACAGCGGGCAGGATCTCCACGCTGCCCCACTCAACGCTGGACCGAGTACTGATGCTCTCGGAGTGCTAGGTCTTCCTCCCATGGATGACTTCGGTGCAGGGACTTCCACTACGTTCGACGGCACACATCGTCCATTCACTGCCGATGCTACATTCGACTTCTCCTCGCTTGATGTTCCATGGGATCCTGTGGGTGGGGACTTCAGTCTACGCAATATGTATGACGGTCGCACGGATTTGCCAGAGACACGAATCATCCCTCCCACGACTGCCAAGACTCCACACCAGCCTTCCTTTGGTACTCAGCTTTCCGGAGAAGATGCTCTCCTAAGTAATGACGATGCAGGAGAATCTTCGGCTGGTGCGCTGGTTGGCTGTAGGACAGATGAGGTGAATGCACTATTGGAGGAGAATTTCAAAGCTATCAACGACATATTCAACGACCTTGCCGCAAAAACCAGCTTACCTTTGCAGCAAGTCTCTCATGCGTATCACAAGGCTCGTGGACGCATTCATTCTGGATTCAATCATTGGAACACGTACGGCCATTACTTGAAAGTGAACCGAGAGCAGGAATTGCAAAGACTTGGCAATATTGAGGTAGCTGATGCTGCTCAGATTACGCCAGCAATTCGAGCCGAATGCTACAAGGCGTTCCGAGCGGCTTTTCTGGACTCATGGCAAGAAATCCTTGAGACATTTGAGCAGGTAGAGGTGAGGTCAGTTGGACCTCAGACAGTTTCACAGCGAACGCAGGAATTCAGTAAGATTTGGAGAAAAGTCGTGACCATGGTGCGTCCAACACTTCATACATCAAAATAATGTGCTAACCTTACTTTTAGGTGGACGCCGCTGCTGCCAAACATGGCTTCGAAGCAGTCTTTATCATATGCGGAAAGGTGGTCAATCAGGACATGTCACTTGGGTATATACACGAAACGCCGGGTGCAGAAAAAGTAAGTCATTCTTCCGTTCATATACATCAAAGTCCTTACTCAACACTTTTAGTTTTGGCAAACACGCTGCCGAGCTGACGAAGACGCGATGATTGGACATTTAAAAGCTCATGTATAGTAAGTCAATGGTTTCTTTGTAGACCGCTTTGTGAATTCTTACTTGAATTTTAGCAACCTTGCATCTCTTGCGGTTGCCGAGGACATGCATCTTGAAGGCGCGCCAAGCGCAAAAGAAAATGAGCCGCCACGCAAGCGAAAATCATCGAAAGTGTCAACAGATGCTCCGGAGGCCGTGAAAGATGACCCGGATGCTCCAGAGGTGCTCGATGTCGATGACTGGCAACTTCAGGTCGACCTTCTTCCACTTATCAAGGGTGGCATCATTGCATTACTCAGTAAGTATCTATTTCTCTTGGTATGTTGCTTACCGCTTGCTCATCATTCTCAAGAGGAAGTGGGTGGGAAACTCACTGTCCGCTCAGGCAATTTCCCGTGGAAGAAGCTCCGCAGTGACCTTGATCGTCAAGGATTTGTCATTGAAGGCTATCTGGAGGACATCCTTATGCCGGGAGAGACACGCAGCACCAGTGCGAGGAGTAAGGGGATCAACGACCTTGACAAACGAGAACAGATAATCCTCGCAGAAGCCTTGAAATCGGGAACACTGGTGATCAAATGTGGGCCCTCAGGTACATATTCATGGATATATTCTTAACCTACGCTAATTTCTTATTAGGTTCAGAGGACAAAGACAAGAGCCGACCAGTCATCATTGGGGAGGCTCCTCCACCACACTCTGCTCACTTACGTGGCCGGCGGTTGCTTGCCAATGGCATTATCGATTGTGAAGGACCGTCTCGTCTCCGGCCAAGTGCAGCAACTACCAAAGTCAGGAAGCCAAACAACAGGCAGGCTGCGCCCATCGCTTCTTCCATAGTTGTCGACGACGATTCTCCCACTTCCACCATTGTTCATCAAAAAAATCTCGTCGTTTCAGTCGAGATACCTCCTGCACGCCCTTCGAAGGTAGTTAAGCCTCCAAAATCACAGGCAACGCCCGCACCTTCCAATGTAATCACTCTCGATGAATCAATGAAAGCATCATCTGGATTGGAGGAAGACGACTCAGCATATGACGACGCCCCACAAGTCGAGTCTGACTACGAGGATAGAGTGCAGTCACGCAAACGCAAAGCAAAGACGACTGGTGGCACTCGCAGACTTAAGCGTCGTGTTCTGTCCAGTGACATTGAGGTGATCGAGCCGCAGCCCAAGGGCAAGGCAAAAGATACTGCATTGCAGAAGGAGAGGGTAAGGGCACGTTATCGCGAGCTCACCTCTGAATCTGAAGAGGAACAGAAGCCAGACGAAGTCAAGGAAGGTATGCAAGCTTCATTTCTGTCACCTTTATACGACGCTTACCATCGATAACATCTTCTCATAGTTGGTATACCTTTGCGACTCCGAGATGGTCCAGCATGTTCAAAGCCGAAGCCAAAGAAGATCGTGCGTGGTTCAACTGCAGCAGCCAAACAAGTTGCTTTCTATGAAGGTGGAATGCTTCATACGCACGAATCATCTAGAGCAGCAGGAGCAGCAGAACCATTGGGAACAATGAGAGCAGCGGGACCATCAGGAGTGACGTGAGCATCGGGAGCATTGGGACCACCGGGAGCAGCGGGAGTAACGAGACCATCAGGAGCAGTGGAACCATCGGGAGCAGAAGTAGCAGTTGTCGAAGGTGGGAGGCTTCATGCGCGCGGCTTGTCAAGAGCAGCAAGACCAATGGGAGCAGCAGAGCCACGCGACCATTTACTGCCTGCCCCCTCGCCTGCCCCCTCGCCTGCCCCATCGTCTGCCCCTTCATCTCCATCGCCTCAATATCAACAACGTCCACAGTCACTGATTCCATCTTTGCACAACCAGCGAAGCCCTGCCCCCGAAACCACACCATATAATTATGGTCATGGCAGAGCTCTTCCACCGCCTTCATACGGCAACATCTTGACGTGCCGCAAGGTCGGAACTATCCTCAGGCTGATCTGCGCCGTAATCAGATTGACTACCAATGCATGAACCAAGGCCCAGGTGGCAGCAACACCGCCAGTTACAGCCACACCCAGTACACTCCTCGCAACGACATGTATCCGCACCTTGCACCCCACCATGCTAACGTTCCACACGCAGAAGCTTATGATAGTACTCGTGTGCCTGCTCATCAGCAACGTCTGGAAGATTACGATACTTGTGCACTGGTACCTTCTCAACAGCAACAATATCCAGAAATTTATGGATGTGCGCCTACTCGTGCACCTTCTGAGCAGCAGCAGCACATGGAGAATTATGGTGCTCGTGCACCCGCTCCGGGTTATGACAAGCAACAGCACATGGAGAATTATGGTGCTCGTGCACCTGCTCCGACTTACGACACTCATGTGCCTGCTCCCCAACAAGGACTTGTGGCTCACCGTGATGGCAGGGTAGCATATAACATGGACGAACGTTGGCAGCCTCACTACGGGCCCATGGCGCATCAGGCCAAGAACGTACTACAAACACCCCGCCGCTCTAGTCAGAGGATGAGCCCTTTACCTGGTCTAGTTGCATACTCATCATCACCACCCCAGTCTGAAGGTAACTAGACGTCATCTCTTGCTTCTTGGAATGCTTCATTGTATCGAGCGCTCTTGTGTGCATATATGTTCTTGATGTTTCCGTATGTCCCCATCTCACTTGTTCCTCCTTTGATCGTGTGTTCTTGATGTTCCGTATGTTTATATCTCACCCATCCTTGCTTTGATCGGTAGTACGCGACTTCCTTCGATGATAGTTTACATACGTACTTTCATATTGCGATAAATCATATGTCTTCAGTTGAATGAAATGCTTTGGATGTTCACGAAGCTCTGCTAAATATGATGCATTTAAGGTTCGCGACATATGAACATTTAGAACAAATCTTAAATAAAGAAGGTCGACTCGTCCGAATTGTTGAACGAGATGCACTTGAGGCTCGCGAAGCACCGGGTATGAGGACAATTGGAACATCAATTCAAAGCCGAGGCTTGCGAAGCAGAGGGTAACGGATAGTGAAATGAAACTATTTAAGGCCAAGAAGACCATTTACAAAAAGAGCCCCTTCAGTGACAAATCCCGTATTATACGGGTCACCCGACCTACATAATATCCCGTGTAATATGGGCCAGCGGATTATGGGCCGATGTTATGTATATACCCGATGTTGACGGGTGGGCTGGGAGGAATATTATTTCCGATGGAGACGGGTGGGCCCATCTATGCTGATGTTATATATCATCGATGATAGCAGATGGGCTGGGAGAAATATTATTATGGAGATGGGTGGGCCCATGTGGGTAATATGTAGAGTAGGATTGACATATATTATAGACCTGAGGAGAGATGTATAGCAAATAGTATTATATAGACGTGTGGGCCGACGTATCAGTATTATTTTGTAGACGGATGGGCCGAGGGAGCGGTGAAATATTTATTAGATAGACGGGTGGGCCGATGTAGGGAAATATTAGATAGATGGGTGAGCCAAGGGTGGGGGTGAATTATTTATTACATAGACAGGTGGGCCGATGTGGGGTAATATTAGATAGACGGGTGGGCCGAGGGTGAGGTGAATTATTTATTACATAGACAGGTGGGCCGACGTGGGGTCATATTAGATAGACGGGTGGGCCGAAGTGCAGAATTTTACATAGACGGGTGGGCCGACATCGGGTAATATCAAGTACCAAGTACTAAAACCCAAAACCCAAAACCCAAAACCTGAAACCTGAAACCCGAGCCCTGAACACCCAGACTCGGGACTCAAGAGACTCAAAACTCAAAATTCAAAACCCAACTGGAAAGTCATACATTTTTACGAGTTAAGAAAATTCAAATTGAAGATGATATACATTTTTGTCATCTGGAAATACCGAGTACCGAGTACCGAGACCTGATACCCAAGACCCGAGATTCGGCACTCGGTAGTCAGTGAAATGAGTACAGAAATACATAAGATACTACACATTAGTGTCAAATTTTGACTTGTGAATCACAAGTCTCGAGTCTCGAGACTCGAATCACCGACTACTGACTACCAAGTACCAAGTACTGAGTGCTGAGTGCCGAGTGCCGAGTGCCGAGTGCCGAGTGCCCTGAGGCTTCCGGGTATTAAAACACAGATAGCCCTTGCTCTCAGGGGGTCATCAGAATTTAGATCACCTCAAACGGATGTGATTTGGGTGAGATATGAGCAAAATACTATATACCGGGTGAATTTCAGTATTGGAAGTTTGATGCTTTCGATGTTTTTGATGTCGGGTCTTGATGCTTTCGGGCATTAACATGTAGATAGCCCTCGATCTCAGGGGTGTGGCAAAATTTAGATTGTCTGAAACAGATATAATTTGAGTGAGATATATGCAAAATACCACACACTGACTACCGAGGGCTGAGTACCAAGTGCCGAGTGCTGAGTTCCGAGTTCCGAGTTCCGAGTGCCGAGTGCCAAGTACCCCGATGCTCTCGGGTATTAACACCCAGATAGCCCACGCTCTCAGGTGCCTGTCAGAATTTAGATCATCTCAAACGGATGTGATTTGAGTGAGATATGAGCAAAATACTATATACCAGTTGAATTTTGGCATCAGAAGTTCGATGCTTTCGATGTTTTTGATGTCTGGTCTTGATGCTTTCGAGCATTAATATGTAGATAGCCCTTGATCTCAGGGGTGTGGCAGAACTCACATTGTCTCAAACAGATATAATTTGAGTGAGATATTTGCAAAAAACTATGTATTTACTGACTACTGAGTGCTGAGTGCCGAGTTCTGAGTTCTGAGTTCCGAGTGCCAAGTGCCGAGTGCCCCGATGCTTTCGGGTATTGACACCCAGATCACCCTCACTCTCAAGGGCCTGTCAGAATTTCGATCATCTCAAACGGATGTGATTTGAGCGAGATATGAACAAAATACTATATACCGGGTGAATTTTGGCATCAGAAGTTCAATGCTTTCGATGTTTTTGATGTCGGGTCTCAATGCTTTTGGGTATTGACATGTAGATAGCCCTCGATCTCAGGGGTGTGGTAAAATTCAGATTGTCTGAAACAGATATAATTTGAGTGAGATATATGCAAAATCCCATATACTGACTACCAAGTGCCGAGTGCCAAGTGCCTTCCGAGTGCTGAGTGTCCCGATGCTTTCGGGCATTACCACCCAGATAGCCCTTGCTCTCAGGGGTCCATCAGAATTTTGATTATCTCAAACAGATGTGATTTGAGTGAGATAGGAGCAAAATACTATATATCAGGTGAATTTCAGCATTGGAAGTTCAATGCTTTCAATGATTTTGATGTCGGGCCTCAATGCTTTCAGGCATTGATATGCAGATAGCCTTCACTCTCAGGGGTCCTTCAGAATTTGGATCATATTTTTGCATCAGGAGTTTGATGCTTTCAATGATTTCAATGTGAGGCCTAGATGACTGTGTTCATTGACATGTGGATAGCCCTTAATGTCAGGAGTTCACAGAATTCATATGGCCTCACATGGACATATGAGGTAATGTAGGACATTCTCAACACATCAGGAGACACATAAATACACATCATAAGGCACTACATCATGTCTTCAATAGTCATACCTATGTGTAGTATGATAGTGTGATCTTTAATATACTGTTCAGGCTGACACTCATCAAGTATCACAGGTCTATTGTACAGACTTAGAATAAAATACAGTAGTCCTAACTCGATAGTCATTACACGATAGTCTTCACTTGATAGTCTAATATGATTGTTGATTACTACATAATACATAAGCTGTGAGGGTTAGGATTATTATGGAAGATATGACAGTCATGGTTATTAAGAAAGCTTATATTATGCCTAGCAAGTTAAGACTATTGAGTTAAGACAATCGTATCCTTAGTCTAGTAAGCACTGTCAAAGCTTGTGACCTTCTGGTAACCGTGTGGCAAAATCATATTTTGCTGATGTATATATCTTGTGATTGTAACTTTCTTGCACCAGTGCACAGTGATTGCCTTGAATTTCGAGTTTTTTTGTATTTAGAGATACATACCACTGACAGATACTGTTTCAGGGACTGGAACAGTACACTGGAAGCCAATCTATCATATTATACATAGGTGTGATCATAGCAAACCTGATGCAGTCCCTGATGATGTGTTTTTATGTTTCTCCTGATGTTTTAGAATTTTTCCCACACAAGGCTGACAACAAAAACATTGAACCTGTGAAGCTCAGACACACCCAATAAATTGTATTTTGCTCATATCTCCCTCAAATCATGTCTGTTTGAGGCAAAATATGATCCCCAACACCCCTTCGATAGTATATGCAATATATAAGGATACTAGGACAACAGGATTTATTCCTGTTGTGCTATGTGCTTACCCTTGGTGCAAGGCCTGACATCAAAATCACCTGATATATAATATTTTGCTCATATCTCACTCAAGTCTTATCCGTGTGAGACGATCTGAATTGTGACAGGCCCCTGAGATCAAGTTCTATCTGCTTGTGAATGCCTGAATGCATTGAGGCTAGACATTGCAAACATGGAAAGCATTGACCTTACAATGCTGAAATACACACAGTATATGGGATTTTGCTCATATCTCACTCAACTCTTATCCATTTGGGATGGGCTAAATTCTGCCAGACCCGTGAGATCTAGGGCTATCTGCATGTCAATGCCTGAAGGCATCGAGGCTTGATATCAATAACATCAAAAGCATCAAACTTCTGATGGTGAAATTCACTTGGTATATAGTATTTTGCTCATATCTCACTCAAATCACATCCGTTTAAGATGATCTAAATTCTGATGGGCCCCTGAGAGCGTGGGCTATCTGGATGTTAATACCCGAAGGCCTCGGGGCACTCGGCACTCGGAACTCGGCACTCGGAACTCGGCACTTGGCACTCGGAACTCGGAACTCAAAACTCAGCACTCAGCACTCGGTAGTCAGTATATACATAGTATGGTGCAAATATCTCACTCAAATTATATCTGTTTGAGACAATGTGAATTCTGCCACACCCCTGAGATTGAGGGCTATCTACATGTTCATGCCTGAAAGCATCAAGACCCGACATCAATAACATCGAAAGCATCGAACTTCTGATGCCAACATTCACCCGGCATATAGTATTCTGTTCATATCTCACTCAAATCACATCCGTTTGAGATGATCTCAATTCTGACGGGTCCCTGAGAGCGAGGGCTATCTGGGTGTTAATACCCGAAAGCATCAGGGCACTCGGAACTCGGAACTCGGAACTTGGCACTTGGCACTCAGCACACAGCAGACAGCTTGATTGCAACACTGAAGGCACTGAGGTGGATGAGGGAACACCTCCTGACAGTGATTGAATGCCTGAACGCATCAGGGCACTCAGCACTCGGCACTCGGCACTCGGCACTCGGCACTCGGCACTCGGAACTCAGAACTCAGAACTCAGCACTTGGCACTCAACACTCGGGACTCATTCACCCTGTATCTTGGATTGTGCATATATCTCACTCAAATCATATCTATTTCAGACTATCTAAATTCTGATGAATCCCTGAGATCTAGGGCTATCTGCATGTCAATGCCCGAAAGCATCAAGAGCCGACATTAAAAACATCGAAAGCATCGAACTTCTGATGCCAAAATTCACCCGGTATATAGCATTTTATTCATATCTCACTCAAATCACATCCGTTTGAGATGATCTAAATTCTGACGGGTCCCTGAGAGCGTGGGCTATCTGGGTGTTAATACCCGAAAGCATCGGGGTACTTGGCACTCGGAACTCGGAACTCGGCACTCAGCACTCGGCACTTGGTACTCAGCCCTCGGTAGTCAGTGTGTGGTATTCATTTGGCACTCAGAACTCGGCACTCAGCACTCGGTAGTCAGTATATACATAGTATTTTGCAAATATCTCACTCAAATTATATCCATTTGAGACAATGTGAATTCTGCCACACCCCTGAGATCAAGGGCTATCTACATGTTAATGCCCAAAAGCATCAAGACCCGACATCAAAAACATCGAAAGCATCGAACTTCTGATGCTGAAATTCACCCGGTATATAGTATTTTATTCATATCTCACTCAAATCACATCCGTTTGAGATGATCTAAATTCTGACGGGTCCCTGAGAGCGAGGGCTATCTGGGTGTTAATGCCCGAAAGCATCGGGTCACTCGGCACTCGGCACTCGGAACTCGGAACTCGGTTCTTGGCACTTGGCACTTGGTACTTAGCACTTGGTAGTCAGTGTGTGGTAGTATTATATTCATATCTCACTCAAATCACATCCGTTTGAGATGATCTAAATTCTGACGGGTCCCTGAGAGCGAGGGCTATCTGGATGGTAATACCCGAAAGCATCGGGGCACTCGGCACTCGGAACTCGGCACTCAGCACTCGGTAGTCAGTATATACATAGTATTTTGCAAATATCTCACTCAAATTATATCCGTTTGAGATGATCTAAATTCTGACGGGTCCCTGAGAGCGAGGGCTATCTGGGTGTTAATACCCGAAAGCATCGGGGCACTCGGCACTCGGAACTCGGCACTCAGCACTCGGTAGTCAGTATATACATAGTATTTTGCAAATATCTCACTCAAATTATATCCATTTGAGACAATGTGAATTCCGCCACACCCCTGAGATCAAGGGCTATCTACATGTTAATGCCCGAAAGCATCAAGACCCGACATCAAAAACATCGAAAGCATCGAACTTCTGATGCCAAAATTCACCCGGTATATAGTATTTTGTTCATATCTCACTCAAATCTCATCCGTTTGAGATGATCTACAGTCTGACAGGTCCCTGAGAGCGAGGGCTATCTGGGTGTCAATACCCGAAAGCATCGGGGCACTCGGAACTCGGAACTCGGCACTTGGAACTCGGCACTTGGAACTCGGCACTTGGCACTCGGAACTATCTAAATTCTGACAGGCCCCTGAGAGCGAGGGCTATCTGGGTGTTAATGCCCGAAAGCATCGGGGCACTCGGCACTCGGCACTCAGCACTCGGCACTCGGCACTCAGAACTTGGTTCTCGGCACTTGGCACTTGGCACTCAGCACTCGGTAGTCAGTGTGTGGTATTTTGCATATATCTCACTCAAATTATATCTGTTTCAGACAATCTAAATTTGCCACACCCCTGAGATTGAGGGCTATCTACATGTTACTGCCCGAAAGCATCGAGACCCGACATCAAAAACATCGAAAGCATCAAACTTCCAATGCTGAAATTCACCCGATATGTAGTATTTTGCTCATATCTCACTCAAATCACATTTGTTTGAGATGATCTAAATTCTGACGGGCCCCTGAGAGCGAGGGCTATCTGGGTGTTAATACCCGAAAGCATTGGGGCACTTGGCACTCGGAACTCGGAACTCGGAACTCGGAACTTGGAACTCGGAACTCAGAACTCAGCACTCGGCACTCAGCACTTGGGACTCGGCACTCAGCACTTGGGACACATTAAATCACATCTGTTTGAGATGATCTAAATTCTGATGGGCCCCTGAGAGCATGGGCTATCTGGGTGTTAATGCCTGAAAGCATCGGGGCACTCTGCACTTGGCACTTCGGCACTTGGTACTCAGCACTCAGTAGTCAATATATTGTATTTTGCATATATCTCACTCAAATTATATCCATTTCAGACAATCTGAATTCTCCCACACCCCTGAGATTGAGGGCTATCTTCATGTCAATGCCCGAAAGCATCGAACTTCTGATGCCAAAATTCACCCGGTATATAGTATTTTGCTCATATCTCACTCAAATCACATCCGTTTGAGATGATCTAAATTCTGACGGGCCCCTGAGAGCGAGGGCTATCTGGGTGTTAATACCCGAAAGCATCGGGGCACTTGGCACTCGGAACTCGGAACTCGGAACTCGGAACTTGGAACTCGACACTTAGTGCTCAGCACTTGGTAGTCAGTATATTTTATTTTGCACCTTTCCCAAGTACATACCCTTAATTTCAGAATGAAGTCCAGATGAAATCCAATGAAGTCCGAAGGACTTCCGGAGACTGGCTACTCTGATGGAGTGCTGGAGGACTTCTGGATGAGCACAGGAACCTTCCGGAGGAGTATAGAAACTTCTAGAGAAGTACAGGAAACTCTGGAGGAGTTTCACCTGCTGCATAGGGTCCGAAGATAAGACTTCTGAAGGTAAGCTTCCTAGATGGAAGCACATGGAGGAGAGACTGCAAGGGACAGAGTCCAAAGCAGGATCAGATAGGAGGAGTGGTCCAGAGGACAGGATGTCTGAAGGTTGCGCCATCTGAATGTTCAGATGTCCAAAGGTTATGATGTCTGAAGGTCATGATGTCCAAAGGTTACAATGTCCAAAGGTTTTGATATCCGAAGGGTAAGATGTCCGGAGATCCAAAGGTCCGGAGATCCAAAGGTCTGGAGGTCAGCAGGAGTGGACAGGATTATAGGACAGGAGAATAAAGGCTACCATGGACAAGGTCTGGAGTAGAAGCAAACAGAGGTAGGCTACACTTAGGTGGAGTCGGAGATAACAGGAAGTAGACATAAGTCTTGGAAAGACAGGAAGTGCCAGAAAGGCAAAGGTCCAGCTTAAGGAATCAATCCTTAAGCTTGGATAGAGATGGAAGGACAAATCCAAAGGTTTGGAAGTCCAGCCTAAGGAATCCTTCAGGTTGGACTCGGATCTCAGTACACTTCACTTGATTTTTGATATCCAGGACTCCATAGTCGGAACTTGAGTCTTGAATCTTGGGTGTCGGGTGTCGGTTGTCGGTTGTCGGTTGTCGGGTGTTGGGTGTTGGGTGTTGGGTGTTGGGTGTTGGGTGTTGGGTGTTGGGTGTTGGGTGTTGGGTGTTGGGTGTTGGGTGTTGGGTGTTGGGTGTTGGGTGTTGGGTGTTGGGTGTTGGGTCTCGATGGTCAGGACTCAATATTTGGGACTCGTTGGTCGGGACTTGATACTCGATTGTTGGGATTCAATGGTCGGGCATTGGGTTTCAGGACTCAAATCTCGGGCTTTGGGACTCGGGTTTCAAGACTCGGTAGTCGGGACTCAATGGTCGATTGTCAGGATTTGATAGTCAGGGCTCGGATATTGGTACACTTCACTTGATTTTCGGTAGTTGGAACTTGGCATTTGGCATTTGGTAGGCTTGGATGATGTTGGCTTTCAAAGATCTATTATCATATATTGCTCAATGAAATACCAGACGATCGGAAGTGTGCTGGACATCACATATTCATTTGTCGAGACCCGGGTCTCGGAACTCAGTACACTTCGCTCGAGTTCCACTTCACCCCTTTGCAAGGCTCCATGCCATACTACATCATTAGATGACTTTGAATTATTACCTCCATGATATACAACTAGCTGAGCTCCATCATGTCTACAATTATCATTCGCCTGGGCCCACCGTTTATATTATATACCCCTACGTCGGCCTACCCGTCTATGCAATATATGTCTACCATTGGCCCACCCGTATATAATAAATCTTTCACCGCTCCCTCGGCCCACTCGTCTACAAAATAATATTAATTCGTCGGCCCACCCGTCTAATATGATATATATCTGGGCCCACCTGTCTATGTGATAACAAGCACCCTTGATATACCCGGCTATTTGATACATATCTACCTTGGTACACCCATCTACATAATATCCAACTACCTCGGCCGATCCGTCTATTGAAAATTCATGTCCATCGGCCCACCCATCTACTTTACATATTCCCCACCTGGGCCAACCCGTCTCCATCGGGAATAATAACACTCCCGGCCCATCCGTCACAGTCGAGGATATATCTACCTTCGGCCCATGGTCCGCTGGCCCGTATCATACGGGATATTATGCACGTCCGTTCACTCGTATAATACGGAGATATGTTACTGCAATATGTGTACAAAAACCTCCCTGAAGCTCTGAGGCTGTAGATCAAGAAGAATGTGCCACGTCAGTCTGAAAATCCCAGAAGTATGTAGATCAAGAAGGCACCAATGTAAGTCAGAAGAATGTGCCAATGTAAATCCAAAGCTCCAGCCTGTAGACAAACAAGCTCATAGATCCAACGCAAACCTGAGCACTGACAAAGGGTGCAGATCTAGTATACATGGCAGTGAGCAAAGGACAAAGGGTATAGACTACACTTACTATGAGAACCTCCACGCGAACCTGAGCAGTGAGCAAGGGCAGGACAGCGGACAGCGCTGTGCGATGGAAGAAGGGTACAAATCTATAAAAATACCAGCGAGCAGAGGACAAAGGGTATAGACTATACTTACCTCGAGAGCCTCTGTGCGAACTTGAGTCAAAAACCCTCTCAAGGGCGGGAGCCTATTGTAGCACCTGGTGGAGACCCTCTTGGGCACAATGGTCTTTCAGCCTAGTTTCCCATGACATAGAAACCGGGTCTGAAAGGCCGTGGGAACGTCTTTGAAGTGGTGCCAAGGGTGATGGAAGACAGAAAACGCGATTCCAAAGTAATGACCAGGATTATCCTTCTGCTCTAGGATCACGTTGATCAAGCGTGATACGGAAGCCTGTAGGCATCGCTCATCATATAGATGTGTTGTGATGCAGACAACAGTGTCTTTGCGAACCCATGTGAACTCCTTTCTTTCCGGCTTGGGATGGCAAACGTGCCAAATGTGGTTGAACATCTGAGGAACGAACGCAATGCTGGCCATGAAGCATGCAATTGACCATTGATCATCCGTGACCTGATTGTGGTCCTTTAACAGCTCTATTTCATAAATTTCCTTGCCAATGGTCGAGCTAACCATGCACTGTCCAATCATGACCTCTAGCAATGTGACTCGAACGTACTCGTCTTCAGACAGGATCTCACTTTTGGCGAGCAAATCACTCAAAGCCACCTGAGATCCAGTGCACATCAAAGACTGTTATGTCATGAGGTCAGAATTGTCCACAACCGGCAGTGGGGGCATCTTGTACTTGTGCTCAGGGGGGCATCTCAATGAAGCTGTGTGGCCGTAATGATCTTTGGAGATATGATCTTCGGCGGCTTCGTCTCCGGACATGTGATCATTGGTGATATATTGGATAAAAGCATTATCATCTGGAAGGCATTCCAAGGAGAAGAAAGGCATGCCGCACACATAGAAGATATTGCGATCAAGATCGATCTCATAGTTCCAGTAGTAAGTTCCTGGCCGCTCCCGGGAGGGGGGCTCCAAGTCGAAATCGTCACCATTTTCTATCAGTAATAGAGAATGCGAAGGGCTCTTCAACCCATCCAGCATCTCTCCAAACACCTGTCGATAGGTCGCAATGGCATTGGGCTGTCATATAAGCTGAAGCACCTTTAAGCCAAGCCATTCTGGATAACCATCAGAACCGTGGTGTGATTGGAAATACATATTCCGATAGCGGACCACGTAGTACCCATTAGTACCCATGCCTGCAGGTAAATCAAAAGAGACTTGAACGATGGTCTCAAGCGTCAACTTATGTTGATGGTCAGTGTACGGGAAAAAAAAAGATTGGTTTATGATGAACGATTTTAAGTCAAGTCATTATGTAAGTACGAGTTCTGGCCGCTGAGTCCAAAGGTGATGTGTAGACTTGTGATTGACCGGCCATCAAAGTACCAGGTAACCAAGGTCAATTTTCTAGGGTTGAATTTGTTTTGTGTGGTACAACAATAAGCTATTAAATAGTATATCATTAGAACAGGACATATGCGACTTTCAGCTCCAGATACTCAAACACTATAGAAGAAACACCAATAACCTGGAAGTAGATGGCTGAGCGTGAACCACAGCTGGTATGAGTCCATTGTAAGCTTCACCTCGGTGTGCTCCCAAGTAATATTTTGACTCACACTATAAAATTTGCAGGACTGCTTGTCGGCGCCCACAGTGTCGTACATCACAAATCGGGTCCCCACATATGCACCATAAGCTACAAATGTGGCGGTAGAGAGCGCATCTAGCTTCCAGACATGGCTCAAGACAAATGACCACAGGGGAATGCTGACCATCATTGAAAGGCGTGCGGCATTAGGGAAGATTGTGGGCAGCGTGCGCCTCCAAGTGAGGCGGTCGCCCTCTTCATCCTTGAAGTCTTGCGCATGAAGCGTAGTCGCAAAGACTGTCGAGCTAAGTGCGACCGCCAAAGCACCGACCTTATTGATACGTGAGTTGTAAGAACCTGTACTGCTTGATCAGCAAAATGATAGATTGTCTGCAACTGAATAGATTTACCGACAGCAGTGGTTCCTCCAACCTCCGCACATCCGTAGATGATGGCTGTAAGTACATTCTTCGACAATCCCATTTTATCAGCGTGAAGTTCGTTGTACCAGATATTGAACACTGCAAAAACGGTGCTGGCCAGCAGTGCCTGAGTGCCATACCTCAACGACAACATCAAGCAGACTGGGATCATCACCCAGCGCATATCAGCTGCGCTGTCAATAGAAATGCGACCAGCAGGTATCGGACGGGAGGGCTTGTTCTTGCGATCCTCCTCCGGATCTTGGATCTGGTTTGCAAGATTGAACTGCAATAAGTGGAACCATATCCACAAAGGAGCATGCCAAGCGTGGATGGGATCATATCTGGGAGCCGCAGATAATGCGAATATGGTCTGAAAAATATAATTAAACAAGGGGGCGACACACGGAATAGTTGTCACATACAACAGGTATCAGAGTGGTTCTGATATCATTTTGTGCAAAAAGGAAGACCGTCTCGAGATGATGAGCGATGCTACCAGTGCGAGCAGTGAGAGCTTGAGAGAACATAATGAATTTTTCGAATGCTCAGGTTGTGCGTCGGGTCCAGGCCTTTATACCTTGAAAGTGTGCTCAAAACAAGCGTGAACCGGTACGGCAAAAGTCATGCTGGAAGTATACAGGAACTCGAAGACTGCTTCCAAAAGTCGCGGGATTTCGGGACACCAAACCGGTTGTGAATCACTAGTCCCTGAGTCACTCAAGGCTGTAAAATCGAAACTGCCTCATCTTTTGGTAGGGAAGATGGGCAACGCCGACTTGGAAGAATTCTATGCAGAAGGCAAACCTGATGCTGCCGTTATGCATTCGTGAGAAGTAGCACTCATAATTCTCGGAGTACCCCTGAACCGTCACAGCTAGAGACAGCCCCAGAGTCAAAAAAAATAATCTTATATGGGCAATATGTGCTACTGGGTAGATAAGCGAAAGATTAGAGCACTCGCTGCATAGCATTTGACCCTTGATGTGCTCGCATTGTTGCTATCCTATGGCTATAGTTGGTCAACAATTGGTAACATATTGTAGTACTAGTGCACTCACTATCCAGAGAAGAACGATTGCCCATACTCTACAGAGCTTGCAAGATCACCGTGCAGTACACTTGAAGCCTGCAGATATCGAGGACTGATGCAGTTGAACTGTAGGAAATCATTGGTTAAGCAGGCACTTGAGAAGTCACATTGAACGATTCCATGATCAGTAATAAAGGAACTGACATTTGACTTGAACTACCTCCAGGCACGTGTTTACCGCAACCTAATTGTGAGCTTACAGTCCGGGTAGCGCCAGCTTGAATGGACATGACCTACTGATAAATAATTACAGAAAAGAACGACAGTGTTGGAAATGGCTCCCGGCTACCTCGTGGTGAGATTTTCGCAGTACTGTGAGCCGCTACCCTCCAAGTCAAAGGTCAATGGTCAATATTTGACAGTGTCAACAAAGATCAACTGCAGCTACATTGGTATTTTGTTGCACTATGTAATTAATAAAAGCTGAATTACGGCAGGTGACTTATAAGAGGATATGCACCACAGAATACTCTTGTCTGTGAAGAAAGAATCCACCATAGGTTGTCGCCCGAGGGAAGCTATCCCTGGGGCCAGAACGACTCTCAAAAAGGCTAAGTTGGATAGGCAGTGACTTGCATGGCTGGCTTGCAAATGATCCACCCTTTTTTCACACTCCGCTAGACCGTTTGAAAGCACATGAGTTTTAATGTCACAAAGTTTTCGTGTCCAAGTACCGTGACGAACCGTTGTAGAGACTCGCGTTTCTGCAGGCACATATGGGCACATTTCGCACCTTTTCACAACTCATGACAATTGGCCTGCAATGCACGACTCGCACCATCAGCTATATTCGACTTCTATCATGTCCCTAGTCAGTTTTACACATAACGCGCAGCTTTCCCGCGAAACGCGCCATAGGCGCGGTACTTTCCCACACAACGCGCAGCATTCCCACATGCGCACCTTGCGCGCTTTCTCGCGCTTAAGCGCCCTGCATCGCCCTTCATCGCCTATCATCCAGGGACGTCCGTCTATGTCCATCCACCTCATTGGTACATCATATCCCTTGCCTCGTGGTTTGTAACAAGCATTGCAGCATTATTACATGTCATTACGTATTCATAGCGCTTACTGCTCCTATCCCTTCCGCTTCCGATGCGATTTCCATAGTATAAAGTTGCTGACTTACTACACCATCATTATTACTCCCCTTTGCTGTACTTCCCTCGCTATTGGGTTTTACCTTAGAGTAGTAGTCACCACTTGGGCGCACTTTGTGTTTCCAATGGTTATCGTTATCCGCCTATACTAGACCTTTATCCGCACTCGTTATAACACTCGCTCTGCGTTTGCACTCGCTTTGCACATCCGCTTCCTTATCCGTTTCCTTATCCGGTATTTTCCGCACAACGCGCACCTTAGCGCTCACGTTCCCACGCTCGCGCTTACCTTAGTGCGCTCTCTCATGCTTCGCGCTCACTTCGCTTTTCTTCTTGCGCTTTCGCGCATCCATCACACTTCAAGGGTCTTTCTTTCATCTGGTTCTGTGTTCAGTAGCAGTCCCCTTTAGGGTCGAACGTTCTTGCATTCTGCGAGTATAGCAGCTAGGCAGAGCCAAGACTCACTTATACTGGTTGAGCATTTTTAGATATTTCATATCAGCCCAGCCAGGTTGAGATACCCACACCGTACAACTCGAATCATCGATATCTCTACCCCTGGTATGGTTTTATTCAACCGGTCTCCCTTGGGCAGACCTTACACGAAGAAATCTGATTTCGTTCAATCTACTAATGCAACTTACCATGTTAGCTTCATGAAGGGAGTGCTAGCTAGTGCACTGAGTATCTGATTCGGGCCCTCAGGGAGGCATTCATTGCCAGTAATGAAGTCCCGGCTCACATCGACTAATCTTCGCGCAGAACTACTCCGACTGCTACTGCAGTACGCATTCAACTTGCCCTTCCAACACGTTCCTCGCTATGATCTTCACCTGCCGGTAGCACCATCTCAACTTGAACACTGAGGATCCATTCATATTCTCAACGATTGGATCATTAACTGAGTCCATCTTTCCCATGGGAAATCTGATAGTCATGTGTGCTTTGCATATTGTCCTCTCCCCGCCACCGCTGCCAGAGTTGCAGAAATCCCGAGTTCCGACGAATGTGAATTATTACATCTCACTCAAACACTGCACTGATCGACTCCACTCCACTCCTCATCGCAAGGATAGTTTCCTGAACCTTTCCAAAATCCTTGCAGTGGTGAACCAGCACTGGAAAGATGAACCTGGGCGATACAATTTATGAAGAACTGCGTGCCCATTCGACTGGTTTAGACTGGAGGATTGTTGATGAATGACGTGTGCATAGTTATTGCCTTCCAACTGTCTTCCTTTATTGGTCTACCTATGAGAGACTAGCGATCGCCAATTGTGAGTTTCTGTCATCCTTTTTCGTGAACCTTCAGTCTGAGGAGATGTCACAGATCCAGCTTGCGCACTACCATCGAAAAGTGGGTGTGTGATGAAGAAAACAACCTCGAGGGATCAGATGCGTCCTCTAGGTAAAATATCTGTATCATGGCCTTTCCATGCCATAGCAACCTCACTGTACACTTGGGGTGTCACGCATTCCGCTTCACTTATCTCCCGTGTTCGTCATATCGCTGTTTTGTCCTATATCTATATCATGATGAAACTACTCGTATAATCATCAGAGATGTAATGGCCGGCTGTTAGTATTACATGTATATGATCTATATGATGTTCGCAAATGGCGGCTGACCCTCCAAAAATGACGTCCATCCTTTAAGTCTTTCTGGCAGAACATAGAATGGCTTGTAACTGTACAAGCGTCGCAGAGGCACTCCCATCTCAGTGCACAAAGACCATGTTTCCATGAAGCATCATGCAGCTAAGGTGAAGTCACCATGCACAAAGGCAATCTCCCCTAGTCCCCGTTTGCTGTATGCCTTGAAATTAAGATGTCCTTGGATATCGCAACCTTCAATGGTGGCGATGAAATGAAACTCGGCCCTGTCGTATGCGCCTGCAGTGAGCTCGATGCAAGCTGAGCTATAAGATCTGACGAGAAATACGAATGCAGTGTGGAGCGCAAAGAATTGGAGTAGTCCCGGGGCTGGGTTGATGAGCTCTCTCACAAGGGCATGATTTCCCTGCTTGCTTGCAACAAGGGCCTTCAAGATGGTGGGGATATCATGTGAAAGTTGTCCCTCGTTCTTTACGATTGTCTGCAGGATGTCCATGGCTTTGGATAACCTGCCTTCGCAAAATGCTACCTCCGCAAGTCCTTCAAGTGCGTCTCTGCGGACGAAATCTCCAGAACTTGTGCATTGCAGGAAAAGGTCTTCCAAGTGCGTGTTCACCTGGACAATGTCTCCCCCATAGTAAAATTTGGCCCGCCAGCACCACAGCTTGGACCGCAAGCCCCAGATATCATCTTCTGAGGACTTCACAAATAATTCATCCATAGATGTTGCGGATGTGTACATCCGGGCTGTATCTAAGAAAAACCAAACCTTGGCTTTCGTTGATTTACTGAGATATTCCCACGACTGGAGCGTTGAAAGCCCTCTAAAACCTGTTGGGATTGAAGGACACGGCCTTGACATCTGTATATGTCTGCACATGCAATAACACATTCGGCTGCCATTTCATGCTTGCCGGTGACAAGACAGAGTGCCCCAGCAGCTTTGAAGGCCTTCATGGACTCTGTGTGCTGAGAAAGAGTCATGTAGAGCCAGCCAAGATTCCACAGGCAGTGTGCTTTGGGCGTTCGCATGGAGGAGTTCTCGACAATGTTAAAAATAGCGGGGGTAAGGGAAGTTGAGAGAGGGAGATGGCACTTCAAGCACTGCAAAAATGTCCAGCAAGCGGGATAAGTCACTTCAGGGATGTAGGGGAGGTTGAAAGCAATAACATGCTCAATGTTGAGGTGATCCGAGGTAATGATATCAGCATGACCATCTCGTTCTTCTGAACACTGTCTGACAGTATCATAGTAAAAGGTGCGTATCTCTTGCAAACATGTGGAGTCAGGTAGTGGCAACAAATCTTGCACATAATGTCGAATGGGTGCGAGCATTTTGACGAAGCCGTCTTGACGATAAACAAGAGAATGCCTCCATAAAACATCACATATAGTGTCAATTTGCAGGGTGGATGGCAAGATACGCTTGGACAGGGCCTCGTTGAGACCCTGGGGTAAGAAGGCAATGATAGCCAACGCATGCCAAACCTCCTCTCCGAGTTTCTGGATTGACGGCGAGCTGAGTGACAGCTGCATGGTGTATGACAAGCTTTGCAGCTTTCCCTCGCCATGGTCCAGTACCGCACTGTGCCGATCCTTCCATCTCTCCATCAGCATGACCGGAGACCAACCGTTTTGCTGCGCAGCATTTGCAAGTAAATTGATGGAAAGCAGGTGGAAATCTAAGTCCTGAAGCAAGTTTGTTATATCTCCCTCCTGCATTTTTATGACTGGCTAGGCAGTAAATTCGAAAGAATGCCTCCTGAGCAGAACTCAAATCCAAAGGCGGAATATCCTTGGTAATCCATGGTACATTCGGTGCACTCCTTCTACTATGTGATGTGAGAATCAGGATGGTACCAGGGACGCATGTGATTTCAGCAATGACTGATGGTATTTTCCCGAGCGCCGATGATGCACTGGCCTCTTCAAAGGTCTCAGCATTGTCAAAGACAACAAGTGCACTTGAGGAGCGAAGAAAGGTAGATATTGGGCGCAAAGTATCAGTGCCGGCGATCTCTATGCCCAGGGCTCCCGCAAAATGAGCCATAAAAGTTTCGAATGTGATAGTCGAAGGATCCAGGCCATTGTAAGTCACGAAGAAGCGCCTATCAGCAAATTTTTCGATGGTAAGTGGCTCATGAAGGATGGCTTTGGCAAGAGAACTCTTTCCCATGCCTCCCGGGCCAATCAATGCAACATGTTCACCATTGACAATGATGGTCGTCAACTCTGCCATGAGATCATTGCGGCCATAAAACATGGAAGGTCGTGATGGAGGCTCAGTTGGGTGATACCTGATTGCATTTAAGGACATCCACAACCTGCAGAAAATAACAACTTACTTTAGAACATTGACACCGGTTGTATTGCCAGTTGTATTGCTGTCGAGTCCTAAAGCGAGTCTTTCCACCCTCATAGCAACGCCAGTGATAGCTTCAGTCTTGAGATGACATTCAGCAGCAGAAGTTCAGGTCAAATTACAGAGACGCACATTAAAGAGTACGAGGACACGGTCTATGTCCTTTTCCCAACTAGCAACCTGGTCACGGTCAATTGTGGCAGAGAAGAACCTCTTCAACAATCCTTTTCCCTTCCTTGAAACTACTTCATTATTGATATCGTTGACTGATCTGCTTGGCGTTATCAGTTTCTGGCGACAGTGAAATTAGTTTTGCCTACGAGTTAAGCTCCAATAAAGCATGTGCCAAGTATCCTGGTAGATTGTCGTCGGTAATGTTTTTGGTCACTCTTTCAAGGATTTCCCAGATGGTCTTGCATTTTTTGACTATTGCCAGGAAATCGGACTTGTTCTTGATCACTGACTGTATGGACCTGAGGATCTTTTACACTCATTTTCGAGAGTTACACCGACGCACCTGCACAATCATCAGGATATTGGCGACTGTTCCAAGTATACCTTTCGCCAGGTTGATAGGTACGAGGTCTCGTGTGACGTTGATGGCTGCTATAGTGACACCCAGCAATTGATTCATATTATTGTCGTCCTGGGACTCCTTGGTTTCAGAGGAGGATTGTTTAGCATTTGGGCTGTTCTATTTTAGATCAGATATGCAGTAATGACACCTAGATGTGCTCTTTCCTACCTTTGGTTTTTTGGACCTTTTCGACTTTGGGCTTTTGGATAGCATTGCCTCAGCCTGAGGTCGTGTGGCAGATCCTGGACCGTATTCCAGTGGGTTTAAGTCAGATATCGAGTGAGCGTCGACGCCTGCCTTAAATCACCTCGGATGCAAGCCACACGGCGTGTTGACGGTGAGAAACTGCACAGCATAAATTCGTAATGTACGGGCGTCTGATTATTGATACCATCCTCTGCTTCCCGCGCAGAAGAAGCCTACTAATCAACTCTCTAGTTGATTGTTGCGCTTGCGCTGAGCGTTCGAAATTTCATACTAGTATTCGCGTTCAATGTTGAAATCAGCCGCACGCGATAAAAGAAACGTCTTGACTCACCATCTCTTAAACTCTTCCTCTTGACATACCGCGGTATCAGCTCTGTGAAGGACACATTCTTTGCACGCCCTCCGAGTTGATGATATTTTAGAAGCACGCCCTGATCATCCGAAGAGATGATCAACTTGATACAGCTGCACCCGCATGCAACAGTTCCCCGGGCCCATGTGGTTCCCACCTTTGCACTCTCCCTTCCCCGTAGCTCGCCGTGTACCAAAGAAGACCATGTCGCCCTCTCGGTTCATGCAGACTGTTGAATTAGTTGTGATTACATTCACTCATTCGTAGAAAGGTCACAGTTTCTCCTTCGCAATACCTCTCCCCTCCCAGCTCTTCTGAGACATGATAGCAAGGTCTTCCTGTCTGTTTGCCTGGGTATGTTGTGGTGTCGCTTGTCAGTGGACGCTACATCTTGATGATACACTCCGAGCTCAGCTTGCCACAAACTGCCCTGCAGGACAAACTCCTATACCTCATACCCAGTGCAATACAGGTGTCAAATTCCAAATAGGTCCAAGGAAACGAGCGGAAGATTGGAGAAGGAGATGCTAACAGTACTAGTAGAATCGCGTTGCAGTTGTTATTCTAGAGCACAGTGTCTTCTTAGATAGATGATCTATAGATAAACACCTATAAAATCAAATATCTCCACAGTCAGTGATTCAGACAAATACCAATGACTGATAACGTGGACGTTCGTGGGTGGCTGATTAGCAATACCTAAGCCACTGTCAGCAGAAGGTGCCTAGTGAGGTCAGTAATGTGAGCGATCAATCCAACAATGCCTGGACAACAGGAAACAACAAAAGAAACAAGTATACCTTCTCGTACCAAAAATATGCCCAATGGCAATCTTACTACAAAGGTTCATGCGAAGCTACAATGGTCACTCCCACAACGCAAACAGGTAGGATCACTGGTCAGGACTAGTCAATGCTCAAAGAACTTTCAGTACTATTGAACCTGCTGTCAAGGAACTCGCTTCGAGTATTAAACAGAAAACAGGAACGGACGTCCTTGGTGTTCGGCACCAAGTCTCCTTTCAATAGCTAAAGCCATATGGCAATGAAACCCTAGCTCAGTACCACTACTCAGATGTGTGTGGTCAAGCACACAATTATCAACTTCAAAGCTCCCCCACTAAGCTATGCAAAGTCTTAGGTGGACTAAGGAGACAACACAAAAGTTGCAGAAAAAAAATAAAAGAAGAACTCGGAAAAACAAACAAACAAATGGAGGCAGTACCAGGCTTGGTGGTTGTGGAGGATGATGAGCTCACACTAATGGTGTCTCACAGAAGAGTACCTTCACCAATCTTCAACAGCTCTTCACTGTTGTTTGGCTACAGTCACACTTCACACTCAAGTACTAGGGGATAAAAAACACTTTTTATATTGAGAGAGAAGGGGCTCTTATATAGACAAAATTTAAGGGCTATGCTACCAGTACGTTAAGGTTCCTGTCAAGTCATCCCCAGTTAAACTGAGTCATATAAGCTGGTGTGAGTCATACTGAATCAAGTTGAATCTTTGGGAGTCACTTCAGATGGTTGAGTCACTTGGTATATAGATGAGTCATCTTGACTTGTTAGTCATGTGATTTCTCATGACAAAGCAGAAAAGGTCTGGACACTGATTATGTAAGGTACCAGTCCATGTGTTATGTTTGTGTTTGTTTATTACATTTTCTGTTAGGGGCTGAACTGGTGTGGTGCTTTGTATTTAGGGTTTCCTGCATGTTCCCACAGGACAACTTGTGTGGGAAATAATTTTCACAGTCACCTGACATGTGAGAAGTTCATGCTGAGTCATTTTTAAGCCAAATGAAATGAAACTGAATCCAAGAATAAATCTTCAAAAATATTCATTCCTGTAAACCGGGTTTGCAGAAGAATGAGGAGAAAGAAGCAAGTCCTTTTCCTGGGCCAGGCTTCTTATGAGAATGTTATTCAGCCATGCACCAGACTAGTTTGGTGCAGGTCAACAGTACAAATAAAAAGGCTAACTTAGCTTCCCACAGTGGCTAACTCGGACTCCGAGGAGGGGCTGGTCGTTTGGCAGTACTGAGCAACTGGGCCTCAGGACTTGGAGATCACGTTGCACGCACCAGTTGTGATGGATGATATTCTGTATATCATTAACTGTAGCACACGTCTTTGCCGTAATTCAAGGAGTTTCCCACCACCAATTGGTTGCAACGTCTTCTACCTAGTATGATCCAAGTTACAACATCGACTATAGTCTATGAAGGAATCAGGGGACCCATCATACCCATCTGTACCCGTGGATCGGCTGAACATGCCACTGAATTGAAAGCGATGTACCGTGAAATCTGAGGGAAGTAATCATACTCTTCAATCGTCCATCCCAAAACTCCACTCCAACATCCACAACAGTGGGAATGCCGGCTTTTACAGCTGAAAAAGATGTAGCATACAAAGAGACGCGTAACCCCCGCAGATACTTTGGTTTTTCTTGAGGAACAGCGACAAGGCGATGGCCACAGAGGTGGGGATAGCGGAGCACCATCGAGGCTGCTTCACGGCATAGTCTTGAGACCAATCCGAGGGCAACGAGCTCAAAGGGGTGGAGATAACGCGCAATTTCTTGCCAAAGCTCAAGAGGCAGCATTGGACAAATACTGCCGAGTGGCATATCAGCTATCTGAGCAAACGATTCCACCTCTTCATTGTAATCGATGTACCGTTTGTAGTAATCGCAAACCTCCACAGCACGCTTGAAGAGTGCGGGGTTGATGCGATAGCCAAGACAGGCGAGAGCAGTAATGCCTGGCGTAGAAGGTGAATTTGCAAAGAATGATGGTAAAAATTGGAGGGCGCTTGTGTGGCTGAATGTCGTTGTCTGTGCGTTTTTGACGACTTTGACAATTGCGCAATGGAAGACAGAAAACGCGATTCCAAAGTAATGACCAGGATTATCCTTCTGCTCCACGATCACATTGATCAAGCGTGATATGGAAACCTGTAGGCATCGCTCATCATATAGATGTGTTGTGATGAAGACAACAGTAGTGGGACTCAGAGTAGAAATTAAAACGTCGCTAAACGTCGCTAAAGCTCGCTAACTCTCGGTTAGAGTTCGACGAAACTCGGGTAAGGACTGCAAGAACAGCCACTAGGATATGCGGCACACTCGGCATCATAGCGGACTTCGAAAGTTATGCCTGCCACTCGACCACGACCTCCTCGTCGTTCTGCACTGACTCAAAGCTGCTGCAGACGCCCTCTCGAAGAGACAGAACCTCCATGGACCAAATGCCAGGGCCTGTTACCCGTGGAAGGGGTGGCAAGTCTCGAGGTTCGCGAAGTACTGCCAGCTCAGATCAGCCCAAGTTTCAGATACAATGGTTATCTGCGCCGTTCCGTACCCAGAAGGTCGTCGACTACCTCCGCGACCACTCAGCTGATTGTCGGGTATTATTCCCCTCTGAAGTCAAACAATCGCACCCTGATGATGGCCGCCCCTCGGCCAAAGATAAGCTTTCAATTTGTGCCATTATCGCCAAGCATGTCTTCGAGGACTGATAGTGACTATACGGACCACTATCCACATGCACCGGATAAATTCCGTGACTCTACGAACAATCACATCCAGTCGTAAGTTTACCCGCTAGTCCTCCCCTTATGTACTAACATCTATCTAAAGTCTCAAAAAAAAATATCGTGAATGCCATGATCGATTGCATGCCACTGGTGCTGGTGTCGTGCCACAGGACGAAAACACCACTCAGAATTTACGTGGTATGTGTCCCTTTCATACTTATGATATTCTAACTGATAAATTTCACAGCACAAGTACTCAAAGAATTTCCGTGGTATGACGATCTTGCTATCATCTTGAGGGGCAATCCGGCATTGTCCCTCAAGACAGTCTCATCACGCCCAGGAATGGACCACGCCGCCAACTTTTTCTCAATCTCTCATGCAGCTGGGAGCTCATACTCTAATGGCCTGAATTCTGGAAGCGCCCAGTATGGCTATGCCCCTGGCACTCTTCCTCCTGGCACTCATCCTCCTCCTGGCGCTTATCCTCCTCCTGGGGATTATTATCCTTCTTCCAGCGCTCATTCTCCTTCCGGCGCTCATCTTCCTCCCAGGGATTATTCTTCTTCTGGCGCTCATCCTCCTCCTGGGGATTATTCTTCTTCCAGTGCTCATCCTCCTCCTGGGGATTATTCTCCTTCCGGCGCTCATCTTCCTCCCGGGGATTATTCTCCTTCCGGCGCTTGTCCTCCTTCCAGCGCTCATCCTCCTTCCGGCGCTCGTCCTCCTCACCCCAACACTCAACATCACTTCACTCCAACCAGCAGTCAACATAGATTGGGTCACGTCCCTCAGCCCTATCAGATGGGCCACCGCGAGGAGTACGCGCAGCACCCTCAGTTTCAATTGCACAGCACGCCTCCCCCCTCTGACTCTCTTCTCGACGACGACGAGGACATCCATATGCCGGATTACTTTGGCCCCCTCGATGATGACGAGGGGATGGATTTTTCATTCGGCGACCTACCACCACGAATTCCCCCGGTGATGCGTGATTACCGGGAGGAAACTAATGTTACCATCCTCAATAGTCCGCCTAGGCCTACAAGATCTAAACGACCACCTCCTCCATCATCCCCATCCCCCCCTATCACTCCCCCGCCTCAATCAGAGTTCATTCTACCGCCGAAATCGCAAACTGCCCTCCGTGACAGTCGCAGTTCCTTTGCGCTCGCTGATCTGAAGAGACCAAGCACAGGGTCAGCCAAGCCTGTCTCTCGCCGCTCTTCAGGGTCGTCGCGGTCTAGGCCGCCGTCAACATCATCAGCGCCTGCGTCGACATCTCCGACATCTCAAATTGCGTCCTCCGTGGGAGGACGCAAGCAGACAAAAAAGGCGCGGTCCGATATCCAGAGCCAGGTCGATTTTCTCAAGGACGAGATCGAGAATGCGCAGTCGGATAGGATTACGAGGGAGGAACTGAAGAACGAGCGATACCTGGTAAAGTACAACCTCGCGCGTCAGGTAAACGAGCACAAATTTCTTAAGTCCGAACGTGCCGATGAACATGTGGAAGCCGCCGCTGCCCACCAACGTTCTTTGGAGGCAAAGAACTCCGAGATCCGCCTCCGCGAGGCAGAGACCAAGATGCATGATGCATTGGCACATGCACATGCTGAGGAGGCGGCGACGCTCCGCCTTAAGATTGAATACGCCCGGCTTACTAATTCTTCTGGGTCTTGAGGATGTGCTATTGTACTGTTCATACTGCTCATATGTTACACATGTTACTACTTTCTGTTACATTGATCTTTGTGTATACTAGCTTGCCAATGGAGTCTGCAACTATTCCCCATCTCCTCTCCTGTGTGCCTTTGAGTGAGGACTGTCCAATAATAAATCTTTCAACCTCTCTCGATGAATGTGACCAGGAGTCCCTTCATACAACCTATCACCCACCTGCCCATTCCCATCTGGTCCTTCATCTTCACCATGAGCAATGTTATTGTCCTCCTGACAAGCCCATTTCACTGAGCCCCTATTTCCTGTAAGATTGTGCTTTTCTTCAAAACGGATTATCATGTTGTGAAGTATCAAACAACACTGAATCCAATGGATAGCTGCCTGCAGGTCCTCTGCCGAATTGATATTCTGTCGAAGATCTCGAAGGGATTGGAACCGCCCTTTCAATGCAGCAAATGCATGTTCAACACGGACACGGACCTAAATAAATTTAAAATGAGGAAAAATCAGGGGAAAAAATTACAAACTTTGGAAAGATAATAATTGAATGTCCTCTGATTTGCTGTTAGCCGTCCATTGCGGGGCTTCTTGAAAGGGGGAATACACCAGGTGTTCAGTGGGTAAGCACTGTCTGCCCAGACCCAGTGATCAGCTGGCAGGAGCGTGTCGTGCTCTTGATAGATACGAGTGGATTTAAAGGCATATGCATCATGGACACTTCCAGGGTGACCAAGAGCATAATCAACTATAAGAAGATTGTGGGGCATAATGACTGCCTTGAATTTTTTTTAATTTTTTAACCATAAATAAATAAAATAAACTCACTTGACAACCAAGGGAATACTTAGATTTCCTATCATAAAAAGCCTCATGGAAAAAGCCCGGAGTTGCATACAGATCAACTGTGGTCCCGTCAACAGCTAGGATCCCATTCTTCCACTCAGGGCAAGTGGTAGCCTTTGCAGTATACTTCCGAGCAAGCTCGAAATCCTTTGAGTTGTGGGGAGGGAAGGACATGAAGGCATCATGCTGGTCAAGCAGTGCGACCATTACACGGTTAGTGCAATTGACAACAGAGCCAACACTAACGCCCGCCCATTGAGACACATTCAGTAGAGAAATAGAATTGCCATAGTGGCCAGCACGGTTGAGAAAAATTGCCAGCTGAATAGCAACGGGAAGCTGGGGATTGTTTGAGTTGTTGTGAAAAATAGGATGGTCAGAGATTAGATCGAGGATCTCGTCAAAGATTTCTGGGTCCACACGTAATTTGTGACGAAATAAGAGAGGGCGGTGTTCACCAAAATGAACAAGGAGGTGAAGCTGTGGGGCCCGTGGCATAGGTTCTTCAGGCCTGTGAAGCACACGAGCCCTTAAAACTTCATCCCGGAGAGTCGAAATGGCATCTTGAAGGCGGTTGTAATGGGCAATAACATGGTTGTCGTCATCAGATGAGTCGTCAGAAAAGTCAGATGAGTCGTCCGAAAAGTCAGATAAGCCGGAGAGGACCGGAGAAAGAGGCGAGGGAGGGGTAATCATAACATTCAAGAAAATATCAAGCTCCGAGTCGCGGGTAAGATCAAAAGAGTCAAAACTTGAGATAGAGTCCATAGAGTCATCTTCCATGACATGCTGATATTCTGCCCTGGCTACCACAAGGGCAGCCAGGTCAATATCATTCAGCATTTGTGCACGGGTGGGTTGACGAGGCATGATAAGGATTGGGGGAATCACACCTCCTATCTAGCGTGTATATGTGACGTAGCTTGTAGCGGAGTTTGAAATTTCGGAATAATCCGACGTTTCATCTCACGCGGTAAGTTGGCGTCGTTCTCGAGCTCACCTTGCACCTCAGCACCCAGCACTTAGGCCACAGGCCTCAGGCCCATCATAGCCATCAACTTATCAGGTGTTATGCATGCAAGGTAAGTGATTTTTGTACTTTTCTTGAGCTCACTAACTGTTGCTCTCATCTAGTTCTATTTTAGTCTTATCAGACTCAGACCCACCTGCCAGCACGCAGATCTTCGTCGAGCCCTCCCTCGTGTCTTTGTGGAGGCACGCAGATCTTCATCAAGTCCTGCCCCCCGCCATCTTCATCAAGTCCTGCCCCCTCCGCCGTCTTCATCAAGTCCTGCCCCCCTGCCATCTTCTTCAAGTCCTTCTCTCTCCTCCCCAGCCCCTCAGCCTCTTCCTCCCCAGGTGCTCATCCTTTGCTTCCTCTGGTGCTTACCGTACTGTGGGACTTGGTTTTTTTATTGTAATTTTGTAATAGCTACTCATAATAATTCAACTACATGTACTGTTACATGCTTCGCAAATCCTAAGTGTCGTTTGAATGTCCGATGTCGTGCCGATGTACGCCGAGCATTACTCAGCTCTGTTTGTTTCAGCCTTACCCGAGTTTTGTCGAACTCTAACCGAGAGTTAGCGAGCTTTAGCGACGTTTAGCGATGTTTTAATTTCTACTCTGAGTCCCACTAGTGTCTTCACGAACCCATGTGAACTCCTTTCTTTCCAGCTCGGGATGGAAAATGTGTCGAACGCCGTCAAAGATCTGAGGAACGAACGCAATGCTGGCCATGAAGCATGCAATTGACCATTGATCGTCCATGACTTGATTGTGGTCTTTTAACAGCTCTATTTCATAAATTTCCTTGCCAATGGTTGAGCTAACCATGCACTGTCCAATTATGACCTCTAGCAATGTGACTCAAACGTGCTCGTCTTCAGACAAGATGTCACTTTTGGCGAGCAAATCGCTCAAAGCCACCTGAGATCCAGTGCACATCAAAGACTGGTACGTCACGAGGTCAGAATTGTCCACAACTGGCGGTGGGGGCTTCTTGTACTTGTGCTCAGGGGGGCATCTCAATGAGCAAGCTGTGTGGCCGTAATGATCTTTGGAGATACGATCGACGGCTTCTTCTTCGGACACATGGGTGATGTATTGGATAAAAGTGTTATCATCTGGAAGGCATTCCAAGGAGAAGAAAGGCATGCCACACACGTGGAAGATATTGCGATCAAGATCGATTTCATAGTTCCAATCGTAAGTTTCTGGCCAATGCCAGGAGGGTCCGGGCTTCAAGTCAAAATCATCACCATTTTCTATCAGTAATAGAGAATGCGAAGGACTCTTCAACCCATCCAGCATTTCTCCAAACGCCTGTCGATAGGTCGCAATGGCATTGGGCTGTCGTATGAGTTGAAGCACCTTTAAGCCAAGCCCCTCTGGATGACCCCCAGAACCGTGGTGTGATTTGAAATACATATTCCAATAGCGGACCACGTAGTACCCATCAGCATCCATGTCTGCAGGTAAATCAAAAGAGACTTGAATGATGGTCTCAACCGTTGATGGTCAGTGTATGGGGGAAAAAAGGCTTACGACAAACGATTTTAAGGAGTCATTATGTAAGTACGAGTTCTGGCCGCTGAGTCCAAAGGCGATGTGTAGACTTGCGATTGACCAGCCGTCAAAGTACCAGATAAACAAGGTCAAATTTTCGTGTGTGGTACAACAATAAGCTATTAAATAGTATATCATTAGAACAGAATAAATACGACTTTCAGCTCCAGATACTCAAACACCATAGAAGAAACGCCAGTAACCTGGAAGTAGATGGCTGAGCGTGAACCACAGCTGGTATGAGTTCATTGTCAGCTTCACTTTGGTGTGCTCCCAAGTAATAATTCAACTCACACTATAAAATTTGCAGGACTGCTTGTCGGCGCCCACCGTGTCGTACATCACAAATTGGGTCCCCACATATGCGCCATAAGCTACAAATGCGGCGGTAGAGAGCACATCTAGCTTCCAGATATGGCTTAAGACAAATGACCAGAGGGGAATGCCAAGCATCATTGAGAAGCGTGCGGCTTTAGGGAAGATTGTGGGCAGCGTGCACCTGCCAGTGAGGCGATCGCCCTCTTCATCCTTGAAGTCTTGCGCATGAAGCGTGGTCGCAAAGACTGCCGAGCTAAGTGCGACCGCCAAAGCACCGACTTTATCGATGCGCGAGTTCCAAGAACCTGTACGCTTGATCAGCAAAATGATAGATTGTCTGCAACTGAATAGATTTACCGGCAGCAACGGTTCCTCCAACCTCCAGACACCCACCAAGGATGGCTGTGAGTACATTCTTCGACAATCCCATTTTATCACCGTGAAGTTCGTTGTACCAGATGGTGAACACCACAAAAATGGTACTGGCCAGCAGAGCCTGAGTGCCGTACCACAACGACAGCATCAAGCAGACTGGGACCAACACCCAGCGTATATCAGCTGCGCTGTCGACAGAAATGCGGCCAGCAGGTATCGGACGGGAGGGCTTGTTTTTGCGGTCCTCCTCCGGATCCTGGATCTGATTTGCAATATCGAACTGCAATAAGTGGAACCATATCCACAAAGGAGCATGCCAAGCGTGGGTGGGGTCATATCTGGGAGCCGCAGATAATGCGAATATGGTCTGAAAAGTGTAATTGAACAAGGGGGCGAGACGTGTAATAGTTGTTACGTACGACAGGTATCAGAGTGGTTCTGATATCATTTTGTGTGAAAAGGAAGATTGTTTCGAGATGATGAGCGATGCTATCAGCGCGAACAGTGAGAGCTTGAGAAAACATGGTGAGTTTTTTGAATGCTTAGGTTGTGCGACGGATCCAGACCTTTATACCTCGAAAGTGTGCTTGAAAGAAGCGCGAACCGGTAAAGCAAAAGTCATGCCGGGAGTATGCAATGAAGTCGAAGAGTGCTTCCAAAAGTCACTGGATTTCGGGCCACTAAACTAGTTGTGAATCACTAGTCCCTGAGCCACTCGAGGCTGTGAAACTTATTTTGGTACAGAAGATATGCGACGCCGACGTCGAAGAGTTCTATACAGAAGGCAAACCCGATGTTGCGGCTATGCATTCGTGAGAAGTGGTGCTCTTAACTCTCGGAATACCTCTGAGCCGTCACAGCCAAAAACAGCCCCAGAGTTGACAAGATTCGAGAAAATCATCTTATATGGGCGACAGGTGCTACCCAGTAGATAAGCGAAAGATTAGAGCGCTCGCTGAGTACCATCTGACCCGCGATATGCCCACATTGCCATCATGCAGCTATAATAGGTCAACGATTGGTGACATCATATTGTAGATCGCACTCACTATCCGGAGAAGGTCGCCCATACTCTGTGGGGCTTGAAAGATCACCACACTCGAAGACTGCAGGTATCGAGGACTGATGCAGTTGTACTATGGGAAGTTCACCGGTTAAGCAGGCGCTCGAGAAGTCACGAGCGTCACGATGCACAATTCCATGAGTCATTGATGCTACGAAATGACGCTCAGCTTGAAATACCTCTAGGCACCCCGCGATATAATTATGGCCATGCTTTCCACGATAACATCGAAACTCGACGCGAGCTTGCAGTCAGCATGGCACTGGCTTTTGAGTCCGACGGAACGCCAAATCACGGCTCGAGTTCCGTGCGATCTTACAGCGCCGCGGCTGGTTTTAATGGACACGTTCCACTGACGAATAATTACAGAAAAAATGACAGTGTACTGGAAATGGCTCCCGGCCACCTCGTGGTGAGATTTTGCAGTACTGTGAACTGCCACCTCCAAGTCAAAGGTCGACTCGATTCGCCAACATCAACAAGGATCAGCGCAATTACAGCGTATTTTGTTGCGCTATGTAATTAATGAAAGCTTAATTATGGCAGATAATTTATAAGAGGATATGCACCGCAGAATACTCTTGTCTGTGAGGGGAAAATCCATCACGTACCTGCTCACTTCATGTGACGGAGTATGAGTTCGAATTACACCACCCAAGTATATTTCCCCCACCACACACAACAGAAAGCTTATGACGAGACTATGTCCAACATAGGGTCTACGACCCCAAAGGACCCCACTCTGAAGCAAAAAAATCCATCACAGGTTGTCGCCCAAGGTTTACTATAGCTAGCCCACAGTCAAAGTAGCCGTGACAAACGGTATTGGAGTCCTGGTAGGTCTTAGTGATCAACCTGTCTATGAGGCGATGATGTCCGTTGGCATCATTCGGACTCAAGACAGTTTGATCTCCAATCCAGTCAGACCATGAAAAGAGGTGTACCACGGGGATTACAAAAGTTCACTATGGCTGGAAGCTTGAAGAACGACTGAACAAGTTAATGGAGGATGCGCTGTCGTTCTCATGCAAATTGATGGTCCGTGCACACTCAGCCCAGTATAAAATGCGACCAGATAGGAATTGAATTCTTCATACTTACCTTGATGGCACAGGCCTCTTCATGTCTCAGGTTCGTGGGCCGTGGAGACCTTTCATAGCACGGCGACCTTGTCCTCAGAGGGTGTCTGCGATTTGTATGGGCTTCGGCTCATGCACCGTCTCAATATTTTCCCGTCCCACCACGGCCACTCTGGCTGGGTGGGCCTTTCCTTTTGCTGTTTTACAGTCCTAACCCTAACCCTAGTTCGAGGGACGGACCTGGGACTTCATAGACTCGTACACAATATGACAATTATTGACAAGTAGCCGCTTTACATGAGTAATTAAACTGTCCAGGGACCAGCGTACCGTCGAACATGTTTCCTCAGAGTGTCCACGTTCTTTGTATAAAATACAATGCATTATACAACGTTCTAGTATCTCAGTTACTAAGGGAGTACTTGGGTGATGCTCTATAGTATTTGTGATACCATCGCGCGAGTGCTTCACATTAAGTCTGTCCCTCGTTCACGTCTTACCAGAACGTTTATACAACCAGTACTACGTTGCAGTGACACTGGTTCGTTTGGATTCATACAAACTTACAGTCACATGGCGCCCTGCATAATTTAATTTCACACTCCCGCCTCCCGAGTTCGACTGTTAGCCAATGTCATTTTTAGCTTTCTCCCGTCGTCTTGCTACGCGGCTGTTGAGTCGTAGAGTCATGACTATTCGGTCTAGGTTGAACGATCTTAAATGATCGTGCGTATCCATTGAAATCAGCAACGCCGTCGATTGGCAAGATCGTGAGTGTCACTAAAGGCAATCACATTGGCTATCCAGTGTTTAGCGGTGGAAAGCAGTTTGAATAAGGCATACAAGAAGGTCAAAGAGCCTTATTCTCTCACGTTGACTAATAAAAAGAAATTCACAGCGTTTGAAATCGCAAGAGCGCTGGCATTTAATGTTGTTCACCCCTGCCAGAGCCAGAGTCTGGGAAGTGAGGCCGAGGTATAAGTCACATCGCGGAATTGCAGTTCGCATGCATGCGATCAGGGGCGTCTTCTGGTGTGAATTTCAGTTGTCGGTGCCGTTGTCGCATTAGGCAAGAAGTTCTTGAATGAACTCACTGAGTTTTATATAATCTTTCAAATCCAGGCGCAGGTCGATAGCGCGGAGGCGCTGACCATCCATATGTGGAGCGAACCAGGGAAGATGCCTGCCGAGTCTAAGGATAACGTGCGCGGGGATAGTCCTCGTCTTCTAATGCTTCATAAGGAAGTAGTTCTTTGTCTGATCGTGATTCGAGGTGGAAGCTAACAAGGATCAGATATAATATGCAAATCGGCAATCATTTTTTGAAGAAGTTCTTCACCGTTTTTGCTCTGACAGCATCCCCCACGGTGTCTGAGTGCGACGACGTTGTCTACGAGTATCTCGTGGCACGTTAGCATGACATTTGTCTCCATGACATACGTTGTCCGGCCCTCGGATTTGAACCACTTGAAATTTGTTGTTGTCGCAATATATGAATGGAAGAACTGAGCTCTATTTCGGCTGTGATTTTGAAGAAGTTCCCAAATAGACGGCGTGGGAAATCTTGGCTGTGTCTAACAGTTGTCACTTGAAAGCGGTTTGGATCGAGCAACTTGTGCTACTGGCATCTGCCAAGCTTCTGCTTAAACTGAATTTCTTGCCAATCTGTGAACTACTTCTGTGGCCCCTGTGCCCGTGCCTCTCATTTCTGTTCTACCTTAAATTTCAACTTGTACATGTCTGCACACGGCCACAAACATACGGGTTCCGTGACCCAGAACCACAAAGCACAACTTGCTAATGCCTATAACGAACTCGGGAAGGAACTCTCATCGAGCAAGATAAGGGTTGTCGGGAACTACACCCTTGGAAAGGTCATCGGTGAAGGTATGCCTTCTGACTCTCATACTCGCTTTCCTATCCCTGACACATACCAGGCGCGTACGGGAAGGTTCGCTTGGGCACTCACCGTATCACCTCTACCAGAGTCGCCATAAAGCAAATTCCAAAGGCAATGTCCGCCTCCCTCACCCGCGAAATACACCACCACCGCCAGCTTCACCACCCCAATGTCACTCAGATGTACGAAGTCATTGCCACCGAATCTCACATCTGGATCGTCACAGAACTCTGTTGTGGTGGCGAGCTGTTTGATTATCTCGCTGAGAAAGGTCGCTTGTCCGAACGCGAATCCAGCATCATTTTTGGTCAGCTTGCGCTTGCAGTTGCATATCTACACGAGAAGGGTATCGTCCACCGAGATTTGAAGCTTGAAAATGTCTTACTTGATGAACGCTGTCGCGTCAAACTTGGTGACTTTGGCTTTACTCGCGAATATGACCGCGGCGTCTATATGGAGACTTTTTGCGGTACTACCGGATACGCGGCCCCTGAGATGCTCCAAGGCAAGCGTTACCTCGGCCCAGGTGAGCTCGCCTACCTTACTGTCTTTTATGGGAACCTCTTAATTTCGATGATGTATCAGAGGTCGACGTTTGGTCCATGGGTGTGATTCTCTACTGTCTTCTAACTGGCACACTTCCGTTTGACGATGATGATGAAGCAGTCATGAAAGAAAAGGTCATTAAAGGCCAATATGAAGACCCCGAGTGGCTCTCTACAGGTATCTATTAACTTTATGCTCTTCGGACGCGATTTACCAGCGGCGAACATAGACGCCCGCGATCTTATCCGCAGCATTCTCGAGGTTGATCCTGCCAAGCGTCTGACGATCCCACAAATTCTGGCCTCTCCGTGGTTTACATCCACTCCTTCCGCCCCTATTTCTGACCAAGTGTTACTTGGTGTCAATTGCGTTCCTCCATCCCCGTCACCTGCCCGCGATACCTTTAACCTCCCTGTAAAACCCGTCGTGAACACTCAAATACAGGTGAACGAACTTTCTATTTCTTCGGCGACGTCGACTACATCTGAATCCTTTGTTTCTGCATCATCTCATATATCTCCGTCGCCCCCTGCAACTCCTATTGACACTCCTAAGGACCCTTTTGATGCAACTCAGGGTAACGGGAGCCAAGCCACAATTACAAAGGCTGCTCAGCGCTCTCAGCATCTCAGTAAAGATAACATGACTCGGCAGCCTGAAACCGTCATTGAAGAGGAATCTGAAGCAGAGAACGTTGTACCATCCACTACAGGGTCAGTGACAAACCTCGATCAGACCCCTAAGGCTCCCCCGTATCCAACACGGACACCTGCACGTACAAAGCGCCGTTCTGTGTCTTCTACCCTTTCTGACCCCGATTCACCAACAATGGACAAGCCATTGGCCCCTCTCCCACCCCAAGATTTTGCATCATTGCTCAGCACTCCAGCTCCCATAATTTTCTCCACGCCCGCGGAACGCGACCTTCTCAATAGCCTCAGTCTACTCGGATTTGACACCAGTCAGATCGTGCATTCTGTTCTCAGTGATGCATGCGACGCCGCAGGTGCTATTTGGTGGATGCTAAAGCGCAAGCGAGAAAAACGCGTTTTGGCTGGAGAGATACCATTGCCCCTCGAGTTTTCCGAGCGCGAAGATAGCAAGCAGCGAGAGAAAGATGGAGAGAAAGAGGACCGCCCTGATTCTCGGAGACGGACCAAGCGTGGCATCGGTGTGCAGACCGACGATGCCACGACTACTTCATCATCGGGTCCGACACATCGTGCTCCTGAATTTGCCTTGCTGCCTCCGACGCCAACCGTCCCATCAGCCGCACGGCCTATGACGCCACCACGTGCGAAGTCGCCGTTTCTGTCACCGTCACCGACTACTGCTGAATCCTCCGGCAGGTCCAATCCATCGACGCCTAACGGAAGCTTCAAAGATAAGGATAAGGACAATAAAGGGAGGAGGGATAGCAAGGCACGCTCTGGCAGTGTGAGCATTATGCAGCGCGCCACAAATGCCCTCGAAATCGCAGGTCTCGTGCGCAAGAAATCAAGCGAAGCAGTGAAAGGGGAGGACAAGGACCGCGAGCGGGAAAGACCCAGAGAGCACGAGAAGCGGAGTGGAGGTGGGGAAGAGCCCCGAAATTCTGGGAACTCCTCCAAGTTGACCAAGTCGCCACCTTTGAAACCTAAAGATCATCCTATTGTCCCTACTATCCCATCCGTTGCAGAGTCAAGTGTTCTGCCCCCTTTGCCTGGTTCGCCGTGGGTGGTGGCTGGTGGCCGAACGTCTCCTTCACAGTCACACGAGCCGACGCCTGCGAACTCGCCAGGTGATACGCTGACGAGCCTACCGAACTTCTCAGATGAGGGAAAGGTTGTGCCACCTAACCGGAATCGCGCCAGTTTATTGTCTACGTTCAGATTGTGGTTCCAGGAAGATAAGAAAGGGAAGCGGAAGGAGGCGGCTCAAGCCCAAGGCAGTGGACGCGGACTTTCATATAGTCGTTCGCTTGCCATTCCCCCTACTACTTCCATGTCACCTGGTGGTCATGGAAATGTCAAGAGAAGAGGCAGTGGAACCGGGCGTGGACGGCGTGTGAAACGTCACTCAACCTCGTCGCGTCGTTCGAGCAGTGTGAATTCCCGTCGGTCGTCAGGAAACTCTGGGCAAATGCTGGTTCTGGAGCCACCTCACATACTGGAGCAAATTCCCAGCGTGCGATCGTATGGCGGTGCTCATACGCCAGGATCCGACAGGGGAGAATACTCATCACGCCCTTCCTCCATTCATAGTGTTACACTTGGGAAGCATCGCAAATCTCCATCTACAGGATCTAATGGATCAGCGCACTATCGCACCAGTTCACCAATGCATAAATATCATCACAGGCGAGCCGGGTCTTCTTCGTCAACTCGTGTCATGCGTCATCAGGCAGGACCTCGACCTGTACACCATAGGACCGGTTCTGCTACATCGTCCGTCCATTCACTAGCGTCCTCCCGGCCAACTTCGTTTTATGAAGCCTCTGAAGGAGAAGGCACCCGCACGAGCTCTCCATACAAAAGCTACCCATCCCGCCGCTCGTTTGACGACACGCCACGGCGTGGCACAACAGGCATTGCGACATTCGTGGCTCAGAAACGGATCACGCCTTTTATGACGGCCTGGAGAGAATCCTGGGGCCACGAGCCTCCTGGCTGGCGGTCCCGTTCTACGCCTCTGCCTATCGAGGTGCTTTCAATATCTCCAGGACCAGAGGGGCCTGCGAGCATTCGGGATGTCTTTACTGGAAGGCAGAGTCTCAATCTGGGCGATGAGAGCGATTGGGTGGATGAGGATGATGACATACCTGAGTTTGCGGGTGGGTTGGGTCAGATGCCGTCGAGCTCGAGTACGAGCTCGTCGTTTATCCCCGTCGAGTCGCCGATCCCTATGTCGCCTCCTGCACGGAATCATAATTCACGCTCGGGGAAGGGTCGTGCTACCTCACTGGCTCCGCCGAATAGCAATAGCAGAGCCAAACAAGGCCACTCGCCCGCTAGGTCGTCACCTGTCCCGACGGAGAATGTGTTTGAGGCCTCAGATGTGAGAGCAGGACGTCGTCAACTGCCCACAAGCCGCTCAGGCCCTGCGTTCAGACAAGCGATACAAGAAGAAGACGAGGGGGAAGAGGAATAAATCCTGCAATTTTTTTTTTCTTTGGCGTGCTATGCATGCATTGGTAAATGCTGTCTCATATTTAAGCTAGCTGCTGGTTTTCTGTCTTGGGTGCTCTCATAGAATTGCTCTCGTGCGCTTCCTCATCCTTTTTCTGTGTCATTATGGTCCGCTATTGTCATCGCCATCGATATGAATCATAATCCGATCCCTTCTTGTACTCTCATATCATTATACGATACCCTGACTTCTACGTACTGTATCTTTTTTTCCTCTCCGAGCTCGTACCAGTGTCTGCATAGGTGGACTATCATGCTATTTAAAAACGAGATGCGCGAGTAACCCAATTAACTTTGTCGATAAGCTGATTGTCATTCAACGCGAAACAGGGGACACAACTCAGCTAAACAGGTACAACCCTTCTCACCCGACAAGGTCACTCTGATCTCTGCACACCGACTCCAGCGAGCAAGGGCGCAATGTACAGAGCCGGTGGCATAAGTCACACTCAGCAAGGTCATTCGACTCTCTGCACAACTGCTCCAGCAAGCAAAGTCGTCGACTGCAAGAAGGCTGAAACGATGGAAAATACTTCTGCGGCGCCAATGGCGAGATTGGGCGGGGATCTTCTTTTGAGTCTTTGTGATTATCAGGTAATGGGTTTGTAGGCAGGTGACATGGTTGGTGATGCGGACGAAATGGAGGTCATTCAAGCACTACCGAAAATCTCTTGAGCAACTTCATCGCAGACCCAGATAAGCGATGCTCGATGAGCAGAGCGTAGATGCAACTTGAAGGTAACTGCGCATCGTCTCCGCTGTGGACAAGACGTGAGGCGTATGACGGACGATCGTGATGGTTCGCTTGAATTGAACAGCGGAAGTGCGATCTCTGGTGGCAACACTGGCGGGTTATTGCCAAGGTGGCATAAATCATATCGGAGTATCGAGTTTAGCCCTGAAAGTTTGCTGATAATGTGATCTCCGGGTTAAGTCGCAAACGACGGATGCACTGCGATAACCTCATTATATTGGGATATATAGCGCCCCAGTCAGAGCCTGTCGGGACCAGAATCAGTTTCGTCATGGTACTTACTTGATATGCTGATTCCTTTAAGTTCATCGTCCTAATACTTGGTGTTGAGCACCTGAAACAACAACCCATGTTGGATGACATTGAATGTATAAGTACAACTGATTTATAGATCAGTTATGTACAGAATGGCAGCGATATATGCATTATAATGCAGCAGTAGGTGGCGAGATTATGAACCTCCACGAGCAGGCCAATATCGCTCAGAGGGTTATTGGTAGGGACTGGAAATTGCGAAGTGCTACAAATGTTTAACTGGAAACGACAGGGACCCACGGTGTGTGCATCACAAGGCGATACTCTCCAAAGGGGAAAAAGTGACAATATAAGGACGTCCAGCGTCACAGGTTCTGTATCTGCACGATAAGGAATTGCTTCTCGTCCTGATAAGTCGGAAAATATCAGTAGGAAGTGAAAGTACTTTAAGCGGTCGATGAATACTCACGCTGAACTGTTCGTCCTCCTTATCGTTGTGGAAGCTCCTCAAGAAAGTCAGCAATTTCTCCTTGTTGCGTCTTAGTATCGTTTCAATCTGAGGTGGTTTCTTTGGATTGGCAACAAATACCTAGCAATAAATTACAATCAGTAAATATGGGCAGCAAACAAATTCATGGAATCCTACTTTAAAAACGTGGAAAGCTTCGAACTGGATATTCTTGCTCTTGTCCCGAAGCATGTTCATCATCATCTTCAGGTTGGACTCTTGAGCGATGTATCTGGTCATGACGCTAAAATTGGCACGATCGAGGAGGATTTCGCCGAGAAGCTTGAGGGACTGGCGCTTGGTAACATAATTGTTGGAAAGTAGGAGGGTTGTGAAAGAGGCGAAAAACTATACATAATACTCGATAAGCAATAGATACGACTATGGAAATTTGATACCCACACGATCATAATTCTTGTCCAGGTATTCTGCAACCATAGGTTTGTGCCGTGTTAATGTCTCTTTGAGATTTGCAAATGCGTCGCATGAAACTCCAAACGATGTTGTCTCTATATGATGAGGAAACATGTAGAACCTGTGCGGTATTTGATGACATGTTTTGAATGCACGATAGAGCACTCACTGATCAGAATAGAGCAAGATCTTCGCCAACTGTTCGTGTCGCAACATCTCCCTTAGAACCATTCCCGTGTTCAACGCAACCTCTTCGTTGCTATATCCTTCCAGAGCTGCATAGATAACATCTTCATGTCTAGCGCATATGTATTCCACCGTTGGTAGCCGTGCCCCGATTTGACGCCGGAGAAGATTGTTGAATATCTGGACGACATCCTTTCGAGCCTCAAAGTCGAACTTTGCGATATTCTGCACGAGCAGGAGGAGTAGGTCTGTGGAATACGTTTCTTGGGCGAGTTGCGCGATGAGTTCTGGCAAAGGCTCTAGAAAGCTTTTTTAAGTAGGGATGACGTGAACAGCGGAGAATCAGCGCACCTCCATCACCATATAGAATACCCTTTATTGCCTGGAGATTTCTAGATACTTCTTCGCCCGCCTGGTGGCCACGATGCCATTCAGTTGCGAATTTCATTTGAGATCATGAGTTCATCTATCAAGCTCACCTTTCTCCTCGTCTCACTGCCTGGAGGCCCGGATTCAAGTTTGGGTATCGCATCTCGCAAGCCACGGACGATATCAGGAGGTGTTCGTGGTTTGGTCTTGAAAAAGTTCATTGTCTACAAGGTTGAAACAATCTCCTGGGATATTGGACGATAAAGATTCAAAGAATGGAACGTGGGTTTAAATGGACGGACGACAGGATGAGTGATACGGGATGAATAATGACTTGGGTGGAAGCGCCGAGCTCAGGGTTTCAAAGACAGGCTGTACTAGCCTTGGTAAGTAGCCTAGTAGTAAGCCAGAACTCTGAACATCGCATATGGCTTTCCTACAGCACATGCCTAATTTGGCCTTCTCTCAAACCACTAAGTAGTAGTACTACAGCTACTGCTGGCACGGTGGAGTCAAGCATCTTGGCTAGCTCATGACCTAGGCCAGCCCGTCTAAGGATGATACTAGGTTTGAGGCTGTGCGTGTATTTGAGCCAGTTCGAGCTCAATAGCCATTTCTCATTCATTGGCTGTATTCGCTTGGTAGAGGAGAATTGAAAGGGATCGCGTATCATTCACAATGATGGAGACCACCCAACTTGAAGTACATCTGCTTCCAGTTGTTGCAGCTCAAGGTAAGCAGACTATTACATCGTTACTTGTGATGATCGCAATGATATTGTCTTCTTGTCCATGATCAGCCGCTGCGCGAGAATACAGAACTCAGCGACACAGGCTGACGGACCTCACCTTTGTCAACTGCTCTTTGATACAATAAATCTGCAGCAAATCACAAACTGCAACAATCAGTTTGTGATTAGGCCTCCACCAGGTCTCTGTCACTCTGTGAGACCTTTTCTTCTCCCAATGTATCCTTCATGCCAGTCGCGGGCGAATTGTTTGGGACGGCCGGATACAATTACGTCTGCATTCTGCGGGTGGCTATTATCGGCTCCAACACTTAGAGGTGCATATATTTGGAATCCAATAGCTGTCTAGTGACACGGCATCGTCGGCGTGTTCTCTCTATCAGTGGTCATTTGTCGGCTGATCCGACGTCAACTTCTATCGAACGCATCGTATGTTCTGCTAGGAGCTTATGGTGAGTCGACTTCCACACTTGACTACGGCTATCAGGCCTCAGGCAGAGTCATCTCTGTCGTGTTATCTTCAGCTCAACATGGTCGCAGAAACATAATGGCGATAGATGCCACTTCACCTCCACGTTTGATGGCCAGGATTTAACGCCACACTTGGTGACGGGGATTGGTATCTGACTGTCTCTGGCATCTTTATTTGTCCTACCCCTGCAGATTACTCTAGGTACATTTATTTTTGAGTTCGGTACTCAACTTTTTTTTGATTCGTAGAAATTATGCACGCAGTTGCAAGTCGGGATGTACAGTCTTCGTTCTTCATTTCATTCCGGAAGCTTCTGTTAAATTGGTGAATGGTACTGTCATTGTGTTACCATACATAGGTACCCGTATAAGTTCACCAAACGGGGTTTCGAATCCTTGTTCATCCTTGTCGACTCCAGCTCCAGATACGCTCTCCGGCTATGACGATTCAGGGGTACTCCGGAGTACGTCGGGCACTGAGGAATGCAAAGGGTTGTCTTACATGTGGAACCTCGTCCAAGTGGGAATTACCATATCTTCTCTCCCAGAATCCATCTCCACTAAACCACGTGAAGGGATTTTTAAACGTTTGTTCCTAGTATGGATAGTCGACAATGTCTGAGTCGGATTGCTTGGAGTGTCGAACCGCCTAATTCTTCGTGCCTGGCCGTATAAAGCCTTCGATCCACTCTCTCAAGCTCTCGTTCACGCTTATGGCATCGCTCGTCATCTCGAGACTATCTAGATCTTCCTCTTTACAAAAGCTGATGTCAGAACCACTCTGATTCCTGTCGTATGTGATACAACCATTGCGTGTTTCCTGCCTTTGTTCAATTGAACATTTCAGACTATATCCACGTTATCATCTCCGGCTCCCGTGCATCACCCCATTCGCATTTTGCATGCCGTGTTATGGGTATGGTTCCATTTATCATTCCAAACCAGATCCTGGATCCGGAGGAGGACCACAAGAACAAGCGTTCCAGTCCGATACCTGCTAGTCGCATTTCTGTGGACAGCGCAGCTGGTATGCGTTGGGTGATGGTCCCAGTCTGCTTGATGCTATCGTTGTGATACAGCGCTCAGGTTCTGCTGGCCAGCACCATTTTTGCAGCGTTGACGATCTGGTACAGCTAACTTCACGGTGATAAAATGGGATGGTCGAAGAATGTACTCACGGCCATCTTCGGTGGGTGTCTGGTCGGAGGAACCGTTGCCCCCTTTTGACTTGAGCTGCTTTTGTAACTTATGACGGTTTCGTGGGGACCAGATTTGTCACATGCAAGACGGCAGACACCGAATAAGCAGTCCTGCAAATCTTACAACGTGAGTTGACTTGCTTTAGAGTACGAGGTGAAACTGACAATGGAGTTCCATCAGCTGTGGTACTCGCTTGGTCATTTGCTTCCAGGCTACTGGCATTACTTCTACGGTGTTTGACTATTCGTGCCCAGGCGATGGAATGCAGTATGCTTCTGCAGAAGATATCTCGTTGAGTATTACAATGTGTTTGTGGAGTTGGCCCCACCTTCGTAGTCACAATAAATTTACCATTTTAATACAAGCTGTGAGTGCAAACTATTGATGTCAGAAAAGGGAACTCGAAAGTCCCGCCACAATCATCTAAATCATTGGTGTAGGCTTACGCTTTAACAGAATCGGCGGAAACAAGGTGTGGCACGAAAAACCGCCTGGAGTTTGCATCTATACTTAACTCCGACGTACTTCTTGAGGATGTGGCGGACAATTATGGTGTTCGGAATTGACAGCCCATGCACCAACATTTCAAACAGCTCTCGGCGGGCAAAGGTGACCTAAAATGACATGATAAGTATGCTCCCCGACCCCGGTTAGATCTATGCTTGCCTCGCTGCATGACGGGACTGGCACAGTAGAAGTGCTGGGATATGGCACACCGGCCGTCGAACGGAGGTACACGGAAAGTAAGGAGGCGTCGTTAGGTCAAGGCTAGATCTTCCATTATGAATAGCCTTGAGCATCACTCCAGCGGTCGGCCGGGTGCGATTCTGGCTGATTGGCCAGTGCAGAATGACCCTATATCCAAATGTCAGCATTTTATTATATTTCCACACCAGAAGACTAAATAGACATCATCGGTGGTTCCTTCCGGGTTGTCGCGGGTTTTTTTTGTGAAGTTCGGAATCCTGCTTCCTGCACAAAGAATAATCACAAGGAAGAAGTCTAGTGCCGAGCAGACGTACCGGCAATTGCACGGCATACTGCAATGCGTCGGGAACGATAGAATTGGATATTGATAGGGCTGATCAGCCCCAGAACTGAAAATGCATAAGCAACATGGCGCTAGAAGCATACAATAGTTAAGAATCATGTGTGGCCCTAGATCCAGTGGCATGTACGACCATTTAATCCAGGGCAAAGAAGGGAGATCAAAATACTATTGCCAGTCGCTAGGGGCTCACACAGGAATATTGTCATGACTCTGAGTCTGTTCAGAAAACCTGAACGTAAACGTAAGTGATAAAAACAATAAAAGGAGGCCACAGGCCGAAGAGAAGGCTGAATCAGCCCTGCGTGCCCCCAAGGTCCGTTGGGGTCGCGTTATCTAAGAGAAAGTCCCACGTTGCACAACATAGCGATACCCTTGAGGTCAGATTGATGATACTTTTGAAGGCAGATTGTTCCTAACGACGGCATGTTGCTTGATCTGGATTAGACCACATGAGTAACTCGGAGACTCATGCCCTTGCATCTACGAGTGGAGCTGGGAGCTCTCATTGGGATGGTCCTGTAGACATTCTCAAAAAGGTGCACCGAATTTCGCAGCGGAGTATTGCACCGTAGGCCGAAACCTCATTGATAGGGACGTCTGAGTTTGTAATCGAAGAGGAGTAGTCTTCAACAATGCAGCAAGCCGACGTCCTTGTACTCCCACGCAGCGCTGGCCAGCTGTATCATAGAAGTCAGACTTCCGGTCAGAGACAAAGAAGTTATGCTCTGATATACCTTGGCCGTGAGCTCGCCGATAGCTCGGGCGCGCTGGGGTGGCTCCAGGCTTGAGTGAGCTTGATGAAACGCATCTCATGGCCCAGAAGGGAATGGATGAGGGTATGTGAGTACCTTGGGTCCGAACCAGGAAAAACGTACTGCCACCACATAAGTTAATGTATACATTTTGAGCGCTGATGAGGCTACTGAAGCGCCGGCACTAAAGACCATCGATACATGTATCCTGTCAGAATTGCGGCATTGCAGAAATACAAGAATCAAGGTTAGTGCTGAGCGACAGACTTCCCATCATGCGACAGGATCTGGCAGGGCTTGTAGAGTAGATGATAAATTCCTTGCGACTCGAACATGTACATTGTATAGTCTTGAACTATGTGATTCGTGGGAATAAATGAATTTCCGTTCAAAGGTTGTTATGTAATGCGCGTCTTGAACTCAACATTAATCTCAACCGCGAATATGCTTGAACTTTAAGAAAGGCTTCAAGGTTCAAGGGGGGATTCGAGGGTTAACCAAGGGGTAACAGGTAAGTATACATCATTCCTACAACTTCATGACATGGTTTCCAGCCGAACAACAGACTTGGAAAAAGGTTTCTGCTACCGTATTGCGCAACTTCGGTGTTCAAACTTAACCGGGCGGTCGCCTTCATATCCATGGCCTTTCATCTACCTTCAGCTAAACATGTCATTCATTTCCAGGCCATTGTTGGCCGTTCCCTTTCACGTCTGCTTCTGTGCAGTCTATTTCTCCGAGCCTACATAAAACGGTCTGCTGGCTGATCAGATGCCCACGAACTGTCTGGTTACCCGAAAGACTGGAGAATGCCATACGATTTTTGGTGGGTTTCCTCTACCCTCATATGCTCCTCCCGTGCATATATCTTTGACAGGAAGCTAGATTCAGACCTATATGCACACGTCAAAGCGTCCGGATGTCCACAAGGGACAACTTACGAGGTACGCCAGACTAGTATGCAGGGTGGTAAAACGCCAACATTCACGTAGCCGCTGCAGAACTCCATGGATTCCGTACACATGAATTCCTGTGACAATGCTACTACATCAGCTGTTTCGCAGCATCGTGCTCAGTCGAAGACTAGTTACTGTGCATCGGATTCTTGTGACCCGCATGTTGAGGACTCGTTGTCGAGTTCTGAGAAAGCTGTTACTCAACATTATGCTCAAAGGTATGATCTCCTTCACATAATGTTGATCCTGTGTTGTTAACGGAGCGGACGTTTTCGAAGTGTGGCAAGGCAGTCTTTGCGCCACGGCTTCAGTGATTCGCCCAACTATCTGTACTCTGTCGATCCGCAATTGCCTAGCACAATGCCGCACACGATCGGCAAATTCCCCACTGCGCTTTTGCATGTCCATCGGGGGGATATACCCGGTGAACAAGAACCTCCATTCAACAATTTCAATGCATCAGAATCGCCAACCCAATGCCTGTGGAACGACAGCCAAGGCCAGTGCAGCTTTACTGCGGATACCGTTATGACCGTGGTGAAGCATATATCGTTGTACCATCTTCATGAGCATCAGCACCCCGACTGTCAGGTGCAATGTCGATGTAGGGGCTGCCTGCTCCCGAAGACCATAAGACGAGACACAATTCTCAGGCATATCCGCGAAATACACTACGGGGACAAATTTCGCCGCAAGCACTCACCACGAGTTCCGTCTGAACTTGAAAGACCGATCACTTTGGGTCGTACTATGTAGGAGGTGGTTCTATTATACCTTCTGATGATATAGTATTCCTACTATCGTAACTAGTGTGTATCTTACTACGATTTATATGACGTCCTGCCCGTACTTTGTGCATACATTCTATACAACTCTTCATTTTTGTTTCAGCATGTAGAACACTAGTCCCATATGCTGTACAAGAGGACGTTTCCTGCCGTAACTATCTGCGGTGTACTACTTGTAATAGGCCTGGGAGTTCTTTACCAATCCTCTCAGACGACGTCCCCTCGCAAGTTTTTCTTGCTAGCCATGGACTCATTGCAGAACATGTTTCGGCGTGCTCTCCCCAGGCCTCTCTCACACGCCAACTTCAACATTCCGAATCCGATATAGTATGTCGACCAAGCTTAGTCCAAGAAAACCTTTTTATCGTGGGGTACACTGCAACACCCAGACGCACAACTTCCCGTACTATGCGGCCATTACTATTTCCGCGTCCGAGCCCACAAAGCATATCATCCCGAGAACGCGGCGCTATGTGGCAAAGTCTAGGATCCCCCCCAAAAAAATATGCTAACTTCAGATAGACATCGAAAGCCCCAAAATGCTAAGTCCGGACAGAAATTTTGGATAAACCTATTGTTCTGAAAGAATCTCTGGAGCGGATCAGAGCTTTTTATAGCTGCCCGGGGGTGCCATCGAAGTGAATTTCAGGTTCGCTTCTTGTAACCTCGTCCAACTTCGTCTGGCTCTAGAATCAGTGACAACGAAGAAGTTGGGCTGGTCGGCCCGAGCATTAGCTCGGGTGGGATGCAAGCAGGTCACCGGAGCCATTGGGAGGGCGGGAAACCTGCTTACGAGTTCGATTTATCACGGCAAACAAGCAAATCTAATCTATTTGCACTGCACTAACAGCGATAACGGAAAAATTAAGACGTGTATTAAAGGGAGTGGTGGGCGGGCGCAAAGAACGAGAGGGACAACGAGTGCTAGTGAGGCGCGAGCTCTGCCGAACTCGTTGTCGACGAGGGAAAAACTGCGCTTCCGCTCAGCTGGAAGTGTGGTGCCGGGATATACGGAAACTCCGGCGAGCTACGCCCGGCACCTGGAAATGACCGTTCGACTTGATCTCCCCTAGTCAAACTAAAGATAGTCGCTCCTGCTAATGATGACTAGACCAGTGTGACATCCTTCACATATGTCCGCATGCATCTCTGTAAAGGGTACGTGGGCAGTGGCTATCTAGTATATAACATACGAGAGGCGAAAAAAACTAAAGTAATATGATACTCTGTTCCTCCACAGGCTCCACTCACTCCATCATGACATCCACATCGCAGCTTTGTCAGTCAGATCTATTCGAAAAACGCTCCGAGCTCCTCAGTCGCAACGCTCGAGTGGCTCTCTCGTACGAGAGAGCCAGGGCTATCGGCTTAGCACATGGTGCATATGAAGCTTTTTTATTCATGGGACACATCTTGATCTCGTATTGCAGACATCACTCTTCATGACACTTTGGATTTAACGCAAAAATTTTGGGACATGCACCTCGATCCAATCATAGTCCTAGATGGGGCTGCGTTCACGCTGCTGACCATCCAGTACAATTTGGTCGCAGGAACGCTTGCACAATATGCTGCAACTACTAGACCTGACTTGGTTTCCCTCGTCGAGGACATTCTTCGATGGGATGTTATGTGAGCAAACCGTAACATCAATCTTGCAGAAGCACTACATGGTTTCGTTGCAGTGGTCAATTCTGCCTTACCGAACTGGGGAGAGGCCTAGACATCTTCCGAATGAAAACATCAGCGACACTTCTCCCAACGGGTGGATTCGATCTTCATACGCCGTTGCCCTCGGATGCCAAGTACGATATCAGTATATCCTTGAGGACTGTTAATCATGATAGCCTAGGTTCATGCCGCCAACTGTTCCGGTGAAAGGTGTTCCATGTGTCGCCATTGTTTTCGCACAACTGTACGTGAACGGCGAATGCCGTGGACCCCGGCCGTTTCTTGTCAACATAAACGACGGATATCATATGTGTAACGGGGTGACTTCGAAGCGAGTGCCTCATTACATTCATTTCACCTATTTCAAACTTACCACTCTATAACCAGGTTACTACCACCCAGAGGATGTTCAGCTCCCGTCAACCATGCACTCACAAGCTTCCATCATGTCGGCTTACCGCCTTCAGCCCTTCTCGGGGACCTCGACAAGTCCAACAGTATGCATCATGACTTTATGACCTCTATATGGCGTGTTATGGTCGGGGCTCTAGCGATTAGCTCGATGGCAATATCTGATCTTCAGATGTCATCGTACATCGCCGCGCGTTACTTTCAGCGTCGACATGTCACCAGTGTGTATGGAAATCTTGTACCCATACTTTCATACCGGACGCAACAGCTCCCTTTACTACATGCCGTCGCCCAGGCGTTTGTTTTAAGAGCGCTTTATAGATGGGCTATCGAACAGTTCATGGACAAGAGCCTAGATGTCCGTGTGCGACATGGCGTTGCGGCTTGCTGTAAAGCAGTCATGGTTCAACACGCACAAGTTGCAAATCATGCCCTGTCTGAAAGAATGGGAGCTCAAGGCCTCTTCGAATATAATCGGCTGTCCAACTTATATGTACGAATATTTTCTCTTGGTCAGTCATGTTAGATCAAGAATTAACCTGTTTCGCAGAGCGAGATTAGGGGAGTGAGCATCGCTGAAGGTGATATTCTAGGTAGGTGACTTTTAGCCTTCTCCGGTGACATGGTACTGATCAAAGATGTCAGGACTTTCCATGCGTCAGTGCAGTATATCGATATCCGCGCAAGCTAAAGACTTACAGATGCATTATAGGACTCGTGGCAGATACCTTGGCGCAAATGTACACATTACCTCTCTCGACACACCCAGACGGCCCCCTTGCGTTGCACGAAATCTCATTATTTGATGAGGCAACCGAGACAGTTTCCTCCTCATCCGATTTCACACAAGCGTTCACGCAATATGTTCAGCCGCGCTGTCAGCTGATGGTCGAATCCATGGGACACCGTATGGCCTATGACACCGCTGTCGACCAAGGGGTCTCCCAATGTCTTATCGATCTGTATCTCATCAATGCGATCAAGACAGATGCCGCGTGGTATGTAGAGCGTGGTATATTTACGCGACAGGCCATTATGCGTATGGAGGATACTGCTTTATTGGCAGCTTTGCCTCGCCTGGACGAGTTGCTCGCTGCGATGCAGGTTGAGCCATACGTCTTATCACCCATCATATCGGATGAGCGCTGGGAGAAATTTAGCAAGACGTTGCCTGTTTATAGCTCCCCTCAGGCTGAGGAGACAGCGCAGCCGACTTTGGTTTTGGAGAGAGCTCGACTTTGAAGCTCTGGGTTGTTATATCCTTGCATAAATATATGATGGACCTTTTGCTCATAACTTTAGTAGTCTGTCGAGTTACTCATAATTAGCTAGTGATTTGTTTCTCTCCCCATGTACTTTCGATAGTTGGAAAACACCCATGTCATGCTCCACGTGATACTGTCCAGGGCCTGAACAGATAGATACTCCTCCCGTTGATATATTGGTCGGAGTGGTTGCTCAAGTTTCCAGGTATCGTGTCGCACAGCACCCGTTCATATATACAATTCCAGAGCTTCGATTTCCCTGAGAAAATATCATATTGCCTGTGCAGGAAGTCGGTCATTACTCTCGCTGTATCAACAGTTAGATGACAATCAAGCGGTACTTTAGGTCGACATACCAAGCTCTTCTGGAGACACCTCAGGAATCTAAGGCACAACCACGTTAGTTATAGAAACAATTGCTTCAAGATACGGACGAGATGGCTAGATGACTTGAAAGTGATGTTAGATGAATTTGCAGGTCTGCGCCAAGCACGCTGCTTCCTCACTTCCACTAACATCGTCCTGTCGGATAACGCTTATCAGTCAGTGAACTTCATTCCGCCACCCTGACCTGCACCTTGCTTGATTTTCCGGGAAGAATTCACAGTAGAACTTTTCATCAAGTTTTTCGATCAATCCCCAGGTTTCATAGCCGGCTCGTGGGTTCGCAAGGACAAGAGACTTGTGAATGGGAGGCGTTTTCAATCTGACGCATCCGCTTTCATCCTCGTCCAGTCCGAAATCGACATAGAGCCGAAGGATGTCAGGATGCCAAACAGAGAACATGGGTGAAGATTTAAAGGAACGCAGGGTGTCCTCCCCACAATCATAGTCGGTAGTACTCCGACGCAAGAGTATTGTCAAAATTAATAACCATGATGGACATTGATCACGCCTTATCAAGGTAATTCCAACCAAGTACTGCGTGTGCTCCCACGCAAATTCTTGGTGATTGTCAATCGTCGCATCGAGGAGGATCATCGAGGATAACAAGGCCGGGAAATGCAACGCGGCTAACATCCTGTGTAAATTTGTGAGATTTGACAGGTCTCTGAACTACGAATGACATACACCGAGCAACCTCCATACGAGTGTCCTGCTACGACCAAGGTCCAGGAGGAGAAACCACTCTTTTGACGTGGTTCATCAATGGATGCAGGAACTCGATGAAGTTGGATGCGAAGAGAAGATATTTATACCTCTTCTGACATATAGTTGATGAGAAAGCTTGCAATGTCTCTCGCGTTCATATCTGATCTATGACACCACAGCTAGTAGATAGCATAAATAGGTCTCCCATATCTGATACACGATTAGATTCCTAACATGTATGAATAGGCATTACGAGACATGCTTCCTTCGTATAACCCGTTGCGCGCACAAGGAACAAGGTGATACCCTTCGTCTGTGACACCGGAGTAGCAGTCCTCCCCTTGCCGGACCCCTGGGATTGGCTGCAGGTATGATATGCGTGCTGCTGTTATATGTACCGAGTAAGTCATCGGACCTGGGTTTGAAGGGCAGGGGAACTTCGACGTGCCCTTCATGAATGGCACCCATGGGCGGTGGTCCGGAGTGTTGTAGGTATGTAAGGATATGAGGATGTCGACGACTGCTGCCTGGAAGTCTCTATTCTGTCAAGTTGTTATTTTCGGTTTCGAAAGAGAACACTGGATTAACTGTCTTGCAAAATCAGATGGGCCGTCGTGGTGGTAGGCTATTCGCCTCTGACAGACTTGGAATGGGTAGAAGGTTCCATCTTTACGATGCCCGCATGTGACGATGCATAATGGATCTCGATCGATTTCTGATACATGATATGATCACCGCGCAGCTGGAAGCTGTATAAATGGGCGCAGTATGATTCAGAAAGTGATGCATCATGATGGAAGTAGTATACAAGATACAACTTGAAAGTCAGCTTGGCCGCGGAAACCTAAGCCTGTCCAATTACTTGTTTTGGCTCGATCTGTTACGTCTAAATCAGGCGACTACGTTGTCTGCGTTTGTCCCTCGTCTCGCGGTCTGAGCCTGAGGTCTCTGGCCATGGTGTCACTGTCTCCTACTTTCGCATCGTTGTATGCCTCATGTCGGCCTTCATTGTGCTCCTTCCTGTTAGCGCCTCATTTGATCTCGATATTCCTCATTCCCTTGTGTCTTCTGATGGTCGGACGTTCTGTCGGTCATTTGCAGACTAGTGATTTGTCGAAGTCCTGACTCACTCACCGCCGACGCAGAATTTGAAGTGGTCCACAGTATCTCGCATGGTCTTTTCTTGAAGATGTTGTTTTGGGTTGTCACGAGTTCGGCGTTCGCTCCAGTGTGTTTTCTGACGATCTTTGAGTCGATGTATCAAACTGGTCATGTTTGATATGTGGCTTACAGAATACTGCAGTTGAAGATGATCACAAAAGTCTTCTCTGTCACTTGTTGTTTGAAAAGTGTTTTAATGATGTATCTGATGCTAAACACGTTGACCGTACTGCATGTAGAGAGGTCAGTGCTAGCTTTGGTCCAGCGGATAAATTGGTAGAATATGTGATGGACATATTTATAACAGCCGATAGTCGTGCTCTGACCACAGGCAATTTGTGGACAGTCGCTTTAAGTGTGTTAAGCAGCGAGGATAGCACGATCACTTGTCGTAAAGTTGCCTAGGATCATGGCTGTGCGGATGAGGATGAATCCTTTGACAGTAGTGATAGTAAGATGACGGACCAGCAAGAATCACCAAGAAGGTACTCAACAAATGGGACAAAAGTGCAGGTGGAAAATCGGCTGAAGGTTCATCATCTGCTGATCCTGGAGACAAAGAGAACACAAACGAAAGACTCGGAGGCATCTCGACCAACCATTTCTAGTCCACCGTGCTCCCGGATTACGGGGGTGATCTATTCTAGCACGTGAATGCAAGGCTCCATCAGCTTGACCTTCGGAATGTCGAAAACGACCTTATCCCCCTATTCGGAGCTTAGGCGTGGCACATTGGTTATGATCTGAGCCACCTGTGACCTTCCAATTGGAAGGAACGATAGCTGAGGCTAACTCACTCACTCAGACATTTGATGAACTAGATTTTCAGGTCTATCAGCTCGACGCTCGTACGATCCGCGTTTTGGATCAATCCAAGTTGCAAGTCGAACCGTTCAGCTCGCCAGTCCAAGTCACGTGCGTTGGACGCGATGGCAGATGTAGAGCTAGGGAAAAGAGCGAGGAAAGATTGAGAGGGAAAGAAAGCAGGGGAAAGTGCAGACTAAGAAATACCAGTTACCTGGAATTGGGCAAGAGAAAGATAGGATTGAGTTGTATGTATTTTTAGGAAGAGATGCGCAAATGAATCGGCTCCAAAAAAGAGGGTAGAAAAACAACGCAGGAACAACGTGTGAGAGGGCGATGGGGCGCTGCTTTGGCACACCAGGCTTTGCCAGCCCTACGGCTTATGAATGAGGGTATTAGCAGGTGAGTCCCAGCATCGGAACTAGGGCGCGGCAACAAAGTCACTATATCCACTGTCACCGGAACATCAGGGGCATCATTTTTGAACATAGTATGGAAAGCCATGTGGATTATATTAATGGTGATTGCCTAATGAATTTCGGATTGAACGCTCAGGTACGTGGAAAAAATATCTGAGGACGAACGACTTGAAAGTTAAACAAGTCATGTTATAAATATGTCGCCATGTGAGTTTGTACAAAAGTGACACAGTAGGTAACAGATATTATACAGGAGTCGAAGCAATCATGATTAATACGGCTGTGGATGTCGACGGGATCTAGCCGTAATACGAATCGAAGAAGTAACCAATGACTGGCGTCGAGGTTTGATTCCGAGGTGAATCTGACGGATGTGGCGAATGATTGTATCTCGGCAGATGGACTTTCGGAGTTTACATCCCTCCCATTTACATTTCACAGGGGTGCGCCCAGCCAGCTGTGGGAGGTGGGATAACGAGACATGGGACACGATCTCTCCTTCGTTTGCAGTCTTGTCACATGGTCCATGCCAGCGACCGTCATTCCACCTGCAGACAAACAAGCGGTCAGATGCATGCGATTCTGATTGGTTATCATGGACCGGGTGAGGGTGACTCTCAATGGGGTATGGTTCGGAAACATTGCCTGAAGATCCCAGATTGCAAGCGGACGGATCGTCGAAGAAAGGAGAGCGGACATGGTTGAAAGAGGTGTTGTGCGAAGGCTGTTGAGTAGCACTATTGAAGGAGTTAATTTCTGTTAAACAGTAACATCGAGAAACATACACGTGAATGTCACGACGATAGTTTTCAAGAAACGGGGACGCCAAACCACTTGGAAATTGACTATTACTTTGAGAAAACCCAGCATCATATAGGTGAGCGAGAGCGGGCACATGATCGTTGCTCGTGGAGCCTCCGCCATACATAAGGTGAAACTGAGTAATCACTGGTGGGGGGTCCCCATCTCGATTTACTGGAGCCAAAGACAGGTAGAAGTTCTGTTGAGGCTGGGAGGATGACAGGCCCTGCAGCAAAGTATTAGCGCACTACTGAGTACAAGCGTAGACGAAACATACATTATCGATGAATCCTAGCTGTTCTGCACGCGATGCCTTGTTTAGCTCTGAATCTTCCTGCCTGTGCAAGGGATCAACACCAAAAAAGAATCATAGGAGCACGGACGTACCAGAAATCATAACCCATTCTGTGATCCGCTGGGAGAAGGGAACTCTTTGAAGCTTATGTAGTGACATAGATAGTGAAAAAACACAAAGGCCGTCGATTAAAGGTGGCCTGTAGGCCAAGCACCAGTGGCATGTAAGGCCAGCTAGGACAAGAATGGAAGAATACGAAAGTTGATCACCAGAGCTGCCCCACCAGCAATCTGGAATTGTCTTGTGGGGTAACTGGACGAAACGGCGAATGTCAAAATACCGTGTAGGCCAAAGGCCACAGACTGACCGTCGATAAAAAGACCGTCAAGGTGAAATCCATTTCGGCGGCGTCATGTTAAACCATCCAAGATATGACCAGCATCTGTGACTCGAAGACTCTGCATCCACCAGTGGTGCTTGAAGCGAGCTCTCATTGGATCTCGAAACGCGCCCCCAATCTGTTGAAATTTCATTAGCAGATACATTGGCCACGATTTAAGTTTAGCTCCAGCAATGGCCCCGCCTCCCACGCAGTTGGCAAGCTACATAGCGACCTTTTGATCAGTCACAAGCATTGCGCTTTCGTTTATCTTGGTTGTAAATGGTCATCAGTGAACCTAGCTGCCCAACGTGGTGAGATACACCTGACAGAAAAAGGAAAAATGGCAGCGTTGTGAAATTGGCAAGATATGCCATGAGACACAAACGACGTTTACATGAGATCAAGGGCTCATTAAATGGAGGCCAAAGTATTCCGAAACGCACCTTCAACGACTAGGACCATACCAGGTTACCGGGTGGAACCGCAAAAGCTATCGCCACACCCGTCATTGTCAAATTACACCTCGTGTGGTCTTGAGGCCTCTGCCTCCGAATGCTTGAGAGGTGCTCAGGCACCGAAGGCCAAACTGAATTCTGTCGTGTTCCGCTGACATCATCATGTCTTGGCCTGCGTTTTCTGGCATTCGATCAGTCGCAAGGCCATTCGTACTTTCTGTTTAACGGTACCCTCGATGATAACAATATCAAGCGTGGGATGCAGGTAGACAAATGGAACATACCTTTATGTCTCGACATCATCAGTGTCTTTCTGGCTTACACAGGAAAGAGTAGGAAGGTGAGAGGCCTAGGAAACCATAATGTTAATGACGCTTATAAGCTTCTGAGTTCCCTAGCACAGCCAAAAAAAATCCTGTATGAATCCTGAGGATCCCCAGGGAACTTGGACAGTCTTTGCAGTGCAAATACAGCACTTCGACAACCGTTGGGTTGGCACTCCACGCAGAGAGCGCGGCGAACACTTCATTTGCCTACCACATCATGATGTGTCTAATCTAGATGTTCCAGAATGAAGTTCCATGATTACCATAGATACTCCCGGGCCAGAAATCGTCTCGACCAGTCAATCCCAAGGTCAAAAATTGGAACATAATCGCACAGCAAAAGAAAAAGAGGAAGTTCGACCGTTGATCTGCGACGGATTCGGCCCGTAATTGAGCTATAATATATATATACATCTTAACGTTGCATAAATGTCAGAATACTCACAGAATGGCGTAGTGGCCGGTAGAAGAAAGGTTTCGTGGATAGACCTGAAACTCTGAAGCTCCGAGAGACACCTGGTCCAGGGACATTATTATGGATGAAGACGATAGCTGATGTGAGATTTTCATCAAAACAAAAGTGGACTGTAATTGATGGTATGAAGCGTCTACAGCGGTCAATGAAAGAAAGTTTTGTCTCAAGTTCTCCGTTTCTTCTTGATCGCTTCATGAACCTTTCTCGTAAACTCTAAGAGCTGGAAACCTGGGCCTCGGCCCTTGGCAAGGCCTCAAGTCCAAGACGTAAACTAGTGCTTACTAAGCGAGTGAGGCGTCTATGCCTTCGATCTTTCTCGCGCTCACCGTTTTTCTGTTTGAACGCCCTCTCCGGGAGTCCATATCATTTGTCTAACGATCTGTTTGTCAGCTTCAGCGGAAACGAAGCAACTAGTAAGCGCCTAGAGATAATTTCTATATTTATATACCGCAACACACTGTAGAGGAAACGTGGTGCTATAAGAGCTGTCCTTGGTGGAGTAGTATGCGAGATAATGGATATAGGTATGGTGCGAATAGCCAATGAAGTCTGCTTTGAGGTGTTGATTTTTCTAGCTTGCGCTTGCATCCGGATGCCAGCGTCCATGCTGATTAGCAATAGCCAGTAGAGACTGCTACTACAGGTACTACTCTCGAACTGGCGACTGCTACTAGTACAGCTAAGAGCTGGGACTTCCTTTCGCAAATTCATCCGAATTTTCAAGCCTAAACTCTCGACAGAAACGTGTCCTACCCTCCCGATCACGTCAGTGGTGGTCCTGGAATAGGAAGCTGTGATGCTGACCCACTGGGGACTACAGTACTACTATCTCAGTAATAGTCATCAAGTGCCGGAGGTCGGCACAGAGCTCCAGGGGAACCTCATGAGTCATGAGTGTTGCATTGATTTCATGTTCCTGACCATATTTTCAAGTATCCAGGATGATGTATATATCCTACAAGTTAAATTATCCATGTTGAATAACTGACGATCGAGGGGTCTTGCAACTTGATTTTGGAACTCGATCCCTAGAGAACAGGACAAAGGAATTTTAGACCATAGAGTTCTGTGCACTAGCCCCGAGCAATCAGTATGTGGATCATCCATAAGCACAACACGAGTGACAATTTAACGAAGCGAAAGCTATGTATCGGAGTCCACAATTCACCCACTAGGGCTTTGTGGAGGAATGTAGTGTTGGAGTACGAGAGATCCGTGACGAGGAAGACCGACGGATCCGAGATAGGAACAGAAGATGAGTGAGAGGTACGAGCTCAAGCCAAAATGGACTAAGTCTAAGGCAGACTAAGGCGAGCAGACGTGTTGACGTCGGCTCGTGTCCTTGAAGATTTTATGTTTCGCATTCATTTCTAAGCGTAGTTACGCCACTTACTTTAAAAGCGCCAGTTGTAGCGCCCGGACATCTCAGTTCTTTCAAGATACTGAGACTGTACTTGCTCCTTAGCGTTTAGCGCCTCCCACCTTCGTCTACTCACCAGATGTAGGTTGAATGGCAGCCAACAGAAAGTAAAACAGAGAACAAGCAGAAGAATTAACGTTAATAATCAGTCGGGTTACTCGTGATTAGCTAGTGATTTGGTTTTCTACTCCATGTCCTTTCGATGTCTGGAAAACACCCATGCCATGCTCCATTATGATACTATCCAGGGTCTGAACAAATAGATACTCGTCCCATTGATATATTAGTCGGAGTGGTTGCTCAATTTTCCAGGTATCGTGTCGCAGTGTCGCACACACCCGTTCATATACACAATTCTAGAGCTTCGGTTTCCATATTTCCTGCAGAAAGTCGGCCATTACTCTCGCTGTATCAACGGTTAGATGGAAATCAATCAGTCCTTCAGGTCAATATACCAAGCTCTTCATGGAGACTCCTGAGGAATCTAAGATACAATCACGTTAGTTATAGAAACAATATTGAGATACGGACGGGATGGCTAGATGACTTGAAGGTGAATTCGAAGGTCCGCGCCAAGCACGCTGCTTCCTCACTTCCACTAGCATCGTCCTGTCGGATAACGCCTATCGGTCAGCGAACTTCATTCGGCCACCCTGACCTACATATCCTGGCTTGGTTTTCCGGGAAGTAGCTCAATATTTTTCGATCAATTCCCAGGTTTCACGGCTAGCTTGTGGGTTCGCAGGGACAAGAGCCTCGTGAGTGGGAGGCGTTTTCAATCTGACTGTATCTGCTTTCATCCTCGTACAGTCCGAAATCAACATAGAGCCGAAGGACGTCAGGATGACAAGCAGTGAAGATTTAGAGGAACGCAGGGCATCCTCCCTGCAATCATAGTCAGTAGTCCTCCGACGCAAGAGTATTGTCAAAGTCTAATCACCATGGTGGCCATTGATCACGCCTTATAAAGGTAGCCCCAACTAAGTACTGCGTGTGCTCCCACGCAAATTCTTGGAAGTATCAATCATCGCATCGAGGGGGATCATTGAGGAGAACAAGGCCTGGAAATGCAACGCGGCCAACGTCCTGTGTAAAATTGTGAGATATAACAGATCTCTGAACTACGAATGACATACACCGAGCAACCTCCACACGAGCGTCCTGCTACGACCAAGGTCCGGGAGGAGAAAGCACTCTTTTAACGTGATTCACCAATGGATGTAGGAACTCGATGAAGTTGGATGAGAAGAAAAAATATTTCTACCTCTTCTGGCATATAGTTGATCAGGAAATTTGCAATATCTCTCGCATTGTCAGTCCAATCAACTGTTGTCGACTGATTTCAAGCAGAAGGTCTAAGAAGCGATCTCTCACAGCTACCACTGAAATATTGTCTGTTTAGCGGAGCAGAATCCCCATGTTGCACGGATTCCCATGACCACATCTCATCTATGACACCACAGGCAGCTAGTAGATAGCATAAATGGGTCTCCCATATCCAATACACGATTAGATTCCTAGCATGCACGAATAGGCATTACAAAACTCACTTCCTTCGGAAAACCCGTTGCGTGCACAAAGGAACAAGATGATCCCCTTCGTTCTGACCTCGACCCCCCGGTCCTTTTTCACATATCGGTTGACGCAATTCCACAGCAACCTTTCGTCTGTGACCCCGGAGTAGCCGTCCTCCCCTTGCCGGACCTGTTGTTCCATGAGTTCAAATCCTAAATTACTGATATCCCCTTCGGTTCTTTCTGAAGAGGGAGGGAGTGGCTCGGAGACTGGAATATTTGGGGTGACTCTTGGACTGGCTGCAGGTATGATATGCATGCTAATGTCGTACGTACCAAGTAAGTCATCGGACCTGGGTTTGAAGGGCAGGGGCGGGACTTTGACGTGCACCTTCATGAGGCTTGAATGCCACCCACTGGGCAGCAGTTTCACAGTCGTCCGGAGTACTTGTTGTAGGTGTGTAAGGATATGAAGACGTCAGTGACTGTCGATGACTGCTGCCTGAAAGTCTCTATTCTGTCAAGTAGTTGGTTTCGGTTCCGAAAGAGGATACTGGATTAACTATCTTGCATATTAGATGCCGTCGTGGTACCCGGTAGGCTAATCACGGAGTCTGACAGACTTGGAATAGAAGTTCAAAGATACCGTTCCAGTCTTTACGATGCCGGATGATGCATGATGCATGATGGATCAACTTCTGACACCATAATGGTCGCCGCGCAGGCAGCCGTAAGTGGGCGCCATGATTCAGATTCAGTCCAGCATGGACCAATGGTAGGACGCTCAAAGTCATGTTCAGGTGAACTTTACCAGTTTTCCCACGAATTACCGTGATCGAGTCACTGACCTTCAAGTTCTTGCGCTGAGGTTCTTGCATTTGTTTTCCTTGGTAAGTTTTTGCAACCATGCCTAGATCATCATACACCGTTATTCATCATATCTTAGGCACAATCAGGTCAAGTCGCAATTCATTTTTATCCAGTAGTGACCGGTTGACCTCCAAAGCATAGGCTTTCCTCTTAGAACCTGTGTTCGAGTCATGTGTGTATTCAAGAATTGTTTCATCAAGTTTATGCCTTGACTTACTAACACCTGTGCTTAGATTTGGCTTAGATATGTCTTGTCACAATTTTGACCATCCTAGCACCTCAACAAAGTTGGCCATTTAACACAGCTGAGTATACACGGCATGCGTGTTCTCGGTTTGACATCGGATTATCTCTTACAGCCATCATCATGAATTATGATACACGACTCAAGATGCGCAAATTCGAAAACCAGGTTTCGAACTTCCTGTCTATCCTCCAAATGAGAACCCGTCTAGATCTCTATAGATCTTCATAATTTCATTTTGCTTCTATCGATCTTCGATCCCCCTTGGCCTTGCGTCGTCTCTTTCCGCGTTGCGCTTAGTATGAACTTCGAAAACCAGGTGGTAGTTATCTCGAATTTGATCATTATTGTTAAGCAAATGCAGTATGCAGTCTTTCGTGCCAATTAGCAGGGCTCCTACTATACTGACCATACAGGCGAGCAAAGAGTGTATTCACTCGTATCTCCCGACCATCTTTATGGTGACAGGACGAAGGTGTACATCGTGTCCTCTCTTATGATCAAAGATGTCGATACACCCTCAGAGTAATGCTTGGCTACCCTCTGGCCAGTTATGGAATTTCACCAGATTCACGACCTCCGTTGTACTGCGTCAAACAAGCTACACACGCATAATATAGGAAGCTACGGGATGAGCATAGCTTAACACGCAACTGAGTGGGATTTTGATGAACAGCTAGATATGCCCAAAGCGTATGGTTTATACAGAAACAACAGCGAGCATCATCAACTAAAAGCAGGCTGGAGCAAGAAATGGTATTAGATTACAGACGAAAGCTACCCAATCATCATTGACGCAGGCGTGCCTCTTTGCGAGATCCACAGAAACTGGTCCCAGCATGAGAAGCTACCCAGTGCTTGCATCGATACTTGAGTCCGAGATGTATCTCGTCGATGTGGCGGATGATTGTATCTCGCCGCACATACTTGTGGAGTTCACAGCCCTCCCACAGACATTCCAAGCGGCTGTCGGCGGGCAAAGGTGACTTGAAATGGTGTGATAACATATGTTCCCTGGTCCTGGCTGCATTTATAGTCCTGCCGCATACGCCGTAATCATCATTCCACCTGCACACAAACGCACGACCGACGTGTGATTCTGTCCCACCATCCTTGACGACATGTTGAGGATGAGCGTAAACCTCTTCCTGGAATTGATGACGTGGGTCATGCTGGAACTCTTTCATGGGTGATATAAGCCATGGGTCGGCAAGGTTTGTGTCAGAGAAGCCTGTATTGTGGGCAGGCAAATAGTCGGAAAGGGCATAGGAAGAATAACTGGAAGAAACGTGGCGTGGATGCCATCCAGCAGCACCACTAAAGAAAAGGAGTTTAAGAACAAGATCATCGATACGATTTGAGGATCTTTTACCTTTGAATGTCACCATGAGCTATCCCCTGATCGAGAGGGGGTAGTCCGAGTGTCGGGATCGGAACATACTGGCATCAAGTACGCCATTACGAGAACCCACTATTTGGTCTTCGATTATCGAGCCACTGTCACACGCAACGTGATGTTGGGGAGCAACCGGTGTAGAATCACCATGAGAATTCTCAAGTACAGCATGTGGGAAGTGTTGGTGAGGCTGAGAAGTCGACTGTGCCTATAGCAAGACGTCAACGTTTCGCATTGTTCATACTGCACAGACCAAACGCACATGATCGGTAGTTCTGCAAACATTTGATGCTTCTACTTGTTGGTATAGCTGTGAATCCTGCTTCCTGCACAAAGGGATAAGCAACGAGAAATACAGAGGCGCAGATCAGACGTACCAGTAATCGTAGGGCGAGCTGCGATACATTGTGAACGATGGCATTCAACCTGATGATTCGGAATCCTTCAAACAATATAAGCCCAGAGACGTGAAATTATGCCAGGAAGGCCGACGGCCAACGATTGTCCGCAGGCCAAGGGTTGGTGGCATGTAGGTGAAGCCGGGGGGAAGGCATGACTGCCAGTTACTAGAGATTCATAGTATCAGATGCATTACAAAGTATAGAGGCCAAAGGCCAGAGACCTCGGAGACGATAAGATAAATCAGGTCGACGCGTCTTGTTGAAGAAGTTAAAGAAGTTCCAGAGTTGAGAGAAATGAAAGTTGCATATCAGTGAGAGAGTGATGCCTTTGAAATCGATAGCATTTTGGGCCTGTCAGAGATCGTGGGACATATCTGCAATTCGAAGGCTTGCCTCTACACAATTAAGGATGAGATGGCCCCAGACTTGTAATGACAGTCATGAGCGCTCTCATTGGTCAAACAGCTTGTTCCTGTAGTACTAGCGGGAGCCCAGTATTTGAGTTGGCCAATGAGCTCTGAGCAGCCATGGAATCCGACTGCGGGATACTGCCAAGTAATGCAGAGTTAACAACTTGAACTTGGGGGCCGGATCATGAACGTTTGAACATCCAGCCATGGTAAATTGAAAGGTCTGCGCCGAGACTGACATCTTGATCATGGGCTCTAGCCCTTCAGCCAAGTGCCAATCTCCGGCTATTGGGGAGAAGTATGATGGTGACGCGCCTCATGGAGGATGGAATGAATGAAGGTAGGTGAGTCCCAGCATCCGTCGGAACTAGGGTGCGGTGACAAAATTACTATATCCATCCGGTCAAGGCTGGCCTTTGCTTCAAGCGCTGCAGCTCCGAGTCGCTGACTGATTATTAGTCTAGCTAATTCGGATCGATAAGACCCACGTACGGCCTTCATGTTTTCGGCCTCTATTTCTACCTATCTGAGTCCGGCTGAATTTAGTCGTCAAGTTCACTAGGGGCCATTCCTCGCCTGGCGAATTGTACCCTTTAATTGGGTGACAAGATTCTACATATTGTAATATTCTAAAGCTTCGGATTCTAGCTATAGAAGGGGGGTACCTGTCAATTGTGAACGTAGTGCGGAAAGCCAGGGATCATATCAATGGATTTATCTGATTGAACGCTCAGATACGTGAAAAGAATATCTGAGGACGAACAGCTTGAAAGTTAAATAAAGTATGGCAAGGCATGTTATAAATAAATCGACATGAGTTTGTACTTGAAAGCGACATAGCATGGAACATCACCAGGAAACATGAATTATCATACGGCAGTCGAAGCATATTGATAATGACTAAATAAGGCTGCGGATATTGACGGAGTCAAGCCATAATATGACTCGAAGAAGTAGCCTATGACTGGCGTCGAGGTTTGATTTTGAGGTGAATCTGACGGATGTGGCGAATGATTGTATCTCGGCGGATGAGGTTTGGGAGTTTACATCCCTTCCATTGACATTTTACTACAGGGGTGCACCCAGACCGTGGGAGATGGGACGACCTCAAATGGTTCGCGATTTCTCCTTCATCTATAGTCTTGTTACATGGACCGTGATCGTTATTCCACTTGCAGACCAACAAGCGGCCAGATGCGTGCGATTCTGATTGGTTGTCATGGACCGGGTGAGGGTGACCCTCAATGGGGTGTGATTCGGCGACGTTGCCAGAAAATCCCAGATTGTTGGCAGACGGATCGTCGAAGAGAGGAGGGTGGAAATGACTGAAAGAGGCGTTGTGCGAGAACTGTTCATCAGCACTATATTGAAGAAGTTAATCTCCCTCAACCAGGGACATTGAGGAGCTCGTACAAATAATTATCAGGCTGATCGTTCTCGGAAAGTGGGGTACGTCATATCACTTGGAAATAGACTTTGGTAAGACCCCGCATCATGTAGATGAGCAAGAGCAGGCGCTTGATCGTTACTCGTTGAGTGTCCACCATCCATATGGTGATACTGAGTAACCACGGGTGGCGGACCCCCATCCCAATTTGCTGAAGCCGAAGGCGGGTAGAAGGGAGGCTGAGGCTGAGAGGGCGACGGGGCCCACAGCAAAATATCAGCACACTACTGTTTACAAGCACAGGCGAAACATACGTTATCGACAATTCCTTGTACTGCATGCAATGCATTGGCTAGCTCTCGCCTGCGCAAGGAATCAACACCAACAAGAAATGTAGGGGTACGGACGCACCAGAAATCGTAATCCATTCTATAACTAGCCGGGGAAGAGGGACTCATAGAGACCACAGTTCTGATATTTATGTGGTAGCATAGATGGCGGGACTGGCAGGATCAACCATGAAGGCCGACAACCAAAGGTGGCCCGTAGGCCAAGAACCAGTGGCATGTAGGGTCAAGAATGAAAGTTTATCACCAGATCTATCTCTCCAGTAATCTTCTGGGCAACTGGAAAAAAACCGCGAATGACAAAAAACCGCGGAGGCCAAAGGCCAGAGACTGACTGTCAATAAAAAATATCAGGCCAACGGGCCTGTCAATGTCAAATTCGTTTCAGTGGCATCATATTGGACTATCCGAGATCAGACCAACATCCGTGACTCGGAGACTCTGCGTCCCCGAGTGATGCTTGAAGCGAGCTTTCATTGGTGACGCCTGTAGAGGATCTCGAAACGCGCCCCGGTTGCGAAATACAGTGCACCATTAAATTTTCATTAATAGATACTCTGGCCACGAGATAAGTTTAGCGCTAGGCCTCGACTCCCACGCAGTTGGCAAGCTAGATGGCGATATTCTGACCAGTTACAAAACACTATGTTTTCATTTATCTTGGTTGTGAACGGCCATCAGTGAACCTAGCTGACCGATGTGGTGGGACACCTGGCAGAAAAAGGAAAAAGGTAGTGCCAGGAAATAAGGCGTGCCATGACGAGGTTAAGCGCTCACCAAATGGAGGCCAGAGTATTCCGCATCGCAACCTTCCCGGGGCGCAACTTGAATGACTACGACCATACCGGGTTACGCGCGATTCTGGGTGGAGCCTCAAGAGCCCGAAAATAATGTTACCGAACCCGCCATGCCAAATTATACTTCGACGAGATCCGATCGTGAGGCCTCGAGGCCTCTGCCTCCGACGCTTGAGGTGCTCAGGCCTTAGGCACCGAAGGCCGACTTGAATGTTATATCCTGCTGACATCATTGTGAGTGGGCCTATGTTGACATTTAATCAGTCGCAAGGCCATTTGTACCTTCTGTTCAACGGTACCTCTATGATGACGATTTCAAGCGTGAGATGCAGGCAGAGAAATGGAACATACCTTTCTGTATCGACATGAGCATCAGTGTCTTTCTGGCTTGCACAGGAAAGCAGAAAAACGGGGGCATAGGAAACCACAATGTCGGTCACACTTATAAGCTTTAAATTTGAGTTCCCAGCACTGCTGAAAGAATTCCTGTACGAATCCTGAGGACACCCAGTAAATTTGGCGGTCTTTGTAGTGCAAATATAGCACTTTGACAGGCCTAAGTTGGCACTCCGCGCGAAGAGCGCGGCGATAACTGATTTGCCTACAGCATCACGGTGTCTGATCTGGATGTTCCAGAATGAAAGTTCCATGATTACCATAGATATTCCAGAAATCGTCTCGAGCTGTCGATCCCAAGGTCAGAAATTTGGAAAAGGGTCGTACAGCAAAAGAAAAAGTGGAAGTTCGACCGTTGATCTGTGACGAATTCGACCCTAAGTCGAGGGTAATTGGACTATAAAAATATCCTAACGTTACATAAATGTTGGAGTACTCACAGAATTCTGGGGCGTATGGCCGCCGCTGGCCGGGAGAAGAGTTTCGTGGAAGATACATACACTAGTGACTAAACTAATAGTAACTAGTGACTGCCAACATTGCCGCATGGAAAACTAAGTCTCACATTGGGCATTGGTTGCAGTGTAATGTCCTTCAAATTAATTGAATAGTGGCAGTGCTAGTGATGCCAATGGTGCCGGTGATGCACGATCGTACAAATACCAGTCAGGTAGTTCTGGGAGAACGTAAACATTGACAAACAAATAGCAATACACTGAAGACGCAATTGTCATTCAGTACTCAGTACCGGAGGTCGGCAAAGCTCCGGCGGTACTTCATAAGGGTTGGGTTTGATTTCAAGTACCTTCAAGTACTCCGGGATAATGTACATATCCTACAAGTTAGATTATCAATGTTGAATAACTGACGAGTGAAACTTGATTTTGGAACTCGATCCCTGGAGAACAGGGCGAAGGAATTTAGACCGTAGAGCTCTGTGCACTAGCCCAGAGCAATCAGTATGTTGAATCATCCATAAGCACAACACAAGTGACAATTTAACGAAGCGAAAGCTATGTATCGGGGTCCACAATTCACCCACTAGGGCCCTATGGAAGAATGTAGGTGAATGGCAGCCAACAAAAAGTAAAACAGAGAACAAGCAGAAGAATTAACGATACGGTGGGATAGATACAACAACCAACAGGCCAGTGGTAGTAAGGATAAGCAATGTACGGGGAACCCACGTGCTGCCTAGTGATGTGTTGCCTTCACAATGCTGACTACGATGATGATTATGATGATTATGACTGCGACGCCAATGATCATGCGCATCTAAAGACGGAGTCAGTTTTGAACGTAATGCTGAGCGGCGAGTCCAACGGACCTTCATGTCTTTCCACCTGAGAATCATGAGTTCGATGAATCTTAGTCGTAACTGAGAAAGAAATATCACACTCACCACATATTCTGTTGAATATGCTTTAGTATTACATCAATATAAGGAAGTCAAGTCAAACTCACCTTCCGTACTCGGTTAGCACCACGCGGAAGCCCTGTGCTGAAACAGCAAGGTTGTCTGGAAATAGCTTCAACCTTCGCTCAAATACACCAGAGCACAAATCAATCACCTGTCTTATCCTGTAATGAGTCCAATTCTCTCTCCACGTTTCTGCGACCTTTGTGATGTTCTCCCTCATAATACCGACGGTGTCGTCAATCTGTTGCTGTATAGCTGCGGTTTTAGGGTTTCCACCTTGACTCGATCCACCAGCGGGATTGGATGAGGAGCCATTACGGGGGAGGTAAGGGTCGTAAGGTTCGGACCTATGATAAGGAAAAATACAGATGAACTACGGCCCCTGCGTCATTTGGGAGAACAAACGAACATGACTGGAAAACGACGTTAAAAGGGCTCTGAAACGGTGAAGTTTAGTAGTGAAATCAGCAGTAGATTTATGGTCTCAGTAAAGGGGACACACCGTTAGAAGTGAGATTTAGAGGGCGGAGTTACTTGGGGAGTGAACTAGTGAATTGGGATGACTGCGTAGAGGCGTTGACGTTGCTGAGACATGGGATGCAGCGGCATATTCGCACGCGCAAGTGACGTGTGACCGCTTTGTGACACTTTCCTGTTTTAGGTTTACCCCTCTATGTACCTGAAATTGCAGTGCGACGTTTCCAACACACTGCACTGGGTTGCTGCGCTTGGGTCAATAATTTACAGCAACAGGATAATCTATTCAAACTCAGCTGGCTATTAAGTCAATTGGTCTTCATATTCCCAGCTGTAGTACGTAGAAGTATTATTTCAAGGGCAAGCAGTAACCTGCAGTAACCACAGAGTAATATTAATGAAAATTGGGGACCGCTCCGAAACAAAGCGATGATCTAAGGACGTTTGAACTATGCACTGTGCTCCAGGTTAGGCTCAATACTGGGATACATATATTAATCGCAAATCCTAAAACGTGATAATTCATATCGTTTCAAGATATCTCGGAGAGTGGACTGGTGGTCCCCGGGTCACAATAGAGCCCCCCTCACTGAGCTTTGGTTCGGCGATTCTGCGTGGTTTCCGTAGCCACGCCAAGTACAAGGTTGTGTGTATGTCATAAGATTCGGAATTGCCAAATTTGGTCACGGTACAAGCCGAAGTTGAATCCCCGCTACCCATCGAGTCCACCCCGTCCTCGAAGGCACCACCAAATCAGCAAACCCCGGCAATTCCGTCAAGGTAAGCCAGAATCCATGCCATTTTTTCTTCGCCAAACACCAGAAATGCATCCGTTCTGTTCATGCGCGAAGTTGGGACGAATTTCAGCCAAGGATAGGCTGTAGGAGTGGTGGATGAATCAGACTGATGACGGATGACGTTTCTGGCTTGTCGCATATTCATATGAGCTTTGGAAAGGACGCAGACTGACTTATTCCCATCGTGCGCGCCGGTTCTATAGATGGTGCGTCTCTGCTGCATATACATCCATTACTGAAATCTAAATCGTTTGATGTGTTTGAGTAGAAGGTCGAAATCGACGCATTCTCCGGTTTCCGTGTGTACCCCTCCAAGGGCAAACTCTTTGTCCGTGGAGACTCCAAAGTCAGCTCGTCTCCCCCACTTTCAAGCTTCCTGCCTGAACGCTCCTTGCAATATAGGTTTTCCGATTCGCCAGTTCCAAGAACTCTTCCCTGTTCCTCCAGCGCAAGAACCCACGTAAGATCGCATGGACACAGGTCTACCGCCGCATGCACAAGAAGGGTATCACCGAGGAAGTTGCTAAGAAGCGTTCCCGCCGGACCGTGAAGCACCAACGTGGTATCGTTGGTGCTGACCTTGCCACTATCGCCGCCAGGCGTAACCAGACCGCTGCTGTCCGTAACCAGCAGAGAATTTCGGCCATTGCAAAGGCCAAGACTGAGAAGAAAGAGAAGGAGTCGAAAAAGGCCAAGGTATGTTGTCAAAAATTAATGGGGGTACGTACGACTTACGCCGGCCGGTGTAGCCTGCACGTGCGCCTGTCGCGAGTGGACCCAGGGTGTCGAAGCAGCAGATGAAGGGTGGCAAGGGTGGCCGATGAGCAGTTCTTTTGTTGTTGGCACATGCCTATGTATCGCACATCCTTTTCGACATGACTTCTCACGCGCAAAATCTATGCTGCATGCTTCTACATGGCACATTCACTTCTACCGGTTCTGGGGCTGTTAGTAGGTCTCGTGCATTTCGATGCTCACTTGACTCTCGAAGTAGAGTTGTCAATCATACAATTTGTTGGCAATAAAACCGATAATACAGGTGTGTACAAGGTACTTGTACAGAATGACCGGTCAAATTTAGAATACTAACGATGGCATATACGAGTGTAGGATAAGATGACAAGTCAAAGCTTCATCGATGCGTGATTGACATGTTCTGGTGAGTACTTTACCTGCGTATTCCGTTAGCAAATTTGGCTGTGAGAAGTGCCTGAAATTTTACCATCTCGTTCGCCATCTTGGCATAGCCACATTTTTGGTAGAAGGCTATGGGACATTAGTCCGTATAAGTGAAAGTCTATGGAGGGAACCAACTCACGCATGGTAGTATCAATACAGCCCAACCTGGTCTTATAGCACCCGCTGCTCTCACTTATATGTGTGAGGGCCTGGACGATAAGGAAGCCAAGCTTCTTGCGCTGGTGGCTTTTGGCGACGGCGATATCCTCAATATGACCGACGCTGCCAAAACCGAGGAGGAACTTGCAATGAATGAAGACAGTGCCTATTCCGACGATCTTGTCGCTCGCCTTGTCGAGGACGACGATGGAGAAGTGTGCGCTCGGGGTTGCGCGCATGGCGTGGAACTGGTTGACCCATACTTCCTCGCCGAGATCGTTGACGACAGTTAGAACGGAAAGGACATCGAGATATCCGCGTTTGTAGTCTGTCGATGCAAGCGGACGTATCTATGTCTTGTTGATGTGAAAGTGATGTGAGAAAGCCAATGATCAACTCACCTGCAAGTCAGAAGGAAGTTGCGCTGAAACTTCAAGTGAAATGAGCTCTTGAGGGAACATAAGGTCTAGGGAGGCGGGATCTACGTGCGTCGTGGACATGGTGTCGATCATTGACATAGTCACTATGTCAATGATCGAGAATCAGTACTCAGTGCTCGCTTGAATGTTCTTCTTAACTCACTATCGCCACTACCGTACTAGTGGCGATAGTGAGTTAGGAAGAATATTCGAATGAGCACTGATTCTGAAGACACGGTGGGGGCGATGAGTAGGTTGTTGGTTGAGGGGGATTGCACGTATCCCATCAATGCTCTTATATGAGAGCCAAGCACCCAGTTCGTGTACTGTTACTGATCTTACTCGGTTCCTTCGAACAACTTCAAACCTTGACCCAGCATTACATAATGAACGTTGAACCCTCATGGCATTCTATAATGAAAAGACCCCCAGACTCTACTCAACATGTTCGCTTCAGCTGCAGCCATATCCCCGCTACTTACTCGCATGCTTCCCTTCCCTCGCTTCTCTATTACTACCTTCCAGCATCATTTGTGCACGGAGACGCCAAAATCCCTTTTCGGCTTGGAAATGACCGAAACAGGATGTCGATGTGCTAATGGCCATGAGACTCGAGGTCTGAAGCTTCCTACTACCCCCCTATTGATCAAAGGTCACTATTTCTAACAGTTAGTTTGTCACACTAAGCTTCGATATCATTTTGTCCAGGCTATTGCACTTTTCGGTGCCGAGTTCAAGACCTCACGACAACACTCAGATCCAATTCCGTGCAGCGTTGTGAATGTGAGCTTTCTCACTCTCGACCAAACTCGTCAGTCGTATCTACGCGGGCAGCTTGCAATAATTGCTTTCCAGGATGGGCGGTACAGCGAAGCGGCCGATCAACTCGACCGTAGTATTCCCAGAACAACCGACTTGTTCTCGAGCAGAGCACTTTTTGAACTTAGATTGAACTTCATTGAAGATATTCATGGTGGTGCGCCACGAGGTCACAGTACATTTTTACTGATTTATAATAAAGCCCCGTTCGTCTACTGATTCCCGACCCTCCTCCATTATCTGTTTTTGTTGATGCTTTTACCTCATTTGGCATCGGTTTCCTCGCTGATTCCCGCTGGCTCGCTTGGGAATTGTTGGACGGTTGGAGGGCAGATGGTCGGGACATCGGGCGTGCGGTTCCGTTCTAATAACCAGGGTTGTGTTAAAGCTCTTTAAGCTGGTCGCTCTCGCAAATTGAGGTCTGTCCTTCAATCATTTGTTTTCTTGTCTGTTGCTTGGCTATGTCAGCGTTCGCGTGCTCTTCCATATTCCCTGACACATTAGTGTGAAAGGAAACTTGGGTAATACTCCCAATCGCTTTGCAGATATCCCTCAGTGTCGCATAACAGCTTATCTTTTCCGGTCCCAGAGGTTTCGGATATGATGCTCCGCCCATTCTGCAGCAAGGAAATTTGACACTGATATGCTGACATTCTGCCCCCGTCTGTCCGTACCACCCGCATGCTTCATATTTCGGATCACGTTCCTGTTCTGGTCATCTCGCCATGCACGAGTACGCAAAATCTCCACGACATTATGGACGAACAATCCATGCACAATTTCACCGATCGCAGTGCCCCCATTGAAAACGCTCGGCGCAGCATAAATTTGCCCTACCGGGGGAATCATTTCGATTTTGGGATGCGTCTGTTATAGTTATTCATGATCCTTGCGTGATTTCCCCTGGACCATGTACATTGTCTCATTTCAAATGCGATGCTGCCTGCGCCATCCTTAAGCAGGTCGCTGGAGCTATTAGTTGTGTCTTTGGCAAATAGGCGCATTTTCTTTCCCTGCGACCTGGTGTAGACGGTCCATATTATTCATGTCATGGCATATATATGTGGTCATTAAACTGCTCTGGGTAAATCGTATGAGACAAGAAAGACACAACCTGGCGTACAACGGATCCTTACTGAATATCATGAGCTACATCACATCCGCAAATGGCGACTGGCCCTCTAAAAACAATGCCCATCCTTCGAATCTGTCTGGTAAAGTACTGAATGGCGAGAAACTGTATAAATGCTTGGGAGGCACTCCCATCTCAGCGCACAAAGACCGTGTCTCTTCGAAGCGCTGTGTGGCTAGAGCAAAATTCCTACGCGCAAATGCAATCTCCCCCAGACCACGTATGCTGCATGTCTTGAGCAGCAAATTGCTTTGTATGTCGCAGGCTTCGATCGTGGTGGTGAAATAAGTCTCGGCCCTGTCGCACTCGCCTGCAGTGAGCTCGATGCATGCGGAACCGTAAGATTGATGGAGGAATGTGCGTGAATTGCGCAGTGAAAAGAATTGGAAGGATTCGAAGGCTTTAAGGACGAGCTCCCTCGCCAGGTTATAATCCCCTTGCTTGCTCACAACATGAGCCTTCCATACGGTATACCAAAGGACACCTCCTGCAGATTGTCCATCCATCCCTATGATTTTCTGTACGATATCCATTGCTTCAGACAATCTGCCTTCGCAATATGCAATGTCTGCAAGGCCCTGGAGTAGGACTCCGAGGATTGCGGTATCTCCAGTACCTGCATGCTGCATGGACAGGTCTTTGAGGTGCGTCTTCACCTGGACAACATCTCCCCCATGATAAAATTTGGCCAGCCAGTGCCAAATCTTGGATGCCAAGCCCCAGACGGGATCTTCCATGGACTTCACAAATAATTCATCCGCAGATGCTGTGAATGTATACATCCGGGCATTATCGAAGAAATACCAAGCTTTGGCTTTCATTGTTTCGCTGAGAGAATGCCAAGAATCGGAGTGCTGAAGGTCCTCTAAAAGATTCTGGGACTGAATAAAGCGACCTTGAGCCCACAGCAAGCTTGCACGAGATATAAGACAATGCCCCATCCTCTCGGGGTCGCCGGCGGTGAGGTAGAGCGCCTCGGCAGCTTGATAGGCCTGCGATGCTTCGACGAGCTGAGAAAGTGTGGTGTAGAGCTGCGCAAGAGTTAACAAGCAGTTTGCTTTTAGCGTCCACATGGATGAGTTCTCGACGATGTTGGAGATAGCAGAGGTAAGGGTAGTCGGGCGAGGCAGATGCTTCATCAAACACCACAAAAACCGCCAACAAATGTCATAGGTCTCTTTCTTGTCATCTTGGATGTGAGCAAGGTTGACAGCAACTACGTGCTCGATGTTAAGGTGATCCGAGATAATGATATCAGCATGACTATCTCGTTTGTCTGAACACCGTCGGACAGTGCGATAGTAGAAAGCACGTATCTCTTGCAAACACGTGGGGTCAGGTGCTTGCAACGAATCTCGCATGTAATGCCGAATGGGGGCGAGCATCTTGAAGAAGTTATCTTGACGATAAACGAGGGATTGCATGCATAAAACATCACATATAGCGTCAACTTGCGGGAGTGATGGTAACAAATCACTAGCCAGGTCCTCGTTGAGACCCTGGGGCAAGAACACAATGATGGCTAAAGCACGAAGACCATATTTGCCAAGGTTCTGGACCGACGGAGAGCTGAGCGACAGCTGCATGGTGTCGGATAAGCTTTGCAGCTTCCCCTTGCCACCATCGAGTACCTTGCTATGCCGATCATTTCATCTCTTGAGCAGCTTGGTTGGAGACCAACCATTTTGTTGCGCAGCGTTTGCGAGTATGTTGATGGAAAGGGGGTGAAAATCCAATTCCTTCAGCAGGCCCTTGATGTCTTCTTCAGCTTCGCTACGACTGGCACACTGATAAATTTGAAAAAACATCACTTGAGCAGAGCTCAAGTCCAGTGGCAGAATATCCTTGGTAATCCATCGTACGTTCGGTGCATTCCTTCTACTGCGTGACGTCAGGATCAGAATGACGCCAGGGACACTAGTGATTTTGGCGATGGCTGGCGGTATGTCTCTGAGCGCCGACGATGCACTGGCTTCTTCGAAAGTCTCAGCATTATCGAGGACAAGGAGGGCGCAGGCAGAATCAAGAAAGGAAGATATCTGGCGCACAGGATCAGAGCCGGCGATCTCTATGCCAAGGGCTCTTGCGAAACGAGTCATGAAAGTTTCGAAAGTGATGATCGAAGGATCCAGGTCATCGTAAGTCACAAAGAAGCGCCGATCAGCAAATTTCTTTATGACGAGCGGCTCGTTGATGATGGCTTTGGCCACAGAACTCTTTCCCATTCCCCCAGGGCCAATCAACGCCAGATGCTCATCATTGACGACAAGGTTCGTCAACTCTGCCACAAGATCGTCACGGCCATACAGCATGGCAGGCCGTGATGGTGGCTTGATTTGACGATTCCTAATTGCATTTAGGGGACATGCACAACTTGCCGGCAATAAAAACGTACTTTGGGACATTGATACTAGGATTGTTGCCTATGAGTTCTAAAGCCTTCTTTACAAGCTTCATGTCAATCCCCATGCCAGCGATCGCTTCAAACTGAAGACATCATTCAGCAGCAAAGCGAGATGAAGTTACACAGGCATACATTGAAAAGTCCAAGGACGCGATCTAAATCCTTTTCTCATGTGGTAATCTTGTCGCGATTAATCGTGACACTGAAGAGCCTCCTCCACAATCCTTGCTCCTTCGATGATGCTACGTCACTGTTGATACGATTTACCGATCTGCACAGTGTCAACAGATTCTAGCGATTGGTGAAATCGGCTCGGCTCACTTGTTAAGCTGGGGTTAATGCATGACCCAAGTGTCCTCATAGATCATCTTCAGTAGCGTCCTTGGTCGCCCTTCCAAGAATCTTTCTGATAGTCTCGCACTTGTCGGCTATCGCCTGGAAATCGGACTTGTTTTTGATTACTGACTGTATAGACGTAAGGCTAGGTAGGGTTTTTATCGATATTTGTAAGAGTTAGACCAACGCACCTGCGCAAGAGTCAGAATGTTTGCAATTGTTCTGAGGATGCCTTTCGCGAGATCGATGGGCACAAGGTCTTTGGTAGCGTTGATAGCGGCTATAGTGACGCCCAGTAGTTGGCTTATGCTGTCGTCCTGCGACTCCTCGGTTACATGAGCGGATTGTTTTGAGTCCTTATACGATAGATCAGATATACAGTAGTGACACCTAGATACGCGGCTTCTCACCTTTGGTTTTTTGGACCTTCCGGGTCCTGCTTTCGTTTTTTTTTGAAGACATCGCCTGGGTTCGTGTGGTGGTGTAGTGGGTTTCGGTCAGCAAACAAGCACCTTCACCCACCTCGAGGTTGTGAAGGGTGAGAAACGGCACGGGTTGGCGGCATAACCTACCGGGGCGTCTATTATATCGAGAGAATGAACGTTGGGAGGCAATAGAGCGAAAGAAGGACTTACTCAGGTTGGAACTAACGAAGATGGGCTGGATCCGAGTCCTCGGGGTCTTGCATCTTGAAGGAGTGATGCATATGCTCGTACCTTGAAGTGATGCAATTTGTAGGAACCTAGAATTTTCGGACGAATAACAGCTGGAGACTGGTGTGGTCGCTGAGCTTGATAGCTTCACTCTGACGTAGGTTTCGGATATAATGGTATGAGTAATGAACTACATATGGTCTAATCAGCGTGACCATACGCTCAGGTCAAACGCACTCTACTTAGACCAGACACACCGGCACAGTGGTACGTCTATGCTTTCCGTTACAATATATATGAGAGCCAAGCACCCAGTTCGTGTACTGTTACTTATCGATTATCAGTCGTATCTTACTCGGTTCCTTCGAACAACTTCAAACCTTGACCCAGCATTACATAATGAACGTTGAACCCTGGAGGGCAGATGGCCGGGACATCGGGCGTGCGGTTCCGTTCTAATAACCAGGGTTGTGTGAAAGCCTTTAAAGCCGGTCGCTCTCGCAACATTGTCCAGAATGACATTCTGGAAGCTGCAATGTCTCTCCTCCTTTGCTCTCAAACACGGCATCCGGATTTCTGTTGAATGGGTGAGGTCTTGCGATAACCTGGCAGATGGCACCTCTCGCGGCGTTTTTCCCGCTTCCCACTCTCGTTTCAGCTCTCCTCCCTTGCCTGCTTACCTCAAGCCCTGTTTCCGCTTGGTGTAGTTTGGCAGTTCCCCGCAAGGTCCCCCACGGCTCTACGCTGTTCTATGTAATGACCGGTCCGGCAACTTCTGGTATCAGCAACTTTCGAGAAGGACTAATTTCGTACGCTGACATATCAATCCCTCAACTCCAATTCAAGTATGATATTATATACTGAGATTCGCTACTGTAGCACATATGCAATACCTATCGTGTCACCAACAAGGGACACAGTACTACTGCCTGACAGGATGGCGGAGCATCTCCCCATGAACAGTAACCTCCCTCGCGACCGAGAACAACGGCTCAATGACCTCCACATCAACCTCGCTCAACCCGGACATGGTCGTCTGAAAGTCTACCACCTGTACGTCACAAGATGCAATTTCCAGCGCTGCCACATTTCAAGAAACTTCCGATTCTTCTGGATCTGCCACAGACGTCAATATCCGCAACATGGGAAGATATAGTTCGCCAAATATTTTGAGAACTTTGCTTTGTTGAAAAGGATCCGAGGGGATATCGATAGGGAAAGTGATCGATTCGAAGCAAGAGTGGGTGGTTGAATTATATGGATGGCTAATATCCGATATGATTGGATCTACCTCGATGCATCTGATGGACAATATGAATCTATCTAGCGGCTTCCAATGCTTCAATGCCAGCCAGGCCGAAGATGAAATTTGACTTTTCGCAAGTCCGCTCAAACAAACGTTCCCTCCTCGATGAATGATTTACTACCACAGATCAGTTTCAGTCTTTGAGAAGCTTTCGCATGGCACGAGTATCTGCTAGTGAAATAGTATGTGCAAGGTATGTGTACAGAATGTCCGCAGTAAAATCTAGAATACGTGCGATTGATGATGGTATATATTACGAGTGTGGGATGAGATGGCAAGTCAAAGTTTTGGTGCGTGATTATCGCGTTCTGGCGCGTACTTTGCCTGCACATTTCGTTAGCAAAGACTACGAGAAGTGCTTAAAAAATTACCATTTCGTTCTCCTTCTTGACATAGCCACACTTTTGGTAGAAGGCTGTGGGACATAGTCAGTATAAGCAAAAGTCTATGGAGGGAAGCAACTCACGAATGTTGGTGTCATTACAGTTCAAGATAGTCTTATAACAGCCGCTGCTCTCACTGATATGCGTGAGGGCCTGAATGATACGGAGGCCAAGCTTCTTGCCCTGCTGGCTTTTGTCGACGGCGATATCCTCAATGTGACCAACGCTGCCAAGACCGCGAAGGAACTTGCGCTCGATGAAGACGGTGCCTACTCCGACGATCTTGTCGCTCGCCTTGTCGAGGATGACGATGGAGAAGTATGCGCTCGGGGTTGCACGCATAGCGTGGAACTGGTTGACCCACGCTGCCTCACCAAGATCGTTGACGATGGATAGAACGGAAAGGACATCGAGATGCCCGCGTTTGTAATCTGTTGATGCAAGTGGACGCATCTATGTCTTTTTAACGCGAAAGTGATGTGTGAGAGCTGATGATCAACTTACCTGGAGATCAGAGGGAAGCTGTGCTGAAACTTCAAGTGAAATGAGCTCTTGAGGGAACATAAGGTCTAGGGATGCGGGATCTGCGAGCGTCGTGGACATGATGTCGATTATTGAGATAGTAGTGAAGATGAGTTAAAGACAATATTCAAGCGAGCCTTTATTAAGAATTCTGAAGAGAATGGCAATACGGTGGGGTTGATCTGAGTCTGAGTTGGTTGAAGGGCATTGTATGTATGCAGTGCTTAGTTACGTTACTAGCTATGTGCGTTGCCAAACATAGCCGGTGACAGTATTTTCGGGCAACTCCGACGTCGAAAACGCCTCGGAAACTCAGTACTCAGTACTCAGCGCTCAGCCCCAGTGAAAAACGGTCCTAGCCATATCTACGGCAAACGACGAAAATGTTAGTTATATACCAATAATATTGCGATAACTACGCAAATCGATAAATTGAAAAGTGCGGTTGATCCATTGAGCAAAGATCCGTTGAACATTGGTTGAACATGCTGAAATTTTTTCAACTTTAACTTGACTTTGCTCAATATTTGAATGTTTGAACATTCTTGCGCATCAGCTGCGCAGGCACCATCACTTCATGCGATGACGTCGATATGCAGTGGACCAATTATGATATATATTGGGACATTCCATCCATACTCGGTTCACCTCAGCTTTCTTCTTCCCTTCCATCATCTCGTCCTCCTCTCAGCAAAATCTCGCTGTTGACCTCAACCGTCCTGGTACCGTCTGATGCATGATTTTCTCGCTTAGCCACTGCACTAACAAGATAAGACCTAGACCTTTTCACGGCCTAATCCATCTGCTGATCCCACCCACTCGACCGTAGTCATCCAAGTAAGTGCTATTTACGGCGCATATATGCAAACATTTCGAACATTGTGAGTTATCTGACATTGTCAGGTTCATTCACTGACTGTTTTACATCATCGCTAGCTCACTACCATTGTCCCGATTATCGACACGTCCAGCAGCTTCAACAGATACACCGTTACAAGACAGTCGATTGGTGAGTTCCATTAAAAGCTACCCAATATACTTTAACTGATATCTATTGCCGTAGAAACACGAGAACGAGGTAGTTGTCATTGTAAGTACTGTCTGCTTGCCTGGCAAGCACATCTAACAATGATTTGTTTCAGTTAAGGACTCCCATGTACCAGAAGCTGGTGGGCTACGTCATCCTGATGCATGGGTGGGGGTGCCAGTGGTATATAGAGTACACTTTTATTGCATTTGTAATTTTTTCGCAATACAATTGTTTTTGGTCGATTTGGGTTGATGTGCGAATATGCAAAAGGTCAATTGGGAGCTACTACAATATACTAGAATCTACGCTACGCAAACACGCTCGATTCTGCAATATCTCGCTCGATGCGAGTCGCTGAAAATATCATATAAGTCTCATCCGTCTCCCCAAATCGACGCAAATATTGTCGCGATATTTCGGTCGTTTTCCGTCGATACGGCTAGGACCGTTTCTCACTGGGGCTCAGCGCTCACCCCAAACGCCCCCATTGATCAATATTAATAGTATAACATCGAAAACTTCACACTTGGACAGGCATAATAAAATTTGAGGGCATATTTCCAGACCTCAAGGCCTCATGCGCCGCTACCTTCACAGTGTTTGCTCTTCCAGATTCATTCAACGATGAATAACCGAACCACATCCATCTTTTCGCCGATGATATTATCACGGCTTTACACTCTGATGCCTCAAGAAGAAGATCTTCCTCGTCACATCTTTGCTGAAGTACCCCTGGCCGAGGAAGCTTGTGGTCCGTGGATGGTTTCAAGGTGGCCCGGGAAGCCGCCTTAGACCTGACTCGCGCTTCAAGGTTGAAGCAAAACTGAGGTTTGGTACTACTTCGAGCCTGTGGGTTGCTCGTGATTTGAGGTACGTTGTTGACGCTTGTCGGTAACCGGATGTTGCATGCTTAGAAAGGACAACTATGTTGCTCTCAAGATATTGAACGAATACGCCAGCAAGGTAAATAGGGAAGACAAACTTCAGGAACTCAAAGTGCTGCAGTGCCCATCGTCTGACACGTTCTTGCCGCTCTCAGTTGATACAGCGGACAGTTTTTTTTCGACTACTCACCCATTTCTACCATCAGGACATCGAAGACGACGGCGAGCATTTGTGTCTCGTTATGGATCTATCAGGCTCCAACATTCAACATCCATGTGGCCCATCTCCCTGCTCGTGCTAAAAGGATGTAGATCTACCGCTTCACTGGCGTCAGCACCCGCATCAACAACATTCTGGACAGCGTACTAGGCCCGGTCCATCTGCACAGCTTCAATGAAAATTTTGTGGACTGTTGGCTACAGCCTGACCCCTGATTAAGGTCCAACGCCATTATTCCTCATTGGTGGCAAATATAATCATCAGTCCTCCTTCGACTTCATATCTGGGATCGTGCTTGAACATGGGACCAATAATTATAGTGTTGCCCTGAATAACGGCGCAGGCAGCAGGCACGAAGTACTGGTCGATCAACCTATATATATCGCTTCTTATTGATTATCTACTCCGACGGGCCGAGTCCAAGCTTGTTCAGATCAACATGATTATGCTTGTGTTTCTCGTTCTGTGATGGCACGCCATATTGAAGGAATCTGAGGGGTCCTGCTTTAGTCTTGTCACAAAACCGGCGGTGTGGATCCTTGGCTGTAGATGTCTTATGGAGAAAGATAAGTATATGATCACAGTTCGTGTTCTGACAGTGACAAAATTCTGAAAATTTTAAATCTTGCCCAAGGATTCCCAGCCCTGGCTGCCGCAAGTACTTATACGTGCTCACAACTCAATCCCTCTTGTCCATACATTTCAATCCTAAAGAATGTCAAGACTTCGTGGGAATTACCAAACTTCAAAACGGCGAGCCAACACGAAGATCGCAGGAACTCTGACGGGAGGTGGCCACCGTCGTGCGCATACGCAACCGATACCAACATTTTATTCCACGGTTCATACTACGAATGTTCCAAGTTGGACTTCCGAAGTGCGTTTTAACTTTTCAGGGTCAAATCGAGCTCTCTGCATGTAGACCAAAACACTGAATGATAATCTTTGCAAGTCCAGAGCAGAGCGAGATAAAGAATTTCAACTTACTCGCGTTGATACAGAAAAGTCCTTTACTATGACGTTGCTACGGGCAGTCTTGACACTCGAGTAATAGATGTCTATCAGAGTTGTACCTTCAACTACTCAGGAATGACCGATCACAGCAGTAGGTTTGTACTCTTCCTCAAGATATTTAATTTCCTCCACTGTAAGTTTCACGTCGATTCCAGCTTCGGTTCAGTGTCAGTGGGGAAAGAGATACTTCATATACACAATCGCCACTTACCAATGAGATCTTTCAATTTTTCAATACTTGTAGTGCCGACAACTGGAGCCGACACTCCTGGAGAGGGATTACATGGATCGAGTACCTGCATGAACGTGAAAAACCACCCACCATCCTTGGTCAATATCCATGCCAGTGCTACTTGGGCCATGGTTATACCTTTCTTCTTGGCAAGGTTCTCGACACTGATCAGCCTTCTCAGCTCGCTGTTTTTCTTGAGTAATAGGGAATCAACATACCGATTAATGATAGTCTCGTACGCCGATACGTTGACATATTTCCCAATCATGCTATAAGAAAGCATCAATCAGACAAGCACTCCGGGTAAGACGTCAGAAACTAACGAATCAGTTTGACCTCTATCTGTCTGCTGTCCAAGGGGACGTGTGAGGGCACCGCGAGCCAGCGGAGACCATGGGGTTGAGCTGACACCAAACATCTTCATCCTTGTGAGTCACGGTGCTAATATTCTCAGTACTATGCAAGAACCTTGAGAGTTGGAAACATCTCGCGTTCCTCCTCGCGATAGAGTAGACTGTAGTGGTTTTGCATGGATATGAAGGGAGTGAGCTTGTTTGTGATCGCATAGTCTGCATTGATTCGACGTCAGAGGAATGTTTGTACAAGCGTATCGAGGTCTGACTTTGCATTGCTTGGACTGGACAGTAAACGAACATTAGACCGGCGCTGCAAAGGAGTAGGGTATACGCACACTGATGTGCCCAGCACGAACTCATTCCGATGTAGCGGACATAGCCGGCTTGTACTACATCGTGCAATGCTTGCATCTTCTCGAAACTTAGCACAGGAAAGCACATATAAGATATGTATTACCGTCTCTTCAATAGGCGTTTCCTTGTCAAATCTGTGGCCTACAAGTGAATAAGCTGTATGAGAAGCGGCCAGCATATTGATAACTCGACGTGCATTGTAGAAGGTCAATATAATCCAGTTGAAGCCGCTCCAGGCTCTGTTTTACGCTTGCGAAGATGTGCTGGTTCGTAATTTCAGAAAGTCGAAACACCTCAAAATCTTGATTGAAAACATGCCTTGCGACTGAGACCATGCTGGTTCACATAGCCATGTCGGTCTGGCTCATCACGCCCGGGAAAGAATCGGCTGGCACTATATTCACGTCCGACTACATGGTACACCTGATTGGAGCAGAAGTGATGAGAGCTAGAGAATATTCAGGACAAATACCTTTGTCATAACGACAATTTCGTTGCGAGGTAAGTTCAATTTCTTGATTGCTCGTCCAAGAATTACTTCCGAGTAACCACTGGAATACGTCTAAGAAACAGATGATACAAGATATCCTTTATTTAACCAGTATTAGCACTGGATGGTAATGTTGGATAACTCACATCAGCGGTATCAAACGTCTGGATTCCTGCTTCGTAGCTGCTCCTAGTTGTTAAAGGGCATGTAGATCCGTGATTGAGACTAAGGACTTACGCGGTCTTGATGTGTTCAACGGCTTCATCCTCTCCGAGAACCCAATCTTGCCATCCCTTGTTGCCGTACTGCATGATGCCAAGTATGATTCTGGAAACCTTTAGGCCAGAATTCCCCAGCCTCACTGAGCACATGGTTAGAGTGAGTACCTTCCCACGAAACGTAGCAATACTCACCGTAAGGCATCTTTTTTGGTGTGGACATGTTTGCTAAAGTCTCTTTCAACTATCGACGAACAGCGGGAGATGAATAAGCGAAAACACTCAAAGAAAACGGTATGAAATAGGGACGGCGTATCATCTTGTTATTCTTAAGTACTTCTATACACCGACACAGGTATCATTATAGGTATTCTTCGTCAGCAGTAGTATGCTCACCTGATATATAGCCCTCCGAATATTTCCCGAGATTAGAGTCGATAAGGATGTCATTTTTAGCTGGATTCTAATAGTAGGGTGGTTTCCCGGCCTTCTTTGGCAATAGCCTTAGAATGAATCAACCTACCGTAGATATGGCTTTCAGTCTGTAACTGCACAAGCTGTCACTCACTTTCATGGTGCTGGTTCTCTTGGCAATCCTGGGCACCATCAGTGTATCGGATACCTTGGATCTGCATTCTAGCCAGAAACCTACCACTTGAATGACTCCGTTCTCTTGTGGTTTCCAAAGGAGCGTGACACTACCAAGACGAGGACACATCGTATAAGGGATCACAAAGGCGAATATGAAGGAAACTAAACGGCACAAAACGAAGGACAAAGAAATCATGAAATCGTAACAAATGGTAACGAGCGATGATACTTTACCCTGTTGTACTTCTCACTCTTCTCACCCAGTGCTTTCAAGACAATAAGCAAGGCAGTGGTGAGCCCACTTACAGACAAACGGAGACAAGCTTGCAAACTTCAAAGAACGTAACATCCGAAGCCAGTGACAATGAGGATGTCACGGTTGCTGGAAGCATGGAAGTTCGCGGTAAGCAAAACAGGAGGAAATATGGATAAGACAGACGAGGTGGACAGGATGGAAGAGCAACGAGGTGGGCCAAAGGTGAGCGCGCATTATATTTTCGAAAGGAACAATGTTGCTTAGCCTGGAGATATATTTCAATGTTAATGGAGATGGCGGGTGGGGCAGATGCGTGCAGATTTGCAGACGATGAAATAAATAACTTGCCAGTGAGCCAATAATCAATATTAATGAGCGCTGAGCGTCGTGAGCGTTGAAGCATTCGTTTCGTGAACCGTGGCTGTGCGGCCCAGAGAATACCTTGTCCGGGGTCCCAGACCGGCGGTAACTCTGAATCTGACTGAAAAAAAATTAAAAAAATCGTGAGCACCATATATAAATTTCGTCTGATATCGAGAGTCTATGACTAGCTACTACGACTTTCACAATCTTGAATGGCCCCATCTAAAATGGATACTTACCTGGTGGTCACTGGTCAAAACGAAGTTTGAATGAACGTTGCTTCATCAAACCTGATAAGGTAGTACCATACGCTCTTTACATAAAGTGCCTCATGATAGCGCCACAGATGCCAGCGTGTTCAGCCCCCAGCACTAGCCCTCAGTCCCTACTAGTTTCGTTGAACTCTACAGAATGACACGACGTCGCAGGAATACCCCCAAACAACAAGCCAGAACGGAGCTTGCAGGAGAAGCTCAGAAGACGGACGACTTTCCGAGTCCATGTACGCCTACGACACAATACCAACATTTCATTCCACGGTTTATATTGCGAAGATTCCAAGTCGGACCTGTGAGGTGTGTTTTCAGAGCCCTCTGCGTGTAGACACTAGACTACAACACTGAATGATATTATTTGCAGGTCCAAAATAGAACGACAAAGAGAATTTCGACGCACCGGTGTTAATCCTGAATACGTCCACTATTATGATATTGCTACTGGTAGCCTTGACATTCGTCCTATTGGAAAGGTTTACGGCGTCCCGAATGTTTATCAGGACATCCGCAATACCCACAACATCAACGAACTAGAGGAGAAATTAGCGGACCTCGAACGTCATGCAGCATCCATTATCATGGACTTGCATAAAGCACTGCCTCAGGGTACTTTCACTTTGAAGCGGAGGTCGCTAGAGCTCCTGCGGAAGTTCCTGTTTATCATGCATTATCGCAATGTATCATATTCTGGCACCTACTTTCAAGCGGATCACCCGGAGAACGCAGGAGGCCGTCAGTGGATTGAGGCCTTCATGAAAGCGAAGGGTATTCAATCCGCTGTCGAGACATGGCTACACTTCCTCAGATACTATCTGGACACGTCTCATTCAGATATCATGCGAGATGCTGCAGAACTAGTGGAGAAGTACGGCGAAGAAGGTCTTCAAAAAATGATGACTGACTCGCATATCCCACCTGATCTCGAACACTTCCCAGCTTACACTTACCACGGTCACGCGAACAGCTACTTCTTCAGTATCTGGGAAGCCGCGGAAGGGGAAGAATTTATCATCACGCACAACGCATTTGGTTTGTGGGAAGGTTTGGGAGGTGGCTGCCCCGGCCTGCACCGCATATTTGTAGTCAGCCCTCGCATTGCTCTCGTCCTGCGCCATGTGATAACGCGTCCAGAAATGAAAGAATACATAAAGCCGGGTGCGTTCGTGAGCTCCTTGCTCAACGTGAATCCAGCACCACCAACTCCAATTTACGCCAGTGGAAAACACGGTACACACATCAACCACGTAAATTTCCAGTCCGCGATGTCACTTGCACGCTACAGATCCTCCCAGGAAGGGGGTAATGACAGTTTTGTGTTTAAGATCACAAAACTGTCGCGACCCCAAACATTGGAGTTCAATTCCGTTGTATTAGTCAACGTGAGGAAGACAGGCTCTTTGACCTTCCTGTCAAGGAGGAGTATGCTCCGCACCGCGCGTGCATTCCGGAGTTTGCCAGCCAATTTCCTTGCGAGCGAGCTGCTCGTTCCCCTCATTGCGCAATTGACGAATACCATGGAGACAGAAGTGCCAGCTCTTCGCCCACCAATACAGTCACCAGCGACTGTCCTGGACCAGGATGTTGACGCACTTACACTCGTTGATGTAGTGCTCTATGTGCTTCTAATGCAGATATGCACGGGTAGCAGGTGGTTCGAAACGGCATACGACAGGGCACATCTAGTCTTTAGAATCATGGAGAAAGCAAAGCCCACTTCATTCGCAGACGAAATAAGCCGAGAAGTCGAGAAGGCTTTCAAGGTCTGCAAAGATTCGGAGGATGAGATGCCTGTCGGAGAGGGCATCAGTTTCGCTTCCTTACTGCCTTCAATTTCCAACGAGTCGTCTCCTCAACTCTTCCAATTCATGATACCTTGCATGAGCGGACTGGGCGCGGTGATGTCCGGAGGTGAAGGCATTTTGGAAGAGCTCCAAGATGAAGTCGCCGTAGTGAGCTTTCTTTCACGTGCATCAAGCAGCCCAGCAGTGTGGCATGCGCTCTCGTGTACCAGCCCACAGGCCCCCGAAATATTGTCAAGGCTATTCAAGAAAGGCACCGGAGCAGATGGATTTGTTGTGGATTTCACGCGGTTTACGTATGAGCGCACTTCACCATCAGATTTCTCTTCTGGTTTTCATATGGCATATTCATTACGAGGAGTATGCGGCATGACTGGACCGACCACCAATCCCATCAGTCAGAGCTATTACCGGTTAACGGCTTCTATGATCCAATGTCTTGGTCGCACAATGCTGGGGTCCCTGCCAGAACCGTACTCTTCGCAGCCGCGCGAGAGGCCCAAGGCCCGGCTCCATTACAAGATGCCAGAAGAGCATTCAAAGTTGCTTTTCTCGAATATGAAGATGATACTGCGGAAATCGCTCCCGGGATATGAGCCGTCGCCAGGAGGGGATACTCTAACCCACACCCTCCGAAAGTGGATAGACGAGATGGCCATCGTCGGTTGTCTTTCGTGGTTGGGGAAGCACAGGAGGAATTATTTGGACTTCATTCTGGATGGGTTTCCGCAGGGTATGAACTTCAAGCTGTTTGAAGATGAAGAAGCCACTGGGAGTACCTGAATCAACTCGTTCGAATTGATCTTCTAAATCACTTACTGATCAGACGCATCAGCTGTACATATTTTTTGAATAAAATGAGGACCCATTGAGGAGATACTGACTTCCAGACTCACGGTAACGCAAGTGTCTATACCAATAGTCTCCCGTAGCATCGAAGTGTTGCATGGCCAGAGCAATACTATGCGCAAATGCAATCTCCCCCAGACCATGCATGCTGAATGCCTTGAACGTCGGGTTGCCTTGCATATCGCAGGCTTCAATGGTGGTGGTGAAATGAGATGCAGCCCTGTCGTATGTGAACGAGACTTATAATAAGGTGGTGCGAAGTATACATCCGACCAGCTCCGAGTCGAGGATCCTCGATGACCTCTAGGTGGGTGAGTCAATAGCCAATTTTGCGAATTGCAGGAAAACGGCTGCGGTGATCCAAGGGCATGAAGAGGACTGAGAACGTGTGATCAATTTGTGCTCGCACATTGAATCGATAGGACCTCGCTGCCGGAGACGACGAACGGATTAGCCTTGTGGTAGTTGCCGATGTGAGTTTGTGTCACTTGCTTCGTGAACGTTCAATCTGAGATGTCCCTGATGCATCGATGCATATGGCTGACTGAAGAAGGATAAGCACGCCTTTGAAAGAGAAAGTATGATTTGCGAAGCAGAGCAGTTCAAGCGGTTAGAACACCTAGAATCAGAGGACTAATCAAAGCCTCGCCGTAGTATATCAGGCTGGTATTTGTGTCATTATTAACTTCCTTGCCATGGATATAATACAACGATGATGAAACTACTCGTGAAATACAACTGCAGGCTAACATATACAATCTACATAGTATCGTTCATAAATGGCGAGAGACCCTCCAGGAATAACACCCATCCTTCGAATCTGTCTGGTAAAGTATCCAACAGAAAGCAGCTGTACAAATGCTGAGGAGGCACTCCCATTTCAGCGCACAAAGACCTTGTCTCTTCGAAGCGCTGTGTGGCTAGAGCAAAGTTACTACGCGTAAACGCGATCTCCCCTAGTCCACGTATGCTGAATGCCTTACGCATAAGATCGCTTTGCACATCGCAGATTTCAATCGTGGCGGTGAAATAAGACTCGGCCTTGTCGCAGTCGCCTGCGGTGAGCTCGATGCATGCCGAACTGTAAGATCGGTGGAGGAATACGCGCGCATTGCGCAGCGCGAAGAATGGGAAGGGTTCTGAGGCTTCCTGGATGAGCTCCCTCGCAAGGCCACAATTGCCCTGCTTGCTCGCCACAACAGCTTTTCGCACGGTGTACCAAAGGACTTTGTCTGAACGTCGTCCCTCAACTTTGAAACATTTCTATGATTGCCTGCAGGTTATCCATTGCGTCAGACAACCTGCCTTCATAAAAAGCAATTTGTGCAAGCCCCTCGAGTACTTCCTTGCGATCAAAGGCAGCATCTCCAGTACTTGTGGATTGCAGGAGAAGGTCTTCCAAGTGCGTGTTAACCTGGACAGCGTCTTCCCCATGGGAAAATTTGGCCCGCCAGTGCAAAATCTTGGAATACAAGCCCCAGACGCGATCTTCCACGAACTTCACAAATAATTCATCGGCAGATGCTGTGAATGTGTACATACGGGCCGTATCCAAGAAATTCCAAGCTCAGGCTTTCGTTCTTTCGCTGAGAGACTCCCAAGAGTCAGAGTGCTGAAGACCCTCTAAAAGATTCTGGGACTGAATAAAGCGACCTTGACATCTCAGCATGTCTGCACGTGTGATAAGACAATCCCCCATCCTCTCGGGGTTGCCGGCGGTGAGGTAGAGCGCCTCGGCAGCTTGAAAGGCCTGTGATGCTTCGACGAGCTGAGAAAGTGTGTCGTAGAGCCACGCGAGAACTGTCAAGCAGTATGCTTTTAGCGTCCACGTGGAAGAGTTTTCAACGATTTTGAAAATAGCAGGGGTAAGAGTAGTCGGGCGTGGCAGATGCTGCTCCAAACATATCAAAAAAATGTAGCAAGCGGCATAGGTCTCTTCCGTGTCATCCGGAATATTGGCAAGGTTGAAAACAACTACGTGCTCGATGTTAAGGTGATCCGAGATAATGATATCAGCATACTGATCATGTTCTTCCGAACAGGAGTAGACAGTGTGATAGTAGAAGGCACGGATCTCTTGCAAACACGTGGAGTCAGGTGCTTGCAATGAATCTCACACGTAATGCCGAATGGGGGCGAGCATCTTGAGGAAGTTGTCTTGACGATAAACGAGAGATTGCATGCATAGAACATCGCATATAGCGTCGACTTGCGGAAGCGATGGCAACAGATCACTAGCCAGGTTCTGGTTTAGACCTTGGGGCAAGAACGCGATTATGGCTAATGCACGAAGACCATCTTTGCCAAGGTTCTGGACCGATGGAGAGCTGAGCGACAGCTGCATGGTGTCGGATATGCTTTGCAGCTTCCCCTTGCCGCCATCAAGTACCTTACTGTGCCGATCGTTCCATCTCTTGAGCAGCATGATCGGAGACCAGCCATTTTGTTGCGCAGCATTTGTGAGTATATTGATGGAGAGGGGGTGAAAATCCAATTCCTTCAGCAGGCCTTTTATGTCTTCTTCAGCTTCGCTACGACTGGTGAGGTGATAAATTCGAAAGAACACTGCTTGAGCAGAGCTCAAGTCCAGGGGTGGAATATCCTTTGTTATCCATTCCACATTCGGTGCATTCCTTCTACTGCGTGACGTCAGGATCAGAACGACACCAGCAATATTGGCGATTTCAGCAATAGCTGGTGGTATGTCTCTGAGCGCCGACGATGCACTGGCCTCTTCGAAGGTCTCAGCATTATCGAAGACAACGAGGGCGCAGGCAGAATCAAGAAAGGAAGATATCTGGCGCACAGGATCAGAGCCGGCGATCTCTATGCCAAGGGCTCTTGCGAAACAAGTCATAAAAGTTTCGAAAGTGATAGTTGAAGGATCCAGGTCATCGTAAGTCACGAAGAAGCGCCGATCAGCAAACTTCTCTATGACGAGCGGCTCGTTGATGATGGCTTTGGCCACAGAACTCTTTCCCATGCCACCAGGGCCAATCAACGCCAAATGCTCATCGTTGACAACAAGGTTCGTCAACTCTGCCACAAGATCGTCGCGGCCATACAGCATGGCAGGCCGTGATGGAGGCTTGATTTGACGATTCCTAATTGCATTTAGAGGACATGCACAACTCGCCGGCAATAAAAACGTACTTTGGGGCATTGATACTAGGATCATTTCCCATGAGTTCTAATGCCTTTTTTACGAGCTTCATGTCGATCCCCATGCCAGCGATCGCTTCAAACTGAAGACACCATTCAGCAGCAAAGCAAGATGAAGTTACGCAGACATACATTGAAGAGTCCGAGGACGCGATCCAAGTCTTTTTCCCATACAGCGATCTTGTCGCGATCAATCGTGACAGTGGAGAGCCTCCTCCAAAATCCTTGCTCCTTTGATGATGCTACATCACTGTTGATGCGGTTTACTGATCTGCACAGTGTCAACAGATTCTGGCAACGGTGAATCGGTTCGGCTCACTTGTTAAGCTGGGTTAATGCATGCCCCAAGTGTCCTCGTAGATCGTCTTCGGTAGCCTCCTTGGTCGCCCTTCCAAGGATTTCCCTGATAGTCTCGCACTTGTCAGCTATCGCTTGGAAATCGGACTTGTTCTTGATTACTGACTGTATAGACGTAAGGCTAAGTAGGGTTTTATCGATCTTTCTAAGAGTTAGGCCAACGCACCTGCGCAAGAGTCAGAATGTTTGCAATTGTTCCGAGGATGCCTTTCGCGAGATCGATGGGCACAAGGTCTTTGGTAGCATTGATAGCGGCTATAGTGACGCCCAGTAGTTGGCTTATGCTGTCGTCCTGCGACTCTTCGGTTACATGAACGGGTTGTTTTGAGCCCTTATACAATAGATCAGATATACAGTAGTGACACCTAGATACACGGCTTCTCACCTTTAGTTTTTTGGCCCTTCCGGGTCCTGCTTTCGTTTTTTTGGAAAACATCGCCTGGGTTCGTGTGGTGGTGTAGTCGGTTTCGGTCACCAAATGAGCGCCTTGACCCACCTCGAGGTAGTGAAGGGTGAGAAACTGCACGGCTCGGCGGCATAACCTACCGGGGCGTCTATCATATCTAGAGAATGAACGTTGGGAGGCAACGGGGTCAGCGAAAGAAGAACTTACTCAGGTTGGAACTAACGAAGATGGGCTGGGTCCTCGTCCTCGTGGTCTTTCATAGGCTTGAAGGAGCGATGTTCATACCTTGAAGTGATGCAATTTCTAGGAACCAGACGAATAACAGAGCTGAGCTTGATAGCTTCAATTTGACTGGTGTTTCGGATACAATGTTGTGAGTAGTGCTGCCGCGGTCCGGTTCCGAACCGTGGTTCGAACCTGACCAATGGTCAGGTTCGTCCATGGTTCGGTCCACGGTTTCCCATTTTGGACGGACCGAACCGAAATGAGGTTCACGGTCCGTGGTTCCTGGGACGGTTCGAACATGGGTTCGGACCTTCCCGAACCGTTCCGAACCCCGAACCTGAAGCTTCCTCGACTGTGACATATCGGCGAGGCTGGTCACTCATCTTCCCCACTCATGGGCACGACTTCTGGGATCCTCGACATCTTTAAGTTTCGATTCTGTCTGGAGACCCGCATCTTGTGCTCCCGGTTGTCCAATCAAGTTCAAGGTACCAATTAACCATCAATTAAGCTCAATAAACTGACTGATATATTACTCTGATATATTTTGTAGGATCCTCCAATGCACATGGCGGAGACTGGCTGGTAGTTCTGTCCACACATAAAAGGAGCAATCTCTACCAGGTGAGTGATATTTTCCTCTCATAATGTCTGGATCTGATGCTTGTGCCCTCAATGCTGACAGTTCTCTTAAGGATGCCAAGGATATTGTATTTTACAATGATCCTGATCTAATATAGTTTAAGTTCTTGATCCGAACTATAAGCTCGCGTATATTGAAGGTCGGTGGCATGCTCAAGATGTCGCAGCTGGCAGGGCTCACTTGGAGGCTGTGGTAAGTACTCGTCTACACTGTTTGTTCCCCCTTTGATCTCATTCTACAGTTCGATAAATATTATACACCGCCGAGTCAGGAAGCTACTGAAGATCAATCTGCTCCGCCAACGAAACCTGCACGCAAGCAGTATGGTGATGATTGGATGTGTGAGGCTATCAGGACATGTCAATCAAGGGACCATCTCACTCACAATCCTCGGCAAGAGCTCACCGCTTACCTGTCTTCGGCGCTGGAGTACACTGATAACATTGTTGTCTGGTGGGGGGGTAAGTCCATTTTTTGACTCATTTGTTCACTACTTAACCATTTCTTAGCTTCACTCGCTGCAATACCCTACACTTGCACGCATCGCACGCGACTACTTACCCATTCAAGGCAGCGCTGTTCCCTCTGAACAAGCATTCTCAAGCGGAGGAATCACTTCGACTGTGCGACGCAATGCACTTGCAACCTCCACATTCAGCGCATTCAATACAACTGTTGAAGGGAGCATACAGGAATGGGCACCTTTCTGCTGCAGTAGAGGCTGAGGGACATGCAGCTTCGTTGGATATGTAGCTACCAGTACAAGTATTTCGACTTTGTTTTTTTTTTGCTGGCTATAAGAAACATTGGGTCCGGTTCAGCGTTCGAACCGAGAAAAAAACCGAACCTGACCGCTGCGAACCGTCCACAAAGGTTCGGTCCAAGGTTCGTCGATAAAGGTAGAACCGGACCAAGGTCCGGTTCTCGGTTCTTGTCCAACTGCCTCTGAACCTGACCAAACCGGACCGCGGCAGCACTAGTTGTGAGTGATGAAAGTATTTACTATATATGGTCACTCCCAACTTGAAGTTGTCCAGGTTAATTATTCACAATTATTCGTACTGGCAGGGAACTGCAGGGAATCACTCAAACGCACTCTACTTAGGCCGGACACACCGGCACAGTGGTGCGTCTAACAGGCTTGACAACGAGGTGCTTACCTCTGCAGTCTATAGACACCGTGACTTTTGTCACGTCATGTGATGATAGAACGCGCATGTCACATAGGGTACGACGAGTCCGTCTTTACGGCGCAAGGTCTACCCACAAACTCAATGGCACGAGGAGGTCGAGGCACTTTCGGACTAACATCCAGTGGTAGAGGTCGCGGATACCGAGGCGGTACACGCGGAAACACTCATTTTCGTGGTCGTGGACGAGGTCGCGGTCGCGGCGCGTCGAATACAGCAGGTGATGGACCTTCCCCGCAGCGAGAAGACGATGGAACGCAACTCGAAGAACGTTTTGAACGGGTTCGAGAGAACGATGAGGTCGATGAGCAGCTGGGATTTGTGAGAGTGCAAGAAGGCGCGAGGAGGGAGGGGTGGTTGATCAATATGCACCCGGTGAGTGCTGCGTTTGGATTCAGCTCATTTATTCACGGACGTATTTTAGACTCTACTAAAGGATGCGGACTACCTGGGCGGAAAAGCGGCGGTAGATTTTTACTTCATTCAAGACGACGGAGGAATGTTTAAGTGTACCATGCAGTACGAACCTTATTTCTATATAGCATGCAAGGTATGTTTCCGCGGCTTGATTGAATAAAGAATGTCTATATTAACTATACATTACAGACTGGATCAGAGTCCTCTGTCGAAGAGTGGCTACAAAAGCGGTTCGAAGGCTTGCTTGTACGGATCGTGCGGGAGAAGAAAGAAGACCTGAAGCTTCCCAACCACCTCATGGGCCATCGCCGTCTTTACTTACAGCTATGCTTTCGAAATGTGAGTGACCTCCTGGCCGTGCGACGGGATGTAGCCCCACTCGCACTTGCAAATGGCGCAAAGCGAGACGCGATTGACGCGTATGCTGAAGTTGTAGCGGCAGCGAGCACGAGTGTAGAGGTCGAAGGGGAGTGGGCGGGGATCAGCAATGCGACAAGCCAAAGGGACCGAGACGCACCGTCATGCATCGTGGACATCCGCGAGTTTGACGTGCCTTACTACTTGCGAGTTGCCATTGACAACGAGATGCGAGTGGGACTGTGGTATGGAATCACGTTTACGGCCGGACACCCTTCATTTGTGCAGTTGACAGCGAGGGTCAAACGCGCGGACCCTGTAGTAATGGCCTTCGATATCGAGACCACGAAAGCGCCGCTGAAGTTCCCAGATGCGACGGTGGACCAGGTGATGATGATTTCATACATGGTGGATGGTCAGGGGTTCTTAGTAACGAACCGGGAGATCGTAAGCGACGATATCGATGATTTCGAGTACACGCCGAAGGAGGGGTACGAAGGCCCATTCATAATCTTCAACGAGAAGGATGAGGTGATTCCGTCGTTTTTTGTTTACCTTGGACTCACATTTCTCGCAGGCGGCTACTATAATGCGGTTTTTCAACCACATTCGGGATGTCAAACCTACGGTGATGGCGACTTTCAACGGCGACTTCTTCGATTTTCCGTTCCTCTGTGAACGCTCCAAGGCAAACGGGTTGGACATGTTCTTACTGACGGGGTTCGCCAAGGATAACGAGGATGAGTTCAAGTCCCGCGGATGCGTGCACATGGATTGCTTCAGGTGGGTGAAGCGGGACTCGTATTTACCACAGGGAAGCCAGGGCTTGAAAGCAGTCACGACGGCCAAACTTGGGTACAATCCAATTGAACTTGATCCAGAGTTAATGACACCGTGAGTCTGTTTTTTTATCTTCATGATGTTATTTTTAAGCTGTCTATGTGTTATATCGTTTCTGAACATTCTTCTCTGTTTTGCTCAACTTTTCTGTTGTTCCACTTTCATTGCGTTTCAATCCTGATATTGTTGACGTGTTCCTTGCAGCTATGCGATGGAGCACCCACAGATCCTTGCGCAGTACTCCGTCTCCGACGCGGTAGCGACGTACTACTTGTACATGAAATACGTGCACCCCTTCATTTTCTCACTATGTAACATCATTCCGCTCTGTCCGGACGAGGTCTTGCGAAAAGGAAGTGGCACGCTTTGTGAAACGCTCCTAATGGTATGTCCGAGGCTTCGTGACATTCAGTTATAGCTGACTTCGCACATGAACTAGGTTGAGGCGTACCGTGGGCACATAATCATGCCAAACCGCCACGAGGACGCGCATCTGAACATGTTCGAGGGCCACCTACTTGCATCAGAGACCTATGTCGGAGGTCACGTCGAGGCACTCGAAGCCGGCGTATTCCGCAGCGACATCCTTACGGACTTCAAGATTGTGCCCGCAGCCGTGCAACAAGTAAGCTTCCTGTCACAGTGCAACCCACCCCAGACTCACGTCTAACAGCTCATCGACGACCTTGATGCCGCACTCACCTTCTGCATCACCGAGGAGTCCAAATCCTCCCTGGAAGATGTCACCAACTATGACGAGGTCAAGTCGCAGATACAGTCGGCCCTCGAAGCATTACGCGATGCCCCAAAGCGCACAGACAAGCCGCTAATTTACCACTTGGATGTTGCAGCGATGTACCCGAACATCATGCTTTCAAACCGCTTGCAGCCAGATTCGATGGTTGATGAATCTGTATGCGCGGTGTGCGACTTCAACCGTCCCGGAAAAACATGCGATCGACGGCTCGAGTGGGCATGGAGGGGAGAATTCTTCCCTGCGAGGAGGGACGAGTATAACATGATTAGGCACGCACTAAATCAGGAGTCTTTCCCCCCGAAGAGGGCTGGGGGCCCGCAGAGACGGTTCCCAGACTTGACGGATGCCGAGCAGACTGCGTTGCTGCATAAACGCTTAGGTGACTACTCTCGGAAGGTGTACAAAAAGATCAAGGACACGAAAGGTGGAGACAAGAGAATCGATCGTTTGTCAGCGGGAGAACCCTTTCTATGTCGACACAGTGCGACGTTTCCGCGACCGTCGGTATGAGTACAAGGGGCTGCACAAAACCTGGAAGAAGAATTTAGACACCGTGGTCAGCGAGGGACGCTCGATCGCAGAGGTCGATGAGGCAAAGAAGATGATTGTGCTCTACGACTCCCTGCAGCTCGCGCACAAATGTATCCTTAACTCGTTCTACGGGTACGTGATGCGCAAGGGTGCACGGTGGCACTCTATGGAGATGGCAGGAATTACCTGTCTCACAGGCGCAACGATCATCCAGATGGCGCGCGCGCTCGTCGAGCAGATCGGTCGCCCGCTGGAGCTCGATACGGATGGAATTTGGTGCATGCTTCCTGGTGTCTTCCCGGAGAACTTCAAATTCAAATTAAATAATGGGAAAGCCATCGGGTTCTCGTACCCGTGTACGATGCTTAATCACCTTGTGTATGCCCGCTTCACCAACCACCAGTACCACGACTTGGATGCCTCTACCGGGGAGTACGTTGTGCACAGCGAGAACTCCATTTTCTTCGAACTAGATGGGCCGTATAAAGCTATGATTCTCCCATCGTCAAAAGAGGAGGATAAGCTGTTGAAGAAGCGGTATGCCGTCTTTAATGATGATGGGTCACTTGCGGAGCTGAAGGGGTTCGAGGTGAAGCGCCGGGGAGAGCTCCAATTGATCAAAATCTTCCAGTCACAGATCTTCGAGAAATTTCTTCTGGGAACGACGACAGAGGAATGCTATGGCGCGGTTGCGCAGGTTGCCAATCAGTGGCTCGACATCCTCTATAGCAAGGCTGACACACTGACCGACGAGGAGCTCGTCGAACTCATTGCCGAGAACCGTAGCATGTCCAAGACGTTGGCGGAGTACGGAGGACAGAAATCGACCTCTATCAGCACCGCTAAGCGACTTGCTGAGTTCCTTGGTGACCAGATGGTCAAGGACAAGGGTCTTGCCTGCAAGTTTATCATTTCTGCGAAGCCCAACGGAGCGCCAGTTACGGAGCGGGCGGTTCCTGTTGCCATATTCTCAGCAGAAGAGAGTGTCAAGCGCGCTTACTTGCGTAAATGGCTCAAAGACCACAGCCTCTGTAACTTCGATCTCAGATCCATCCTTGACTGGGAGTACTACGTGGAGCGTTTGGGATCAGTCATCCAGAAGCTTATCACCATCCCTGCCGCGATGCAGAAAGTCTCTAACCCTGTTCCTCGTATCCGCCACCCTGACTGGTTGCACCGCCGTGTTGCAGGTGCTGTGGACAAGTTCAAGCAGAATAAAGTTACCGACTTTTTCACGCGTGCTACTGCAGAGTCGCAGTTCCAAGCTCAGACACAGACTTCAATGATTGACGCAGAATTGGACATGGAGGATTTTGGACAAGATAAGACCTCGGAACGCCCGCGCATTGCTATTGTCAATCGGAGGTCCCGTAAACGGACGCCTGAGCCCGACGAAGAAGTATCAGATGAGGAAGCTCCGCTTCCTGACCCTACAATCAGCTATTCCGCGTGGATCAGGGCCATCAGACCACGCTGGAAGAAACAGCGGAATGCTCGCTGGGGAAACGCTGGTGACGCTATCGTGCCTTCCATGTTCAAAGGTGCCCGGGTTCGCACAACACAGCGATGGGACATTGTGCAAATCCGTCCCAGCAAGATTCCCGGGCGATTCACCCTATGGGTATCCGTTGATGCTCAACTGGTGCCTGTGCCACTGCGCATTCCTCGCGAATTTTACTTGCACCTGAAGACACCACCTCATGACGGCTTATTTCAACCAGAGTACTATGCCTCTGAGAAGGTCGTCCGCCACCTTCCTCGTGACATTCTCTGTTCCAATCTCTATCGGATTTCTGTCAAGGAGGACGTTTATCAGGAAATTCAAGAGCATTTCATGGACCTTATGAATGATCCGAATGTTGATGGCGTATTTGAGCGGCAGGTACATCTCATCCGCACTTCGAGCGGATAGTATACTCACATCCGTTTAGGTTCCACTAGAGATGCGTGCCCTCCTCAAACTAGGCAAGACATGTACTGTGGACGAACTCGGCATGACTCTGAACCGTGCTCAAAGCAGCGGTGTCGATTTGTCTCAACTCGACCGAGCCAGCGTCTCCCTTACTCGCAGAGTATACCTGGATGGCGGTCGCTCGGGGAAGTATATCTTCCTGTATCATGCATGTTCTAGCACATCGCATGTCCACGTGTTTGCGATGTTCATGCCCAACGGTGCCGTCAAACTTCACCTTGTTGATCCCGCTCCCCGTCGACAACAAATCCCCCGCCTCCAAGAGTTGTACAAAGACCTTTCGGCAAAGCGACAATCCAAGTATGGAAACTGTTCGCTCGACTATCCTGCCTCGTGCGATTTCAATACCACGTACCACAACAAGGATACGACAGCCCTCAAATCCATCTCCAGAGAACTCGGACTCCTGGAAAATATGTCGTACACTGTCGTGATTTCCTCTATCAAGGATCAAATTTACTTTGACACCTGGGTTCCAAAGCTTTCAAAATTCCCTGTTCTTTCAATGTCAAAAGCGAAAGCAATCCACACACTCAATGTCTTCCCCTGGCAACCTGACGTCGCCCAAAAGATGGTTCAGCGGTACCTATCACTAGGAACCTGGCTGGATCGTTCAATCGCCCTAGCGGATTATTATGACGTCCCTATAGGTCACATCGATGGTGATCAGCCACTGTTGTTGTCGGACATTAGCTTCGCTCGGCGACTGATTCAGCAGGACATTGTCCTCTGGTGGTCGCCGTCGGAACGTCCAGATCTTGGTGGAATCGAGGATGATAATAGACCAACCGAAGACGTACAGCACACAGAGTTCGCATCGCCTGGATGCTATTCCAACGTGTGTCTAGAAGTCACTGTTCGCAATTTGGCAGTGAACTCTATCCTCCACTCTGTCGCTGTCAATGAGCTTGAAGGAAGTGGCGGAGCAACCGCATTTGATTCCGTGTCCCGGACACTGGACGAGTTTTCCGGAGGCGAGGCTCAGCGCGACCTTACCCTTGGAGAATCAAACATCTCAAGTCTCACTTTCGGTATCCTCAAGTCGATGGTCAAGACATGGTTGCTTGACAAAGTCCAAGGAAATTTCGAAAGCCCGGCTACGCTAGCAATTGATCACTTCTGGCGCTGGATCAGCACAAGTGCTTCCCATCTTCATGACCCAAATATCTATCGCTTCGTTCATGGGCTCATGCGGAAAACGTTCATCCAGATGCTGGCTGAATTCAAGCGTCTCGGATCTCACGTCATCCACGCGGACTTCAGTCGGATTTTGCTAGCGACATCGAAACCTCCAGGCACCGCTCACGCATATGCCACCTACATAACCACAGCAGTGACATCACACGAACTCTTCGAACATATGTACCTGAAAACAGAGCGGTTTTACGACTTCCTTCTCTTCATGGACTCTGCGAACATGGGAGGAATCGTATGTGAAGACCCGCTGGCTGTTGACCCCCCAGAAGAGCTCACCATCGAGACTCGGTGGAATCTTCAAACATTCCTACCGCCCGCGATACAAGACGATTTCGGTGCCGTCGTCCAATTCTTCATCGTCGAGCTTTTCAAGATTCGGCAGAAGCATAATGAAGGTGCAAGAGCACCCTTCCGAGTGCTTCAAAATCTGGGTCCAGAGCCCACCCAGCCTGACCCGAGCAAAATTAACGAAGTTGAAGCGACACGGGAGTTTATCGCCAGGAAACTCACACGCAAGTTGCTTCGGTTGGTTGGCACTATTCAAGCCAAGCAAAGAGATGCATCCGTAGACGAAGAACTGAACACTCAGTTCCAGTTCCCCGTCCTCCCTGGTTCGCATCTCAACATGACAAATGCGCTTCTCGAATTCGTCAAATTTATCTGTACCGTACTTGGCCTCGCCTCTGATTACCAGGTTGAGATTGGTTTGCTCAAGCGCAACCTCCTCGACCTTGCTGGTGTGCGCGAGTTTGCGGGCGAAGCCGTTTTTCGCAACCCATGCGAGCCGCTCAAACTGTCTAATGTTCCTTGCCGGCATTGCGATACACTTCGTGACTTTGACTTCTGTCGCGATCCAGAACTCATGCCATACGGTCTTGATGGTGCTAGGCCACGCTGGATCTGCGGGGGTTGCGGAGGAGAATACGACCGCATTGCGATTGAGATGGAGTTGGTCAGACTAGTTGGATCGCTCGAAAGAGCGTTCACGCAACAAGACATGCGCTGCGGCAAGTGCAAGCAAGTCCGCTCGGACAACGTGTCGCGATATTGTCATTGTTCTGGACCATACCAGCTAGTCCTCAGCAAACCTGAATTCAAGAGAAAGTTGCGTACAATTGTGAATGTAGCAATTGTTCATAATCTCTCCAGACTTAGAGTGAGTCCCTCGCTTTATTATCCTCTGAAATGATCTTGATTTATGTTGTCTCAGGAATGTGCTCGAAGGACGCTTGAAAGTTGGTGATCTGCATGTATTCAGTTGCTTCTTGTAGCTTTAGTCGGAGTATGTAACACTATGCTATGGGTCTTTGGTCCTGTGAACTTCACTGATGAAAGTAGAGTCACCAGTTGTCGTTGTCCCTGAAACGGGCGAGTGATAAGAGGGAAGTTTTCTCCAATTATGGCGGACTTAGGTTGGCGGCTTTCACGCAGAGTCCCGGACTGGATAAGATACGGGAAGCTAGCACCTTGCGTATAATGAGTTGCAGTCTGAAAGAGAAGGAAATCTGAAGGATGAAGGATTTCACCACGACGGGCCAATAACGTGACTGAAGCGAATGCATTACATGTTTGGCTATCTGCACTATGTACAGCTCAGCTGAGTGCAAGAATACCTCGATGGCTCAGTGTAAGGAGGGAAGATAGTATGAAGGAAGGACGGCGAGATCCAGAAGAGTATAGTAATAGAACTGCATCAGAAATGTCACGTTCGTCGCTAAACGTGTTAGACCTATCATGCGATTTTACATACTTACACTAGCTCAAGTTGAACACAGTCTACTCGTACAAATCTTTGGCACCAAGATCTTCGTGCGTACTGACAAAAGTAGAACTACCAGCTGTCGTTTCACCCGCATCAGGCGTGCAACCCATGTTCGCGAGTGGGATCTTTCCATCAATCATCACAGAATCAGATTGACGGCTTTGCCGTAGATTGAATAAGATACGGGAGGCTAGCACCCCGTGTACCACGAGTTGTGGTCTGAGAGAAGTTAGCAGAAAAACCTGTGAGATGAAGGAATTCACTGACGCATCCATGATGTTAGTGTAATCGCTCTGTAGGTTGAACATTTTAGTAAGTTCTGTCCAGATGCATAAGAACTCACAGGAGCGGCTAGGGCGACAAAAATATTTGCGATGGATGCCACTGAACAACTCTCGTTAGATCTGCGTGAACTCATAAACAAGGAGACTCGCCTATAATGCAGGTCATGTATATTATTCCATCGCGATAAAGGGTGATGACGAGGCGACTTCGAGTACCTTTGTAGAAGCTGAATCTCTTGTATAACGTAAGGATCATGAGCACTACGACATCTCAGGTCAACAGGTCTGGTATTTAGTAGCATCGGCTTGAATTACCTAGCTCATAAATGATCAAAAAAATATACTGTATGGCGCTACTCTTCCCAGTTCTGAACTCGCAGCCTGTCTGGTTTCAGTAAAAGTGCTTACTCGATATCATAAAGCGCGGGTACTTGGAGGGTTAGCGAGATGGGAGCCCACGATTTTTGACACCCCAACAGCCCCTAGAATGGAAAACTGTCCAAATGGAATATTTGGGTTTGATCTGTGAACCATCAAGTCGGCACTTACCGCAGCAAGAACGAGAAGCCACACCAGCAACTTCTTGTTCTGATGCCAAAAGGCAAATGTGCGAAAAATAAGCAGGCCTGCAGAGTAGATGATAAGCATACTAGTACTGGTTCAAAACGATGAAAGCGCCATCAGGCCGACCTTCTGCAGCGATGATACTTATAAGATGTGAAGCTTAACGAATGTTTAATGTCTACGCTAGACTCGAGTCTGTATTAGCGCTGCTTACCGTATGAGACATTGCCGAAAGTTACACACTGAAGGAGCAGTCAGTGAGAGTCTAATTCAAATCACGAGTTCACGAACGCTTTTGTCCTTAGACCGGTCGGTCACCGCAGCTTCAAATTCTCATCAAGGCGTGATACATGATGCAAGGACTCGCGACTTACCATATGTGGTCATGGCGGTACCCGCCAGGGTGGCATAACGAGCGAGGGTAAACGTAATTCTCATGGCGTCCCACTTCTTTCCCCAGATCAACTGGACCTGCGAGCTAACTTAGCGTGCATCGGACTCGGACAGGGTCACAAACCTCTTGTGAAATCGTCAGGCAGTAGTCGAAGACCTGGGTTCAAAGATGAGGAGGGCATTAGGGATGACCGTAGTTCAGACACTCACCACTACTGCCATCGCTCCAACTATCTCTATCGTCAGACAGACAATGTGAGTGCTAGTAGTGAAGTGCGTACCTGTGAAATACTATGAATGTGCAAAGGCATTGAAACATGAGCAATTGTACTACGGGCTGGAAAGCGATGGATTCACCTGCGCCGTCTGATAACCTATACTCACAGCTGACATGGTGAAGATGATGATTTCCTGATGTGCTAACCTTCACCTGTACGCTATTTAATACGGCCAGTCACAGCCCGAATCCATAAGCCCGATCATAGAAGTTGGACGGGTGCATCATAACTTGATACTGTTTCGAGGTTCGCTGATGCGCAATGTATGTTTCAGTAGTTGTCCAATGCTTACGCTATAGGCTACATAGCACGCACGACTCTTGACTTCCACATTCCACCCTTTACACAACAGCAATTACCATGGCATAATAGAGAGTACACAACCAAAGACAATGCAAACTTGTTACGCATCTTTTGCCTGAAGGCGATTCATGATGATGGATACGTGTGAGTACTGTCGCAGGGATATCGATATGTTATTTGACTTGCTGTGGGCTGGTGCCTCACGAGTCACGCGTGCATCAAGATATCGATGACGCAACAAACGTTCGGCGTGAAGATGCGGTATGCCCGCGTCATGATCAGCATCACTGCGATAAATTTAGCTAGCTCGTACAATCATGAGTCGTCAAAAAAGTGATCAACATCAATCCCCCCCAAATTTCACCCCCATCCCCCCGCAACGCAAGTGGCGACGCTCAGCCGCAACTTGAAGCTCGCCTTGTATGCGTATGTGTAAATATGAGGACGCCATATGTATCGACAGTCAGAAGGCTACAAAGTAAGTGATAGCGGAGCTTTGAACGGAATTTGAATTTCGCACGTGTGCGAATAAGTGTGTTGGGTAAGTGTTTCTTGCAACCTTACATCCGTCGTCGTTGTCGTCTTCGACGTCGTTCACCACAAGAATGCTTACCACCCGCGGCGTTACCCGCCTCTCACGGAGAGCGGCCAACAGTGCAAAGAACGCCAGCCGGTTCATTAACACCGCTGCTTATTCTTTGTCCCGTGTCGCCGTTCCTTCCTCCTCCCAAAAACAAAACGCAGCCGTTCGTCCTTCGTGTGTATCGGCGCAACCTGGTTAGTTCTCAGTCTGGGATTGTTGTCTCTACCACTTACTCACTTTTTCTGCCTTTTTTTCGCGTCATTCTGTTTGAATCGGATGAACTCGGGTTATAGCGCGGACATATGCAACGGAAGCGAAGGGAGCTGCTGGGACTGTGAAAACTGTCATTGGTGCCGTCGTCGACGTTCAGTTCGAGTCAGATGCTCTTCCACCTATTCTCAACGCACTGGAGGTCCAGGACTTCCACGGTGGCCGTCTTGTCCTCGAGGTCGCATCACATCTTGGTGAGAACTCCGTCCGTACCATTGCTATGGACGGTACCGAGGGTCTCGTCCGTGGCCAAAGGGTAGTTGACACCGGTGCTCCCATTCAAATCCCTGTTGGTACCGCAACTCTCGGCCGCATCATGAACGTCATCGGTGAACCAATCGACGAGCGTGGTCCTATAAAGGGTGTCAAGCTCTCGCCAATTCACGCCGACCCTCCTCCATTTGTTGATCAATCGACCACTGCCGAGGTGTTGGAGACCGGTATCAAGGTCGTTGACCTTCTTGCTCCTTACGCCCGTGGTGGAAAAATTGGTCTTTTCGGTGGTGCCGGTGTCGGCAAGACTGTGTTGATTCAGGAGCTTATCAACAATGTTGCAAAAGCCCACGGTGGTTTCTCCATTTTCTGCGGTTGGTTAAACTCGATTTTTGTCCCATCAGGTCCTTATTTTTTTTATTTGATAGGTGTTGGTGAACGTACTCGCGAGGGTAACGATTTGTACCACGAAATGATTGAAACTGGTGTCATCAACCTAGAGGGTGATTCCAAGGTAGCTCTCGTCTTCGGTCAAATGAACGAGCCCCCTGGTGCACGTGCTCGTGTTGCTCTTACTGGCCTCACTATCGCCGAGTACTTCCGTGACGAGGAAGGCCAGGATGTGCTGCTCTTCATCGACAACATTTTCCGCTTCACCCAGGCTGGTTCCGAGGTGTCCGCTCTGCTCGGTCGTATCCCCTCCGCCGTCGGTTACCAACCTACACTCTCAACTGACATGGGTGGCATGTATGTACATTGCTGTGCTCGCTGTAGTATTGATTTGACCTTCGATATAGGCAAGAGCGTATTACCACCACTAAGAAGGGTTCAATTACTTCCGTGCAAGCAGTCTACGTGCCCGCTGACGATTTGACTGATCCCGCTCCTGCCACCACCTTCGCTCACTTGGACGCTACCACTGTGCTGTCGCGTGGTATTGCTGAGCTTGGTATCTACCCCGCTGTCGACCCCCTTGACTCCAAGTCGCGTATGCTTGACCCCCGTATTGTTGGTCAAGAGCATTACGAGGTTGCCACCGCTGTCCAGAAGATTCTTCAGGACTACAAGTCTCTACAGGATATCATTGCCATTCTGGGTATGGATGAGTTGTCAGAAGAGGACAAATTAACGGTCAGTGGCACACAGATGGAATTAATGCTGAATGCTGACGGAGACTAGGTCGAGCGTGCTCGTAAGATCCAGCGTTTCATGTCACAACCCTTCCAGGTCGCACAGGTCTTCACGGGTTACGAAGGCAAGCTCGTGCCTTTGAAGGACACCATCCGCTCTTTCAAGGAGATCCTTGCTGGTACACACGATAACTTGCCTGAGTCTGCATTCTACATGGTACGCACACATGTATCAATTTGATGTGGTCTTTGCTGACGTGTTGAACAGGCCGGTACGATCGAGGACGTCAAGTCCAAGGCTGAGCAGCTCGCCAAGGAGATAGGTGGCAACTAGACAGGACATATTGTACTCGCTCTACTTACACATCCATTACTACTATCCAGGTAGAATAGAGCTGATACGTAGATTAAAGATATTATTATATCTGCATCGTGCTTCTGGCAAGATGTGATGGTGTGGAGTGCCTTTGTCTCGGGTTTGTACCGAGCGCCTAAGTGTACTAGGACCGAAGAGTGTACACCCAACTCGGTGGTGAATAAACACAGATGCTTAAATTATTAGAACCTGTGGCTTTTGACCTGAAAGCTCACGCGCATTTTTAAGATTAGATCCACCCCCCACACGCTTCGGCGCGTAGTGTGGACGCGTGAAGTCACTGGCACGTGACCCGGACACGGTTTGGTTTGAAATGGTCACCAACGCCAATTTTGGTGGATGCCACATCTCTCATCGCGCCAAACATGTCCTCCTCATCATTAACGCTGAGCACGCTATTATCAACACTACACACACACCTCAATGCACAAACCCAACTTCTGCCGACACTCCATGTTCAACTCGGCCTACCACAAACCGCCCTGGAAGACGAACTGCAAACATTACAGCATACCCTGACCAAAGCCGTCGAGTCTCAGATAGAGGTGCGGAGGAAACAAGTGGATGATTGGATAGTGAAATGCGAAGGGGTGGAGTCTGGTTGTGCTCGGTACTCGAGAGCGCTTGGCACGCATGCTAAAGTTGCTGGATCGCTCAGCGATCTAAAAGCCGAGAAGGTTTTGCCAAGGAGATATGAAAGCGCCACTGTATACCAGGAGAAACTAAGACAGGTCAGTTGGATCTTTTGTATGTGTGATCTACTGAGATGACAGTCTCTTAGATCTATCATACGAAACTCGAGCAGCTCACGACGTTGACCAATCGCCTGAACGCCCTCGCACGGACGCTGGGCTCCCATTTCTTTCAACAAGATATCTTAACTCCAGCGGTCGCTTCTGCTGAGGAACTAGACAACCCTACAGCACTACGAGATGTTGTACCTGAACGATTCTCCAAACTTGAAAAGGAGCTTGTACGAGGAAAAGGCGAAGTGGTGAGCCAGTCTTTCCTTGTTTATCTCTACATCGCTGATCGCAAGTTTACAGTTGAAGCGACTAAATCAACTGGGTGAAGTCTTCACCCAGATCGACTGGCTTTACTCAGAACTAGGTATCGATCCTCCCCCACCCACTGTCCCAACACCGGTTGCCACCTCATCCTCAACACTCGCTGTGCCGAGATATTCTCTGCCACGATCTTCATCCGCCGGTAGCACGCGTCTCAATTCAAGTGCAGACCCATTTGCGTCTTCAACTATTGGACCATTGACTCCCACTCCTTCATCAATCGGGAAATCCGACAACCACATGCTTTGCCCATCGTCCTCTCCCCCACAGCCCTCTATAGCTCTTCCAGAAGTCCCCGAGTTCCCCAACGAACGTGAATACCTCAGGTCCCTCGGACGCTTCATCGAACTACTCGACTCATCACCGCAAGACTCATCACCTGGACCAATCTTAAATTCATGTGGTATCGAACCGACGCAGGGGATCTTGGCTTGGGCTGATAGACTGCACGCCGAACTAAACGAACTCAAGAGGCGCCGCGAAGTGCACATCCAAGCCATGTATGACCAGCTGGAGGCGCTTTGGCGACGCATGGGTGTGGGCGAGGAGGCTATGGATGGTTTTGTAGAGGCGAATCGCGGGACGACGCCTTCTGTGGTTCAAGCATATGAAGAAGAACTGGAGCGCATGATTGACTTGAAGCGCGAGAGAATGGGCGAGTTTATCGCTAATGCTCGCACAGAAATTGAGAGCCTGTGGGAGGAGCTCATGGTAGGAGAAGATGAGCGGAATGATTTTGCGGCGTTTGCTGACGGTGAGTTTGTTTTTGTCACCCTCTTCGTGGAGTTTTGACTGAGCGGATGTCATAGATGAACATACAGAAGATTTGCTGAGCCAGCATGAGCATGAGATCGCCCGCCTGAAAGCGGAAGTGCGGCTCAAGATGCCACTGCTGACATCGATCAAGAAGTATATGGAGATTTGTGAGGAACAAAAGGAGCTAGAGCGTGTAGCCAGCGATCAGACGCGCCTTCTAGGAAGGGGTGGGGGACGAGATCCCGGCAGACTGCTCCGGGAAGAGAAGATGCGAAAGAGAGTTGGGAAAGAGAAGCCCAAGGTTTGTCGATTACTGTTCATACTCTTGACCTTCCGTCTAATTGTCTTCCGAACAGCTTGAACAACAATTACTGTCATCGCTGCCTACATGGGAGCAAACGCACGGACGAGCTTTCCTCGTGCATGGCGAAAGCATGCTCCAGCTGTTGATGGAGAATGCATCGGCAAACGAACAGGAGAACCGCAAAAGAACGCCGACTTCTCAATATTCTGCGCAGGCGCTCAACAGGGGGGCTTCGCAAAGTCTGAAGCCCGCCGCAGCCGCCAACAGTGGGGCAAATGTTGCTCCCAAAGGAGGATATGTCCCTGGCAAATCCAACGCATCTCATCATGGCGTGGTAACACCCGCCGTTCGGCCAGGATCGTCGTCTTCGAATACCCACGGAACTAATAAACGACAGAAACTCATCGATGGCACGCATCATACTGTAGCACGTCCAGGATCTCCCACAAGAGGCCGGACACCCAGTGGCAATTCAGCTCTCCCTCGACCAATCACGCAAAACGCACCGCCTATGTCTTCCAATTCGAAGAACTTGCAAGGGTACGCTGCACTGGGATGGGGCCGCAATCCTTCGACGATGCCACGATCAACATCGCATACGAGCGTAACACATCTTAGCTCAAGCGTGAGCTCGCACTATCTTTCAAGTACACGATCGTACAACTCTGCATCGATGGCGTCCAGTCATTCTAGGGAGTCAGCAGCTAAGAAGACGACGGGTCGCATTCGCAAGGAGAGCTTCAAACCACGGCCGAGTATCGATGGTGGCAGTGGGGGCGCTGCGGGATGGAAGAGCGGGTTTCGGGGGATGAGCGTTGCAGAGGAGGACGGATGCTGAGTATGACTTCCTGCATTCATTTTTTTCTCTTTTTATTTTTTTTCTGATGAGATTTCGACGACCACTTTCGTTTATCGTTGAAGCGCGACGAGCTTGACGGTCTAAACTTACGTTATTTGTGTAGTTATGAACTATGTATGCCCTGTTGTACTCTATCCCCCCCAACGGAGCCTTTGTTGGGCGATTTCGCTTCGTCCTCGTTATGAATACTGACTCGGGGCAAGCGGTGGATATGTGTAATACTGATCGGTTTAAAATATCCGATGAAGGGAACTGAACCGCGTCCTCGTTGGCAGTTGCGGACGAGGACACAACGAATATTGGTCGACTCTGGCACATCTTCATTGATAAAATGCATCCTACATTTGTTCTGCACGGGGAAAATGTCCCCCTTCTCATGTCCTAGGCTATTCGCAGCCGTAAGCAATATAAAACTAGCTTCGCACCAACTCGACTTCATCACAGATCGTAACAACCCTCGCCGGCTTCTCCGCCAGGCCAGTAACTCAGTTACTGGTGGCACGCTCTACGTATAATATATATGGATGTCTGACATGAGAGACCCTAAATCAGGATACTTATTTTTCAAAAGGACTTGTGCATCGATGTGTTTGTCAGCACAGAGAATGCATACACTGGGTTGAGTAGCTCACCACTTAAATACGAAGGACGCGGAAAATACAAGCTGAAAGGGTCGAGCATAGTCAGCAAGCTCAAATAACAAGCGCTATTTGCGTGACTCACAGAACTATCAGCAGGGCTAAGCTTCATCTGGCTGGCCAGCTGTCACACTTCCTCCAGGCCGCGCTTGGAATTCATGTGGACGGGAAAACAGTTCCATTGAAGTCGTCGATCGGTAGGTGAGCAAGAGCAGTTGTTCCTTGCTTACTTGAAGATTGAATAGTATTCGAGAAGCAAGAACACTGCGCAACAATCTGGGGTCTAAAATGAGGATGTGAGCTTTCGGTAACAAATATCTAGTGATATGCTTGACCAGACTAACGTGTTTAGTATCTCGCTGTACGAGAGCTAGGGGGTCAACTCAGTTCTTCGAGGTCGACCAAAACAAAGAAAGAACTCACAGGCAACACAGTGATAACGATCACATTGACTGTAGATATCACTGCAGAGATGTCAGCACGAAATCAATAGTAATAATGGCGTTAATACTCATGATGCAGAACATGTAGAGTAGTCCATCACGATAAAAACTCTTCACTAGCGCACCATTAGAACCCAGATAGTGTCGATATCTCAAAAATCCGGTGGCGGACATTAGAACTGGAAGTGAATTATCAAGTAAGGAACTTTGAATCAACAGTCGCCTCACCTATCTCAAAGAACATCAGGAGGCCATACGGGAGGGCACTACTAAGTCTAAGGGACCCCTCAAATGCGCAAGGCGGGGTGACTGAAAGGAGATGAATACTAAGACTAATGAATCAGCCTTGAGACCTCGCCTGAGCCTGGGACATTCAAATTGATGGGAGCAGCACTCAGAATCACAGACGTCACCAAGACGGCCTGCGTCATATGGGTTAGTGGCGCACAGGGAAATAGATATATCACTGTACCAAACTAAAGGAGACAAGAATGATAAGATAAGCCTTTTTGTTGCCAGAGAAGGCGTAGACCCTAGCAATCAACAAAACTGTCGTGCGAGTGTAAATGCATCCTGCAATGTGGTATGCCAAAGCCAACCTTCCGAGGCAATGATGCCCAAGAAATGTATTCCTGCGAAATGTCATTGTCAAGTCATGTCATGAGCTATGTGGACGAACCATTTACAGCATCGTTAAAAGGTATACACTATATGTTGTTGTGAGTTGCAACTGGCGCTGGCGGCTGCACAGATCAAAGGCGTACTCACATCTTGCGTGCCCCATATCTTGATAGCGGCTGGTTAGAAATCAGCCTTTGTGTGATAGCGCGTACCTGCATATCTTACAGTACGATGTCATAAGCGCACCAGCAAAAGGTACATATCGTGAAGTCGTGAAGGCGGTCCGAATGATTCCCCACTTCCGTCCCCAGGTCCATTGGACCTACAAGAAATATCAGCACCGAAGGTATGGAAGGTATGGGTGGCTGATTAGTCTGACTTCAGAGTGTAAAGTGACGAAGTAGTCATAAATCTGGTCATACATCAGGGCCATAGTGAGACTGAAGAGACACGACTTACTAGGATTGCTGATGCAGCGACTTTGGAGACTCGTGAATAACGATAAGATTGTTACCAGCACGACCTTACCGTTAGTGTACTTTAATAATTGGAAACATTAGAGAAAGGCTGGACAAAAAGCACGATTGGATTACCTTGGCTAACTGCAAACCGAAGGTGTCCGGGGCTGACATTTTCGAGTGACACAGTGGGTAAGAGGAAGTCTGCAGCGAGCAGTTGTGAATAAGTATTGACCATCAACGGCAAGTACCGAGGACTGTGAGTGTGCAATAACCTAGAGCGCTCAGATTTGGACAGTGCACCGGTGAGGCATAGTAGGCTTGATGATCATGATATCATGATACATGGATTACAATGGTCACACTGCGCGATCGGAGCACAGGATTTATGATGGGTTCGACATGAAGAAGGTGATTCAAATACACCATTGACATGACAAGTACGTACTAGTATCCCATAGCCAGTGGCCATCATTTCGTGGATCAGCGTGGAAACGTGATGGTAAGTTACGAGAATCCCTGCGAGAAAGCGTGGCTCACGAAATGGAGGACACTCACGAATAGACCTGCGAGTAGCTAGTTTTATCGAGACGAGTGATAAAAGTGAAAACTTGAAGGTGCTCAGGGTCGAATCTCGATTATGTAAGTAGAATTTTATCTGACGGCTCACATATGAATTTCACTAAGTTGGCCCAAGTGAGGTGAACGGCGCTTCTACCAAGAGGTGTGCAAAACTAGAATATCGGATATACACCCGGAGAAACTTCAGAGCCCCCCCCCCCCTACTGTCACGGCGTGACGATCACCGCAATTATACCATATTAGGTAGCTTAGTCACGCACTCTCAATGCAAACAAAGTCCTAGTATTGACGCGAGGGAGGAGCAAATGAGCGCGAGTAAGCTACAAATACATGAACGGGCACTTCGGAAAACACGTAGCCAAGCAAACCCAAGTGTCGATAGTGAATGGTAGGCCATCCTGGCCATCATGGTAACGTTCCCATGGAAAGAGCATGACCAAAGGACGCATATCCTCTGGCCAGATGATTGGGACTCCTGCACAAAGGTTATAATCAAGGGAGGGCCCGGGAGGCGGTTGACTGTAAGCGAGCAACATTTATATTACATGTATAGAATTTAAAATGAAACGCACCTGTTTTGATGTGAGAATGCCACGAGTGAACGAGGGGTTGGCTCATCAGACACGTTCCGAACATGCTGCTTTTGTTTATTAGTCACGGTCTGGGCGCACTTCTTACTGCCGCGGTGGTTCCTCAATGGTATAAATTTGGCCTTCGATCCAGAGTGCAATGGAGGAGTGAGTACTCGTTTGGCACCATTCATCACAATCTGGGCAAAGTATGGCCCATCTCTGCTGAGGGCCGACCTGGACTTTGAGTTTTCCTGCCTTGAATAATCGATAGAGTGAGTCTGCAGTATTTAATTTAAGTTCGAGCGCTTCGTCGATATTGGTGAAGTCCGTTTCGATAATAGGAGGCTGCCAGTTGAGCGGATCACGATCCTCGTTATCAGACGTATTGACCGAGTAACCAGAATCATAGTCAGGAGAATAAGGTGCATAGTAGCATGTATCGGATTCTGGTTCTGGTTCTGCATGTGATGGTATTTCGAAGTCTATGAGAGGGCTTTGCGAGTGTCCGGATGAATGCTGGGTATCGAAAAACTGTGAAGGATGATTGGATCTCGGTTCCGTAGTTTGATATGAATAATGGTCATTATGCGGCGTGCTGTCATGATGCTGTTGGATGCTGTTATACAGATTGTGCTGGTTTGAATACATAATGAATAAGTCTATAGTTTTAAGAGAGTACAAGTGGTGGTGCGATGCGACAGGGATACATATGAGACGCGACGCGTATATTGATATCGACGCGTTAATTATATAAATCACGTGGCTAGTTTTTTTGCTTCAAAATCACTCGGTAGTAGGGCAGCGTCATCCCACAAGCGAGTTTTATTAAACTGTCTATCTAAATGTATTCTAGACGAGAAAAAAACCCCTCTTCCAGTATCGAGTTAACGATTTTATGCAACTCGGAAGTCACCATCGAGAACCTCAGATACAGTGCTCTCGAAACTTCGTGTGGCTATGTTTTAAGGTTTTAAGCTTATGTAAAGTTGAGCCCTATGTTCGGGATTTTGCGAACGCACACCTCTTGGCTTCTACAGTGCTGTATTATTATTATTATTATTATTATTATTATTATTATTATATATAACAAAATGACTAGCATCACGTGAACTCGATACAACTCAAGTTATGACTAATCAACTTGAGCTTGAATCAACTCGCTTTGACAGCTTTGGGAAGCGCCGAACTCACACGCGCAGAATGACTCGGTCTGGGTGAGTCTTCAGCGCTCTCAAACCCATGATGCGCTGCGCTCACGACTGCTAACATCAGACACGATGCTTCTGCAGCATCGAGTCAGCTTCATTCAGGTTCTGATCCTAGCAACACTCAGGTAAGTCACGTACTTTCAGTGTTATCTCCTGGTTCTCACTGGTTCTAGCATGTGCCTATTTTGAATTCTGCCAAAAGATGCGCAGAATCACCGCCGTCACACTCCTTTAACAAGGTACGATTTGCGACTTTCCTTGCAATTACTCAATGATTAACTTACCCAGGATATATCTCAAACCCACGACCCTCCAATTTTTGAATTCGAACGTCGATCTGCAGGTCAGCGCCGCCGCCGTGAGCGTGAACGCCTTGAACGCGAGGCTCGAGATGACACAGAAAATTCTCATGGTCGCATCTCACAGACTGCCCTTCCACAAAATTCCCATCCTCATGCCTCAGCATTCAAACGCCGCTCTCTTGGACAGCAGAGACGCTGTGAACGTGAGCGGCAGCAGCGCGAGCAGCAGCAACGTGAAGTTCACCATCTTGAAGACATGGAAATTGACGAGCTGCTGCCACGCCAACACCAACCTGATGCCATGGAAATTGACCAACCACCTCCTGCATTACCACTCGTGAATATTCAGGAACCACCTCTGTTGCCCCCGGCTCTTCTTCCCCCTTGCACGACAGCAATATGTTGAACCAGACTCCCGCCATGATGCAAACCGAATGAATGTTGAATGCCCGCATTGTAGTGCTCTGCACTGGATGAGCGAGCGCTTGACAGCATCCTCGAACCGGAATCCTACCTTTGGGACATGCTGTGACCAAGGCCAGGTTTGTATTCCTACCCTTCGTAATCCCCCGGAACATCTCCGACACCTATTCGAAGACCGCACTCCAGAAGCTGTTGAGTTTCGAAAAAACATTCGTCAATACAATGCTGCATTGGTGTTCACCTCACTTGGTGTCAAGGTTGATACGAAAATCAATGATGGTAGAGGGCCGTATGTTTTTCGTATTCATGGAGGTCTGAACCATCGGATTGGAGATCTCATGCCGGTGGAGGGTCAGCAGCCAGTATATGCACAGCTATATATCTATGATCCCCAAGTAGCTCTTGATGAGTGAATGCAATGCAATCGTGATTTGAGTCGACGCACAATGCAGAAGCTTCAGACTGTCCTCATTCAGCACCATCGCTATGCCACATTGTTTCGTCATGCCCATGAAGTGCTTGCACAACAGCCACCTGACTCTCCTCTTTCGATCCGTTTGCTTGCAGATCCCAGCCGTGATCAGCGACGCTACAATTTGCCGACTGTTAGCGAGATTGCTGCTATTATCCCTGGAGATGTTTCACAAGTCACCGACTCTCGCGACATTGTGCTCCATCGATGAGCAGGTCACTTGCAGAGAATTCATGATGGACACAGGTCTTATGCTTGCCTCCACTATGTTTTGTTCTTCCCATATGGCGAAGATGGGTGGCACTGGGATCTCAAGATGCACCAGCCATACAAAGAGAATCCGCATCGTCTCTCACAAGTTCGTTATGCAGCATTTCGATTGTTTCCACGTCAAATGGAGTTCTCAGTCATTCTCCGAGGTGCAGCACTTTTCCAGCAGTGGCTGGTGGATAACTTCGCTGCATGCGATCAGAATCAGCTCACATATCTTCGTCTGAATCAAAAGAAGCTTCGCGCATCATTATATTCTGGCCTGGAGGACTCTATCACGGCAGCTGGCGATGATAACCTAAATCTTCATGACCTCGGCCAACGCTATATACTCCCATATTCATACACAGGTGGACCACGTTACATGTATCAATGCTACCAGGACGGGCTGGCTTTGGCCCGTTACTTCAAGAAGATCGATATCTTTATGACTGTCACCTGCAATCCAAAGTGGCCAGAGATAGAGCGGGAGCTTCTGCCAGGTCAAACTGCTGCAGATCGCCCGGACTTGGTGGCGAGAGTCTTCCATATGAAGAAGCAGGCGATTATCAACTGCGTTTATAAACAAGGCGTGTTTGGCCGAACCGTTGCATACATCTATACAATCAAATTTCAAAAGCGGGGGATTGCCACATATGCATATGCTCATTTTTCTCGACCAGCCAGATAAACTCTTGATGCCTGCTGATGTTGATAGTGCAATCTGGGCAAGGTGGCCTGATCCCGAAGCTCATCCAATGCTTTTCGAAACCGTCAAGGCCACCATGGTCCATGGTCCATGTGGGGCTCTGAACCCAAATGCTCCTTGCATGGAGAACGGAAAATGCACCAAGGGCTACCCAAAGCCTTTCCAGGCCCAAACTTGCATCGACCGCGAGGGCTATCCCCAATATTACCGCCCAGATGATAATTGTACCTTCAAAGTTGGCCATCACGAACTTGACAACCGATGGATCGTGCCCTACAACCCCTTCATGTCAGCCAGATTTAACTGTCACATCAATGTTGAGTGTGCCACTTCCTTTGGTGCTGTCAAATATGTCAACAAGTACTTGCACAAAGGACATGATCGTGCAACTGTGGAACTGAACAAGCGGGATGAAATCAGTCAATTTATCGATGGCCGATACACTTCTGCTCCCAAGTCAGCATGGCGAATTCTCCAGTTTCACATCCACGAGCAACATCCTTCTATTACGAGGCTGCAGGTACACCTGCCTGGGCAGCACCTGGTGACATTTGATCCTGATGAAGATCCCCAAGCTGTGCTTGAGAGGGCTGCAAATGAGCGCACTACACTGACAGCTTTCTTTGCAGCAAATGCTGATCAAGGAGCACTTGGTATCGAGGCACGGAAATTCACATACCAGGAGTTTCCTCAACATTTTTCATGGAAGCCTTCAAAAAAGGCATGGGACGTACGTCAACGAGGCTTTGCCCTTGGCCGTATGTATTATGTTGGTCCAACAGGTGGAGAAAGGTTTCATCTTCGCACACTGCTTACTGTGGTTAAGGGACCAACCTCATTCACTGACCTCCGCACATTTAACAATGTGTTTACCCCAACCATTCGGGAGGCTTGCCTTGCACGTGGATTGCTGGAGAATGATGGAGAGTGGAGACAATGTCTAGAGGAGGCAGCTGCAATGCAGACTGGGCGACAGCTGCGACACCTGTTTGCAACCATTCTGCTTTTCTGTACACCGACAATGCCTGCAACTTTGTGGAATGACTTTCGAGCACATATATGTGATGACCTTCGCCACCAACTGAGGGTTTTGGATGCCAGGACAACCCAACAGATGACGAAGTGTATGACTTTGGTCTGTATCTCTTAAACAAGGTGCTAGAAAAATCTGGCTCTTCACTCCACAATTTCCCTATGCCATTGCCACAGAACGACTGGGGTGATCATGCCGAGAACTCATACATTGCTGAACATCTGTCATACAACCCACAGGAGGAACACCAACAGGCACGAAGAAACATTTCCCTTCTCAATGTCGAGCAACAGGAGGCCTTCACATGTATCTGGGAGTCCATCGAACACGAGCGAGGGTCGATGTTCTTCCTTAATGGACCTGGAGGGACAGGAAAAACCTTTGTGTACCAAACCATTTGTCACAGGGTACAAGCTGAGGGCTGGATTGTGCTTTGCATAGCATCATCTGGGATAGCCGCATTGCTACTCAGAGGTGGACGCACGGCCCATTCAATGTTCAAAATTCCTGTTGATGGCCTCAATGAGGACTCGCTTTGCAATATTCCCAAAGAGGGACATCTAGCAGGTCTTATTCGATGGACACGGCTAATTATCTGGGATGAATCAAGCACACAACACCGTAATGCCCCAGAAGCAGTGGATCGAACCTGCCGTGACTTGCGGAACAATGACAAACCATTCGGAGGCATCACTGTTGTCTTTGGAGGTGATTATCAACAAACACTTCCTGTTGTACCCAGAGGAAGCCGTGAAGAGATTGTTGGAGCAACTATACAGCGCTCTCATCTGTGGAAAGACGTGCAAACACTTCGACTCACGCAGAATATGCGTCTTGAAAATGACGCAGACAGTGAAAATTTCGCAGTGGTTGCTCGATGTTGGACATGGGCGAAATTTGGATGCCGAGGGCATGGTTGCCATTCCTGATACAATGATCACTCGCAGTGTTGACACACTGATTGAGACGATTTATAATGGACTCTCCGACCACTCCAATGGACCTCCTCCACCAGATTACTTTTCATCTCACACAATTCTTGCTGCTCGAAATGGAGATGTTGATAGCATCAACAAGGAAGTGTTGGGACAGATGAGAGGCGCAGAAAGGACCTACTTCAGTGCTGATAGCATCATCCATGAAGAGGATACAGTTGGTGATGCACAGCAGAATGACTACCCAGTCGAGTTTTTGCGATCCCTCAGTTCTTCTGGTTTGCCTCCTGGTGAGCTGTCTTTGAAGATTGGATGCCCATTGATTCTCCTGCGAAATCTTTCACCCACTCAAGGACTTTGCAATGGGACACGCATGGTGCTTCTACAGATGTCCGACAGAGTCCTCGAGGCACGGATTCTTGGTGGTGATCATAATGGTGACATAGTCTTCATTCCTCGCATCTCCCTCATTCCATCTGCAAAGTCTGCAGATTTCAACTTCATCCTGAAGCGGCGACAGTTTCCGGTCCGACTCGCTTTCGCAATGACCATAAATAAAGCTCAAGGTCAATCTGTCAAATTTGTTGGACTTGATCTTCGAGTGCCCGTCTTTAGCCATGGTCAGCTTTATGTTGCTTTGTCTCGTGCAACTTGCAGTCGCCGCATTCAGTTGCTTCTCGGTCCCCAATGCATCAAAAACTACCAATATCGTTTTTCCCGAAGTTCTCATTTGGTGAGCATCATCCCTCGAGGTATGACAGTTGCCTGATGTCAATCAACAGACTGCGCCGCAACTTGAAGAGCGAGAGTTGCATGATGAGTGTACATTTCAAAGTCTATGTATCTGATGTCTGTTGTATGCATAATTTTGACGCAGAAATTAGTTCTTCGCTTCGAACTTCGTCAACGTAATGTGTCGCTGCAATATAGTAGAAACACCGGTGGCACCAGACCTTGACAACTCCAACACTATTCCCGAACATTCTACAGTGTTCATCGGTTACCAGCTGCCTCACTGCAGCATATATAAGAGTCCCTCAATTTTGTCTGGTCAGTAGTATCACGTTTCATTTTCTCAACTCTCGCACTGATTTTAAATCTCTTGACATCCATGTCGTCAAACTCGAATGCAAGCTCTGCAACTATTGTTGCTGTTACTGTTTTTGAGCAAGGCAGAAAGGCTGAGGGCTCGACGCTCTTCTTCGATGCCCAGATATATCTGGGTCCAGATTGCCCTGTCTTAATTGCTGCAATGCGGTTCTTTACCGTGAAAACCTCGCTTTTGATGAAGTGGGGTTTTACATGGTGATTGCCAGGGTATGTAAACGATTTTTGATGATTAATCACATGGTATTTCACTCAACAACTCATTTCACCAGGTGGCTCAGATGGAGTCAGGAGCGCACATCATGATGCCTGAAGGAATGCGCGAATCGGACTACGACTTGGTTGCTGATGTTGTCAGTGTGAGTCTCAAGCAAGCATAACTTAAATCTGCACAAAACGCAGCATTACTGATTCCATCTTGGTCCTTGCAGTTGATTCCACTCCCAGATGGAGTTGACTTGCTGCACTCGCCATATATTGAGATCTGTGGTACTGTTCACAGCGTTGATGACCTTGCCGGCACATTCAATATAGATGCGCACCAATACATTGCCTCACTTAGGATTCCCAGCGCTCACACTGAGCCACCTTCCACGTCATCCTCCCCAGCAACCAAAACCTTCAAGTCAATCATGCCTGTAGAGTGCTCAATTCCTGACACTCCAAGATGGAAAAGATCTGGGAAAAAGCTCACTCCGCAACCACACAGATATGTCTCCATCACCGGATTCCTCACAGGACGCAAGACGAAGACAGTGGTTGGTGAGGACCCTGTTACCGAGCGGTTCTGTCTGCAAGTGGACTCGATCGTGTTTCTTGGGCGCCCTGTTGTTGCACACTCCTCTAGCAATTCAGGTATTTTCAGTTTGCTTCGTTTCTCATTCACGTACCTTAACTAATATGAATCTATAGTGGCTTCCAATCCTTCAACGCCAGCCACTGGCAGGTCGAAGATGAAATTTGACTTTTCGCAAGTCCGCTCAAACAAACGTGCCCGCCTTGATGAATGATTTACTACAACATTTTTTTCTATGGTACTATACTATTTGACGTATGTGCGAGGATTCACTGGTACACACTCGAAAATGTATCAATTTATCTTTGAGACGTTTTCGCATGAGTGGTGTATGCCACAGGTATCTGCTAGTCGTAATATTAATGTTGCTTGTCCTCCGTGATGTAGGTCAATTATCTCAATAACTACCAATGGTTGCAACCCACTGGTAGTGGCTCGATCAGGCGTATTTTTGTACTGTTTTCACACAAAAACACTCAAATCACAGACACACCTTCACCTCCAAACTGATCAATCCACTCATCCGAGGTAACTCAGATATGCTCGATTCATTGTGCAATTTACACCGACACCGTACTGTTCGGATATTCAAATGCAATCGTCAATCATGCTGCATACAGCTAGCTGTTGACCGTACACTTTGGCAGATGACGATCGTGGACGTTGACGTACATGAACGCTATGCCTAAAGGCCCTTGTCATGGAGTGAATTCTACATAAGTACTTTAATCTCAGCCTCGCGCTCACATAGACAGTTTCTTGTTGTCGACTCATCGGTTCCACAAGTGGGGAACTTGGCATTATGAGTGGATCATTTTGTGTTAACTAAACTGGGCGACTGTTGCAATATTACTGCATGAGGTTTGGCCAGGAGCGGTATCACGACAGTTACATCCATGAGACGCGCGTGTCACATCCGAGTCCCGACACGTAACCTCCACTTAGTGGGACAGTTACTATCGGAGGATGAAGAGCATATGTTGGGATGATGAGTGTTGAAGTTTAAGTAGTAGACGATGGCGTGTCATCATGTTGGTATCTCGTTCTGAGTAAAACCAGCCGAGGTGGGTGAATTCATGAAGTTGGATTCAGTCACTTCAAGCCTTCAACGCCTATGAACTCTTAATTAGTCGTATGATCTTTGTAAGAAGGCCGGACTGCTCACTACTTCACATTTTCTAAGTTCTGTTTCAAGCTTGGATAAATTCTCAGGCATAGCACCTCGTAGTGTAGTGCAGTGGTCTAATCCCTCAGCAGCAATCGTTGACATTGAGATCCCACAGTTGAAAGGAACATAGTCAGCGGGAGGGCATTCGGGCGATTGTCTGAGCTGCTCGATCGAGCTTTGTATCCTGTTATCTTATGAAATCATGCATAGAGATGATCTCACTGACATGTCATAGTATCTTGTGCACTTTCACATCGCCTTGGCATTATCTTCTCGATTTTTAGATCGCTGAGTGATTCACCAGCAACTTCTGTAGCATCTGTGTCGGACGCTCTTGAATCATGAATGCAAGTGGATTCCACTCCTTCACGTTTCTATCTCCAATTATCCGTTCCTTTCCTTTATTTGGGTATGCTATTGTTACTGAGTTTGTCCTCCAGGGCGGGTAGAAAGCTGAGTCGAGAGTGTTATCGCAGGCCATGACATGCGGAGTGAAGCGCTCTAGAGTCTGATGGCACCTTTTACCCAGGTGAGCAGGGGAGAAGGGCTTGCTGTTATGAGTTAGGAGAGTTGCAAGGCGAGATACATTGCGGGACTGGGTACTGGGTAATTGTAGCAAGGGCCAAATCAGCAGCGTGAACCACGAGGACGACAATGTCTTCTTTGACGTACGAGTGGCGGGAAGGGAAAGAATTAGGGTAGGAGTAACTTAGTCTAGGAGCTCGGGATTGCTTCTATAGTACATATGAGTATCATCGAGAGGACACAACTTGAACGAATATATTCACATGGTAATATTTAGACTCACAGCCTGAGGCCGGGAAAAATACCGTGACAGCGCGGTGTGACATGCACGTCTAGTAGCATCACATGATGTTACGACTGTACCTTAATAACATTGACCATATCGCAATCTTATGCCTCGAGTTCATTCTCTCGAAATGATAGATGCTCCGGCAGGTTACGCTGTTAAGCCGCGCAGTTTCTCACCCTCTACCCTGAGGTAGGTGGAAGCGCTCGTTTTGTGACCAAAACACACGGCAATCTGAACCACCACACAAACCCAGGCGATGTCATCCAAAAAAACAAAAGTAGAACTCAGAGAGTCCAAAAAATCAAAGGTGAGGAGGTACATATCTAGGTGTCACTACTGTATATCTGATCTATCATAGAAGGGCTCAAAACAACCCACTCATGTAAGCAAGGAATTGCAGGACGACAGCATGAGCCAACTACTGGGCGTCACTATAGCGGCCATCAATGCTACCAAAGACCTTGTGCCCATCAATACCGCGAAAGGCATCCTTGGAACAATTGCAAACATTCTGACTCTCGTGCAGGTGTGTTAGCCTAACTCTTAGAAAGATTGATGAAACCCTACCTAGCCTTGCGTTTATACAGTCAGTAATCAAGAACAAGTCTGATTTCCAGGCGATAGCCGACAAGTGCAAGACTATCAGAGAAATTCTTGAAAATGCGACCAAGGATGCTACCGAAGATGATTTACGGGGACACTTAGGGCATGCATTAACCCAGCTTAACAAGTAAGCCGAACCAATTTCACCATTGCCAGAATCTGTTGACACTGTGCAGGTCAGTAAACTGTATTAACAGTGATGTAGCATCATCGAAGGAGCAGGGATTTTGGAGGAGGCTCTTCACTGTCATGATTGATCGTGACAAGATCGCTGCATGGGAAAAGGATTTAGATCGCGTCCTTGGACTCTTCAATGTATGTCTGTGTAACTTCATCTCTACTTTGCTGCTGAATGGCGTCCTAAGTTTGAAGCGATCACTGGCATAGGGATCAACATGAAGTTTGTAAAGAAGGCTTTGGAACTCGTGAGCAATGTTCCTAATATGAATGCCCCAAAGTACGTTGTGATTTTTGGCGGGTGGTGCGTGTCCCCTGAATGCAATTAGGAATCGTCAAATCAAGCCTCCATCACAGCCTGCCATGCTGTACGGTCGCGACGATCTTGTGGCAGAGTTGACGAACCTTGTCATCAATGATGAGCATTTAGCGTTGATCGGTCCTGGGGGTATGGGAAAGAGTTCTGTGGTCAAAGCCATCATCAACGAACTGCTTGTCACGGCCAAATTTGCTGTTAGGCGCTTCTTTGTGACTTACGATGGCTTGGATGCTTCAACCATCACTTTTGAAACCTTTATGACTCATTTCGCGGGAGCCCTTGGCATAGAGATCGCTGGCACTGATCCCATACGCCAGATATCTACCTTTCTTGATTCTGCCAGCGCCCTCATTGTCCTCGATAATGCTGAAACCTTTGAAGAGGCCAGTGTATTGTTGGCGCTTGGAGACATACCGCCGGCCATCGCTGAAATTGCTAATATCCCTGGCGTCATTCTGGTTCTCACATCACGCAGTAGAAGGAATGCACCAAACATACAATGGATTACCAAGGATATTCTGCCACTGGACTTGAGCTCTGCTCAAGTGATGTTCTTTCAAATTTATCAGTGCGCCAGTTGTAGCGAAGCCAAAGAAGACATAAAAGGCCTGCTCAAAGAATTAGATTTTCACCCCCTTTCCATCAATATACTCGCAAACGCTGCGCAACAAAATGGCTGGTCTCCAACCACACTGCTCAAGAGATGGAACGATCGGCACAGCAAGGTGCTTGACGGCAGCAGGGGGAAGCTGCAAAGCTTGTCTGACACCATGCAACTGTCGCTCAGCTTGCCGTCTGTCCGGAATCTCGGTGAAGATGGACTTCGTGCTTTAGCTATCATTGCCTTCTTGCCCCAGGGTCTGAATGAGAACCTAGCTGGTCGTTTGTTGCCATCGCTTCCGCAAGTTGACACTATATGCGATGTTCTCTGCATGCAATCACTCGTTTATCGTCAAAACAACTTTCTCAAGGTGCTCGCCCCCATTCGGCATTACGTGCGGGATTCGTTGCAAGCACCTGACTCCACATGTTTGCAAGATATACGTACCTTCTACTATTGCACTGTCGCCTCCCGTTTGAAAGAACGTGATCAGTATGCTGATATCATTATCTCGGATCACGTAAACATCGAGCATGTAGTTGCCTTCGACCTTGCCAATATCCCGAATGACGCAGAAGAGACCTATAACACTTGCTGGCAATTTTTGGAATTTTTGGAGCGGCATCTTCCTCGCCTGACTACTCTTACCCCTGCTATTTCCAACATTGTTGAGAACTCTTCCACGTGGATGTTAAAATCAAACTGCTTGTTAACTCTTGCGTGGCTCTACAACACACTTTCTCAGCTTGTCGAAGCATCACAGGCTTTCCAAGCAGCCGAGGCACTCTACCTCACTGCCGGCGACCTCGAGATGATGGGGGATTGTCTTATAACTCATGCAGACTTACTGAGATGTCAAGGTCGCTTTATTCAGTCCCAGAATCTCTTAGAGGGTCTTCAGGACTCCAATTCTTGGGAGTCTCAGCGAAACAACGAAAGCCCGAGCTTGGTATTTTTTGGATATGGCCCGGATGTATACATTCACAGCATCTGCTGATGAATTATTTGTGAAGTTCACGGAAGACCGCAACTGGGGCTTGCCATCCAAGATTTGGCACTGGCGGGCCAAATTTTGTCATGGGGGAGACATTGTCCAGGTGCACACCCACTTAGAGGACCTGTTCCTGCAATGCACAAGTGTTGGAAATGTCTTCAACTGCAGGGACGCACTTGAGGGGCTTGCAGATATAGCATTTTGTGAAAGCAGGCTATCCGACACAATGGATAACCTACAGACACTTGTAGGGATTTTCGAGGGACAACATTCCGACGATGCCCTTCGGGCTACTGTGGGAAAGGCTGTTGTTGCAAGCAAACAAGGGAATTGCGACCTTGCAAGGGAGCTCATCCAGAAAGCCTTGGAATCATTCCCATTATTCGCACTGAGCAATGCGCGCATATTCCTCCAGCAATCTTATGGCTCGGCATGCATCGAGCTCACTGCAGGCGAGTGGGGCCAGGGCTGAAACCTATTTCACCACTACAATTGAAGCCTGCAACATGCAAAGCAATCTGGTGGTCAAGGCACTCAGTATATGTGGTCTGGGGGAGATTGCATTTGCGTGTAGTAACTTTGCTCTAGCTACACAGCGCTTTGAGGAGACACGGTCTTTGTGCGCTGAGATGGGAGTGCCTCCACAGCATCTGTACAGTTGCTTACTACTCAATACATTACTGGACAGATTCGAAGGATGGGTGTTGTTTTTGGAGGGCCAGTCGCCATTTGCGAATGTTATGTAGATCATGGTATTCAAAGGAACCATTGTACACCAAGTTGTATCTTTCTTGTGTCTCATACGATTTACCCAGAGCAGTTTAACGACCACATATCTATGCTATGACATGAATGACATGGACCGTCCACACCAGGTCGCAGGGAAAGTGTGTTCCATGTTCATATTACAGTGTGTTAAACTCGCACGTGCTTTAGGGCAGACTCATGAACATTCGTCAATGTCCTGAATCTCGTACCTATCTGCCAAAGATGCAACCAATAGCTCTAGCTGCCTGCGCAAGGATGGTGCAGGCAACATTGCATTCGAAATGAAAGACAATCTACATGGCCCAGGGGAAATTACGCAAGAATCACGACTAACTTATAGCAGATGCAGCCCCAAATGTGAATGATTCTCCCAGGTAAGTCAAGTTTATGCTGCCCCGAGCATCATGGGGGCATTGGAATTAGTGAAGTTGGGCGTGGATTATTTGTCCAGAATGGCATGGCAAATTTGCGTACTTGTGCATGGCGAGATGATCGGAACAGGAACATGATAAGAAATATGTACCATGCAGCTGGTACAGACAGACGGTGGCAGAATGTCAGCATATCAGCGTCAAATTGCCTTCTACAGAATGAGAAGGGCATCATATCCGAAAGTAAAACTCTGCTCCGGGACCAGAAAAGATAAGCTGTTATGCGACACTGAGGGATATCTCCAAAGCGAATGACAGTAGTGCCCAAGTGTCCTTTAATGTTGTGTCAGGGAATATGGACGCGCGCGCGAACACTGACATGGCCAAGCAACAGACAAGAAGATAAAGGATTGAAGGACAGACCTAGATAAAAGGAAGAAAAAACCTTGAAACCATAGATTGACTTCGTCCAGCCTAATACCCAGTCTCTTGTTCACGAATCCGGCGCCCCTTCTGTCCTTCCATCACTACCAGTCAAACCGTCATCCTCACCTCCCAGGTCTGACTCGTTGGGTCGATCATCCACTTCAATGTGGGGGTACCATGTTGGTGGCGATTAAACATAAGGATATGCTATCCATGATCCCAAACGATATTATTAGTCTCACAGAGATCAGATTTAGTGAGAACTTACCAACCATGATTTGCCCCACCCAGAGGTCGTCGACGATCCTCGAGCTAGTCGGATGCATACTTTGCCACCTTATGCTCTTGTTCAGTTCCTTGTAGATTGTATCGCCCTGGTTCAAATTTCCAGCGTTGGTTCGCCACAGCAGGGATTTAGGAGGTATGTAATAAGCCTTGTGGCAAAGAGTCGAGTAGATTGATAGATGGATGGTCTGAGAGACCTGAGGTATTCACGTTTGTTGGGGGATCCAGTGTGTCTTGGAGATTGGAAGATAGAAACATATGACTATCAGCTCTCCCGGACGATGGAGTAGAGTTGACGATCTATTAGTCGAGGATGCGAATGGATTTGGCTTCGAGCTGAAACAGGCAGAATATTGTAGAAGGGGATGTGTTGGAATGGCACGTGTTGAAGACAAAGTAGCAGCTGATGATGTGACATTGGATGGGGGAGAGTCGAGATATAGTTCCGATCGAAGCTAGTCGATCTGATGGCTAAGCTGTTCGACTGTGAGCCTGCATTTAGTGTCATGTATCTCGAGAAGGCCAGACTGCTCACCGCGTCACCTTTTCATCATACAAGCTCCCTTTTGGGCTTGGTGAAACGTTCAGACATAACATCTCGTGGCATCATAGATTAATCTAGTTTCTCATCAATGTTAATATACCTGGCTAGACGAAATGGGAACCCAGAGAACGTGCAAGGGTATTGAGATGATCGTCTGCGCATCTCGAGCTCTGCATGATAGATCTGATGATCGATGATTAATAGCCACAATGGGTACCCATGACCCATACCATCCGACCCACGAGTCACCCGCGAGTGTTGCCCGGGCGGGTACCCGGGCAAACCCTACCCATGACATGCCCCTAGACAGTTAGTTGTAACTTGTAATGTTGATCGTGGTTTCATTATTTCGATAGTAATTTCATCAGGCTGCAGCATTCTCTCAGATATTATGCAAGGCTCGTCGGTCAATTTTTCCCTCATCTTTTAGGACTCAGACTGCTCCATCACTTTAGGCTCGTTGTGTAGCCAGACTAGATATGTCGATATGACTCAGACACAGTAGGTTGAGTCACACATTTGTGCTGCGCAGTTTCTCACCCTGAAGTAGTTGGAGGCGCTCGTTTGACTTCTCAATCCTACTTCCATCACACAAACACAGGCAATGTTATCCAAAAAGCCAAAGACTGCAGGGTCCAGGCGACTAAAGGCAAGAAGGCATACATCTACTATGTTTCGTATATCTGATCTAACGTAATAGGACGACCTGCAAGCTAAACAACCCTCTTCTCAAATCAAGCAGTCCCAGAACAATAGTGTATATCAGCTGCTGAACATCACCATAGCCGCCATCAACACTACGAAAGATCTTGTTCCTATCGCGCTTGCCCAAGGCATCCTCGGGACAATTGCAAACATTCTGACTATTGTGCAGGTGTGTTGGCCTATCTTTCAGAAATCTCACTGAAGCTCTACCTCTATATACAGTCAGTGGTCAAGAACAAGTCCGATTTCCAGGCGATAGCCGACAAGTGTGAGACTATCAGGGATATCCTTCAAAGAGCGACCGAGGATGCTACTGAAGACGATCTATGAGGACCCTTGGGGCATGCGCTGTCTCAGCTTAACAAGTGAGCCGAACCAAGTTCACCGTCGCTGGAAACTAAACGTCAATCAGATCAGTTAACCACATCAACAGTGAAGCAGCCTCAAAGACAGAGCAAAGGTTTTGGCAGAGGTTCTTCTCTGTCACAATTGATAGAGACCAGATTGCTCAATGGGAAAAGGACTTGGATCGCGTCATCGCACTCTTCAATGTATGTCTGTGCAACTCCATCATGATCTCGAATTTGCTGCTGAATGGTGTCTCAAGTTTGAAGCAATTGTTCGCATTGCAACAGGTGTGGAGAAGCTCGTTTCGGGACTCAATACTACTAGTGTTCATGTTCTAAAGTAAGTTGTTATTTTAGACGGGTTGTGCATGGCCTCTAATTGAATACAGGTATCACCCAACAGAGCCTCCATCACGGCCTGCCATGCTGTATGGCCACGACGGCCTTGTGGCAGAGTTGACAAACCTCGTCATCAATGATGAGCATTTGGCCTTGATCAGTCTTGGGGGTATGGGAAAGAGTTCTGTAGCTAAAGCCATCATCAACGAGCCGCTCGTCATGGAGAAATTTGCCGATCAGCGCTTCTTTGCGACATATGATGACCTGGATCCTTCGACCATCACATTCAGAACCTTTATGACTCGTTTTGCGAGAGCCCTTGGCATAGAGATCGCCAGCTCTGATCCTGTGCACCAAATATCTACCTTTCTCCATTCTGCCAGTGCCCTCGTTGTCCTCGATAATGCCGAGACCTTGAAGAGGCCAGTGCACCGTTGGTGTCCGGATACATATCGCAAGCCATTGCTGAAATGGCTAACATCCCTGGCATCGTTCTGGTCCTCACGTCACGCAGTAGAAGGAATGCACCACACGTGCAATGGATTACCAAGGATATTCCACCACTGGACTTGAGCTCTGCTCAAGCAGTGTTCTTTCAAATTTATCACCACGCCAGTCGTAGCGAAGCCAAAGAAGACATAAAAGGCCTGTTGGGGGAATTAGATTTTCACCCCCTTTCCATCAACATACTCGCAAACGCTGCGCAACAAAATGGTTGGTCTCCAACCAAGCTGCTCAAGAGATGGAATGATCAGCATAGCAAGGTACTCGATGGTGGCAAGGGGGAAGCTGCAAAGCTTATCCGACACCATGCAGCTGTCACTCAGCTCGCCGTCAGTCCAGCATCTTGGCGAAGATGGTCTTTGTGTTTTAGCCATCATTGCGTTCTTGCCCCAGGGTCTCAACGAGGACCTGGCTAGTGATTTGTTACCATCACTTCCGCAAGTTGACGCTATATGTGATGTTTTATGCATGCATCCCTCGTTTATCGTCAAGATAAGTTCTTCAAGATGCTTGCCCCCATTCGGCATTACATGCAAGATTCATTGCAAGCACCTGACTCCACGTGTTTGCAAGAGATATGTGCCTTCTACTATCGCACTGTCTACTCCTGTCGGAAGACACACGATCAGTATGCTGATACCATTATCTCGGATCACCTTAACATTGAGCAACGTAGTTGCTTTCAACCTTGCCAATATCCGAATGACGCAGAAGAGACCTATAACGCTGCTGGCAATTTTTGGAATGTTTGGAGAGACACCTGCCTCGCCCGACTACCCTTAACCCTGCTATTTCCAACATCATTGAGAACTCGTCCACGTGGGCGCTAAAAGCACTTTGCTTGTCATATCTCGCACAGCTCTACCAAACGCTTTCTCAGAATGCTGAAGCAAATACTGGCCTTTCAAACAGCTGAGGCGCTTTATCTCACCACCGGTGACCCCGAGGGCATGGGGAATTGTCTTATAACGTGCGCAGACTTGCTGAGATGTCAAGGTCGCTTTATTCAGTCCCAAAATCTCTTAGATGATCTTCAGCACTCTGACTCTTGGGAGTCTCTCAGGGAAACAATGAAAGCCCGAGCTTGGTATTTCTTGGATATAGCCCAGATGTACACATTCACAGCACCTGCGGTGGCGAATTATTTGTGAAGTCCTCGGAAGACCGCAATCTGGGATTTTGTCTATCAAGATTTGGCACTGTCTGGCCAAATTTTATCATGGAGGAGACGCTGTCCAGGTGCACGCCCAATTAGAACCTATCCGTACAACATGCAGGTTCTGGAAATGTCAGAGCCCTCGAAGACATACATCAGGGGCTTGCAGAAGTTGCATCTTCCGAAGGCAGGTTATATGAAGCAATGGATATCCTGCAAAAGATCGTAGTGATGGATGGACAGTCAGCTGAAGGTGCCCTCTGGTCTACCGTGTGGAAGGCTCATGCTGTTAGCAAGCAAGGGGATTATGACCTGGCGAGGGAGCTCATCCGCACAGCCTCGGGACCCTTCCAATTCTTTGCACTGCGCAGTGCAGTACATTCATCCACAAATCTTATGGCTCAGCATGCATCGAGCTCACCGCAGGAGTGGGACAGGGCCAAGTCTTATTTCACCGCCACGATCAAGCCTGCGACATGCAAAGTAATCTGATGCTCAAGGCACTCAGCATACGAGGTCTGGGGGAGATTGCATTTGCACTTAATGATTTTGCTCTAGCCACACAGCGTTTTGAAGAGACACATTATTTGCGCTGAGATGGGAGTGCCTCCCCAGTATCTGTACAGTTGCGCGCCCATTTAATAATTTACAGGACAAATTCAAAGGATGGTCATTATTCTTGGAGGTCTGTCACCACTTAAACGATATGAGGTAGATCACACAGCTAGCCTCAGTTGTATTTCATGAACAGTTTGCATCATCATTGTATATATCCATGGCAGGAAGTACGAGACAATATAAGATATACTACGGCACGGTTTTGAAGATTCTAGGCGTGTCTGACCGCTCGAGGCTGCTCCTGTGCTTCACAAATAACCCTCTCTTTCAGGTGCACGAGTTCATGCTCTTTCATTAAGCCATGTGCATCTGCACCAGGGACATCTCAAATTGAATGTGCACGAAGAGAGTGACACAAACTCACATTGCCAACCGCCACAAAGCTATTCTGTTCATTGTCTCCGACAGCGAGGTCCTGTCAATTTCTGTGCGAGCACAAGTTGACCACGTGTTCTAGGTCCTCTTCATGCCCTCGGATCACTGCAGCCAATTCGCAATTTGGCTATTGGCTCGCCCACCTAGAGGTCACCGACGATCCTCAAGCTGGTCAGATGCGTACTTCGCACTACCTTGGTCTCATTCAATTCGTCGGGGATTGTATCGCCCAGGTTCGAATCCCCAGTGTTGGTTCACCACAGCAGGGATTTAGGAGGAATGCAACAAGCCTTGTGGCGAGGAGTCAAGTAGATCGATGGATGGTCCGAGAGACCTGAGGTATCCATGTTCATTGGGGATTCAGTGTGTCTTGGAGATAGGAAGATGGAAGAAACATATGCTTATTCATGTAACAGCCTGCCATCATATCTCGGACGATCATACGAGTAGTTTCATCATGATATGGCACCTATGACAAGACAATGATGAGACGAACGCGGGAGATAAGTGAAGTGGAACACTTGGCACTTCAAGTGCGCACTGAGATTGCTATGGCATGGGAAGGCCATGACACAGATGTTTTACCTAAAAAACGCGTCTGGTCCTTCGAGGTTATGCTCTTCATCGCACATCTCATATCCACTTTCGATTGTAGTGCGCGAGCTGGATCTGTGACATCTCCTCAGATTGAAGGTTCATGAAAAAATATGACAGAAACTCACAATGGGCAATCGCTAGTCTTTCATAGGTAGACCGATAGAGGAAGACAGTTGGACGGCGATGACTATGCACAAGTCATTCATATTCATCTCATCATTTCCAACTGTGAGCTCATTCTCTCGTGCGTCATGTATGTGTTGTCCTACGATTCGCAATGTTCGGCCAGTCCACACCCTTAAAGTCAATAATACTCCATCCTAAACTGGTTGAATGGGTAGGCAGTTCATCCTAAATTGTATTGCCCAGGTTCATATTCCCAGTATTGATTCACCACCGCAAGGATTTTGAAAAGGTTTGGGAAACTACTAACTAGCCTTGCGATGAGGAGTCGAGTCGATTGGTGTAGCGTTCGAGTGGGATAGAACTGCCAAGAACAGTAGAGACGATGAGGAGAAACAAAATAATTTTCTGATCACATGCAGCTAATTTCACTTGCGCGGCCGAATCTCGACTTCCCCAGGACAACCTTTGCGGATTAATAAAATGCTTTCTACACAAGATGATCAACGTCTGTCCACTCCGTTTCCCTAAATATTCGATGTTCAAGCTATCAACGAATATATCTCCTTGCTTTGTGCCAGCAATCCGACTGCATCGCAGATCACAACAATCTATCATAGGCTCAAGACTGGGTCGAAAGTTGAGATCTAAACTTGATGTCACATGATAGACGCTGGTATGTTATCATTTATGCTGTGCAGTTTCTCACCCTCCGGTGACTTGAAGCAGAACCCATGTCTGAAACTTGGAATTCACCACGTGCATCCACTGGCAAGCGATGAAGCCGAAAAAAAGAACTCCCAAAAAGCCAAAGGCAAGCAGATACAAAGTTCAGTATCAGCACCGTATATTTGATCTGACATAGAACGGCCCAAATGTTAAAGAACCTTCTTCTGAAACCAAGGAGTCGAGCGATAATGCGATGCAACTGCTGGGCATCACTATAGCGGCAATCAATATTACGAGAGACCTCGTACCTATCAACCTGGCAAAAGGCATCCTCGGAACGGTCGCAAACATCCTGATCATTGCGCAGGTTCATTGGCGTACCCTTTGCAAATGTTTGTGAAGGATCTTGAGGTCTGTACAGTCAGTGATCAAGAATCAGTCCGATTTCCAGGCGATAGTCAACAAGTGCGAGACTATCAGGGAAATCCTTGAAAGAGCGACCAAGCATGCCACCGACGACGATCTGCGAGGATACTGGGCCATGCTTTATCTCAGTTGAACAAGTGAGCCGAACTAATTTCACCACTGCTACAAACTGATGGTGTCATGCAGATCAGTAAACCGTATCAATAGTGAAGTAGCCTCGAAAAAGGAGCAAGGATTTTGGCAGAGACTCCTGTCTGTCACGAGTGATCGTGACCGCATTGCTGGATGGGAAAAAGACTTGGATCGCGTCATCCCACTGTTTAGTGTATGTTTTGGGAACTCCTTTAGAGCCACGGCTACTGAATGATGTTTTAAGGCTGAGATGCTCGTTGGTCTCACGATTGGAATGAACACGCAAACCTTAGGACTCGGGGCAATGAGAATGGGAACGTCGAAAGGTAAGTTACCATCTCGGTGGGCGTTGTGTATCTTCTAAAGGCAATCAGGTATCGCCCACCTGTACTCCCGTCACGTCCCTCCATGTTTTATGGACGTGAGGATCTCGTAGCAGAGCTGACAAATCTTGTCGTCAATGATGAACATATCACGTTGATCGGTTTTGGAGGCATGGGGAAGAGTTCCCTTGCCAAAGCTATCATTAACGAACCACCTGCCATAGAGAAGTTTGCTGATAGGTGCTTCTTTGTGACCTATGATGGCCTCGATCCTTCGACCATCACCTTTGAGACTTTCACGACTCGTTTTGCGGAAACCCTGGGCATAGAGCTTGCTGGTGCTAATCCTATGCGCCAAATATCTACCTTTCTTCGTTCTGCCACTGCCCTCATTGTCCTTGATAATGCTGAAACCTTTGAAGAGGCCAGTGGATCGTCGGCGCTCGGAGAAATACCACCAGCCATTGCTGACATCACAAGCATTCCTGGCGTTATTCTGGTCCTCATGTCACGCAGTCGAAGGAATGCACCGAACGTTGTCTTAATAACCGAGGGGTCTTATATAAATACGTGTAAGAATGTAATGACACCACAATTACACTGGATAAGACTTCTTGCCAGTCCTCGATTAACACGGTCTACGACTTTTCTTCTTTCGTGGTAGATAACGTGTGAGTTCTTGGGAGGCTCGCTAAACCAATCAGTCAGATTAACTTAGCTGGAGCTTTATTATCTCTGATTGAAACTATGGGATTGTCTAGGATATACCGTCTAGACACTTGAACTGGTTTCCTGAATATACGGTTAACTGTTGAGAAGCTGGTCTCAAATGTGACTACGTGGACCAAAGCTCGTGTTGGTCAATATACAAATACCTGGTGAGAACGCTGGTCTCACAAATAACAACAATGACAAATAATAATAAAAACAATGACAAATAACAACAATGACCAAAGCTCGTGTTGGTCAGTATACAAATACCTGGTGAGAACGCTGGTCTCACAAAAAAAACAACGGTGACCAAAGCTCGTGTTGGTCAGTAAACACTACGTGGTGAGAACACTGGTCTCACAAAACTGGGTTTCTATCGCGAGAAACTTACGTAATCTCAAGGGAAACACTTTCCCTGCACTTGCCTGGACAGTTCTTACAAAGGAAATGGGCTTTGTAAGCAGCAATTTGTTCAGACTGAAGCTTCTTAGGTGAGAGTTCAATTTGCTCAAGTGGGAGTTCTTGAATGCAACAAGTGGGAGATCTATTTTTTGGGGGAGAATGGGCTCTCCTTATATACATTTTGTGTGGGAATATTATGTAAGTAAAAAGGTGATGTAATGACTTCAGAATGTGAGAAGAATATTCCAAAAACTGGAGCAGAATGTTCTAGCAGGTGCAAAAGAACATTCCAGAATATTCATGGTGGGATAATGACATCATTCTGAGTCACTATGAGTCACTATGAGTCATTATGAGTCATTGGAATGTTCTAGCAAATTCCATGGAACATGACATCATTATGACATCACTATGATATCATATCTTTCAACCAAAATACCTGCAGGAGTGTAGGTGAAGTCCTATGACATCATTATGACATCATACCCTGTAGGTACAATTTTATGAAGCATCTGATTAGTCAGAGCATCCTAATAGAAAAGTCAAGTAAAGAAAACACTAGAGAAAACAACTCAGAAATAATGGAACAAATAATAGTACACAATACGCGGCTTTTTAGATAGGTTTTTGTTAGGCTTTGAACTTTTCTCTATGGGTTTCTCTAGCCAAAGTGAATAAGCCAAATGAAAGGCAATACATTAACCTTCATTTTGCTTCTCATATCAACTAGGTCATTATGTGATTCCCATCTCACATATGACTTTTCTTCAAAACATGGTGGATTCATGAATCACTGAGGGAAAACTGAAACTATTGGACCAAGGTTTGATACCAAGGTATGGGTTGACTAGTCTGAGGACTAAGCTAACAGACTTTGTCTTTTAGGGGGATACCTAGTAGTCATGTCCATGCATGATTCCCAAATCATGCAGGACAACGTGCGATGGATAACAAAAGATATTCTGCCATTGGACTTGAGCTCTGCTCAAGCAGCGTTCTTTCAAATTTATCAGCACACCAGTTGTAGTGAAGCCGGGGAAGACATACGGGACCTACTCAAGGAATTGGAATTCCACCCCCTTTCCATCAGTTTACTTGCAAACGCTGCACAGCAAAATAGCTGGTCCCCGGCCATGCTGCTGAAAAGATGGAACAATCGGCACAGCAAGGTGCTGGACCCCGGCAAGGGGAAGCTGCAAAGCTTGTCAGACACTGCGACTGTCACTCAGCTCACCATCAATGCAGGACCTCAGCGAGGATGGTCGTCGTGTTCTGACCATAATCGCTTTCTTGCCACAGGGCCTCAATGACACCCTGGCTAGCGATTTGTTGCCGTCACTCCCGCAAGTTGATATTATTTGTGACGTCCTTTGCAGGCAATCTCTTGTTTATCGTCAAGACAGCTTCATTAAATTGCTCGCCCCCATTCGGCATTACGTGCGAGATTCGTTGCAAACACTGGACTCCACTTGTTTGCAAGAAATATGTGCCTTCTACTATCGCATCGTCAACTGCTGTTCGGAAGAACACGATCGCTACGCTGAGATCATTACCTCGGATCACCTTAACATTGAGCACGTAGTGGCTTTCAACCTTGCACACGTCCCAGATGCCACCGAAGAGACTTATGACATCTGCTGGCAGTTTTTGTGGTGCTTGCAGAAGCATCTACCTCACCCAACCATCCTTACTCCAGTTATCTTCAAAATCACCGAGAACTCCTCCACGTGGGGGCCAAAAGCGTGCTCCCTGCAGTATCTCGGCGCGCTCTACGCCACTCTTACTCAGCTCACCGAAGGGATGAGGGCCTTCAAAACTGCTGAGGCACTCTATCTTACCGTCGACAACCACGAAAATGTGGCACACTGTGTTGTCCAATGCGCAGATATCTATAGATATCAAGGCCGTTTCATTCAATCCCAACAGGTTCTGGAAGCCTTCCAACACACTGACTCGTGGAAATCTCTCAGCGAAACTTTTAAATCCTACGTCTTGTATTTCTTGGATAAGGCCAGAATATACACATTGACAACGTTCGTAGACGAATTATTTGTTAAGTCCGCGGAAGATCGCGACTGGGGTTGCCATCTAAGATTTGGCACTGGCGAGCCAAATTTTACCATGGAGGAGACATTGTCCTGGCAATCACGCACTTAGAAGATCTTCTCCCGCAATGCCCAAGTACTGGGGATCTCTTCACCCGCAGGGACGTACTTGAGGGGCTTGCACAAATAGCATTTTGCGAAGACAGGCTTTCTGACGCAATGGATATTTTGCACAAACTCGTAGAGATGTTCGAGGGTCAATATTTGGATGGTGTCCTTTGGTACACCGTCCAGAAGGCTATTGTTGCGAGCAAACAGGGGAATCATGACCTTGCGAGGGAGCTCATTTATAAAGCCTCAGAGCCCTTCCAATTCTTTGCCCTGTGCAATGCACGCACATTTCTCCACCGATCTTATGGCGCCGCGCTCATCGAGCTCGCCGCAGGCGAGTACGTCAAGGCTGCGTCTCAATTCACTGCCATGATTGAAGGTTGTAATATGCAAGGCAACCTGCACGCTAAAGCGTTCAACATCCGTGGACTGGGCAAGGTTGCCTTTGTGCAAGGTGACTTCGTTTTAGCAGCACAGCACTTTGCAGAAACGCGGTCTTTGTGCGCGGAGACGGGAGTGCCCACCCTGCCATTTGTACAGTTGCTTGCCATTCCATGCTTTGTCAAACAGATTTGAAGGGTGGGGTTTGTTTTTGGAGGGCCGCTCGTCATTCACGAATCTGACATAGATCATCGTATATGGTGACTGTGGTACATTGTATCTCCACATATCCGGACTGTGACACAATTATAAGTACCAAGTCTTTAGATAAAGAAATCCTGGTCATATAAGTCCGAGGATGAGATTACGGTGAGTTGAACTCACCTCGTGACAAGGCCTTTGGGCAGACTCATAAGCGTTTCGTCAATATCGTCAATATTCAGCACGTCGATATTGCGGTGATTCACTACAGCTGTCTGTAGGATTAAGGATGGCATAGGCAGCATTGTGTTCGAAACGATCGAACAACTTGAGACCGTCTGCATTGGCCTGCCTCGGAAAGCAAGATCAATCCGGTCGTGAATAACTGGTAGCTATTAGAACACAAGGGATATGGAGTGGATGGCCTCAAGTATCACGCAAAAAATTATGCGTGTGATTTGCAGAAACCTCAGTCTCTTCGACGTCAGGCCGGGAGTCCTCTAGTGATTTGTGGAAAATCCAGTTGAGCGTGTATTGGACATGGAGAAGGCGCACTAGGCGGGTTATCTATAAATGGTTTCAGGACCGCGCTCCACAGCACCATAAACCATGACCTCATTGACCTGAGATTCAATGAGAGCCAGGGATACGTGACAACGCGGTGTGACATGCGCATCTAAGTGTCATCACATGACGTGACGACAGACGACCTTATGAAATTTGAAAACTCCGAGTCAGCACTAGCTCATGATGTTACTTCAAGCTTGTACATGTATATCCAGCTACTGTAAAGCTACTCTGTATCAGCTTCTCCCACCAATCACATTTGTCGCTTCCACTTTGCACGAGGTGCGGAAGCTCTCACCAGAGTTTTCGCAGCGTGACGTCTCAATTTTTAAAGACCTTGCAGACGTTTAACCCCAAGATTACACAGAGCACAAATGTTCTCAAGCCTTGACCGTATCAGCGTTCCCATCGCTTCATATGCATGGATCCAGGTTTCAATGACACCAACCATCGGTCGCTGTAAGTTCATATACATGTATTATCAGTAAATCAAGTTAATCAACTTGAATGTGTCCTGCTGATGTCCCGTATTAAGTTCACCCAGCATTTAATCCGCCGACCCAATCGTGTTCTAACCATCCCTGGGACAGCCTTCGCGGAGCAACATGCATTCTATGCCCACCGCCTTGTCTCCCGAAATATTTGCAGCTGTGGACGACATACCTTGCATCGATTGCAGGCAATCCGCCTCCATCCTGGACTGCAGCAACATAGACAAGATCTTCCGCTGAGCCACAGGCGCATCGCATAAAACGACTAACCCACCAACATCGATGCACTTGGTTGCACATGGCTTGAGGGACAGAACATGGAGACCGTGTAGGCCTTTGGGTTGTTCACGTGAGCACGAAAAGGCGTCACTCAAGGCTGAGGGAGAACTATTGGATATCATCGGGTGATTTTATTGTAAGTTCTTGCATTGTTCTCTCGAATGCTGGACACTCACTGTTGTGTCTTGAATCATTTTAGCTAGTGTCCCATCATCTTCACGTTGCGGTGCTGGACTGGATATTGCAGTGCTCTCGACCCCAACCGCGACTCCAACTTTGCATCCGCGTCCACCCTGTACCTGCGACCTTGACTGTTCGCGCTCGGGAATGAGACGAGACTAGGTATTGATCTAAGATGTAAGTTTATTGTGTATGATCAGAGACTCTACTAGTTTCGACACCATCAAATTCGTGGATACATGTACACGTGACCATACTGTTGGACTGCCATGCTTAGCACTGTACCATCATTTGCATGAATACTAGTATGTCATGGGCGACGTGTGTGTCTAGGTAATATCATAGGCATGCCTGATGTACATGACAACTATTGGCATCCACCAAAAGGTATGCTGGCGACACCGTGATTCGGAGCAGCGGAGGAAAGGCTTACCATTGTGATCTAGACAGGGCGTAAACCAGATGACTGGCTCCAGGCCAGTCTGGTCCCTCAGATGCGCAGTGTGACATACGCGTATAATGATATGGCTCGAGTTCCTGCCAAAGTTGGTTATCTAAGCCGGCCTCGTTCCTCGGCCGGCACAGATTTGAGTCTACGCGCAAATAAGCGAGGTGGCGCAGTGCTTCTTGCTCCTGCCCACCTCGCAGCATTATCCTTTCAGAGTGCTAGTCACTCGTGTCTACCTCTTTTTGCACCCACCCACCACTCCCTGATCAGCGTGTGAACAAGATTTTCATCAGAACATCTCACCGACTTCGTCATCAACTTAACATTTCAAAACTGAAACAAACAGCTCACTCTCATTTGTTCAACGCATAGTGTACGCTACCTACCGTCGCTCCCACAAGACAATGACCTGATCGGGCCCAACCTGCCCTCACAGCTCACCTTGCGCCATAGGTACGGACCCGTGTTTTGGACCGGAAAAGCCCTGCGGGCTTTCGCCCAAAAACCCAAACAATTAGTATCAACACATGACACTAGTACCATCCGTGTTCAGTACAGCATCGTAAATCATCAGAAGAGCCTCGGCTTCTTCGAATCGCACCAGTTCTCATTGCCACGAGTCATTGAAGCGCATAGATGAGAGCATGAAATATATCGATATGATAGACGCCCAGTAGGTTATGCGTTTATGCCGTACAGTTTCTCACCCTCCACCTTTCCTTTACCTTGAGGTTGACAGAGGCGCTAGTTCACTGGCTGAAACTCACTAGGATTTGAATCCACCACACAATCTCCGGGGATGTTCTCCAAAAATCCAAAGGCTGGAAGAACCAGGCAACCAAAGGCAAGAAGGCAGACATCCACGTTTCACCGCCGTGTATCTGATCTAACATAGAACGGCCCACATACTAAACAACCATCTCCTGAAGATAAGCAGTCCCAGGACGATAATGTGATCCAGCTGCTGGGTATCACTATATCAGCCATCAACGCTACCAAAGACCTTGTGCCTATCGATCTGGCGAAAGGCATCCTTGGAACAATTGCGAACATTTTGACTGTTGCGCAGGTGCGTTGGCCTAATTCTCAGAAAGACTGGTGAAGACCTACGTTTATACAGGCAGTGATCAAGAACAAGTCCGATTTCCAAGCAATAGCTGACAAGTGCGAGACCATCAGGGACATCCTTGAAAGAGCGACCGAGGGTGCTACCAAAGATGATCTGAAAGGATACTTGGGGCATGCATTGACTCAGCTCAACAAGTGCGTCGAACCAGTGTTGCCATCACCAGAATCTGATGACACTGTCCAGATCAGTAAACCGCATCAATAGCGACGTAGAGTCAAAGAAGGAGCAAAGATTTTGGCACAGGCTCCTCTCTGTCACCATCGATCGCGACCGGATTACGAGATGGGAGAAAGACTTGGATGAAGTCCTCATGCTATTCAGAGTATGTTTCTTGAACTCGCCTGAGCTTCTGCTGCTAAGCAATGTCCTTAGACGGAAGCGATTGCTGGCATTGCAATCAGGGTGGACAAGCTGACTTGGGACCCAGGGATAACACTCGTGGGATCAATGACACCCAGTAAGTTGGCATTTTGGCAAGTGATGTGTGGCCTTAACCGTGATCAGGTATCGTCCACCCGCACCTCCATCACGGCCTCCCATGTTTTATGGCCGTGGGGATCTCGTCGCAGAACTGACCAACCTTGTCATCAATGACGAGCACATTGCGTTGATTGGTCCAGGAGGGATGGGAAAGAGTTCCCTTGCCAAAACTATCCTCCACGAGGCAGCCATCATGGAAAGATTTGCCAACAGGCACTACTTCGTGACATACGATGGGATAGATCCCTTCAACCATTACATTTGAAGCTTTCACGACTCGTTTCGCACAAGCCCTTGGCATAGAGCTTTCCGGCGTTAATCCAGTGCAGCAAATATGCGCCTGTCTTCGTTCTGCTAGCGCCCTTGTTGTTCTAGATAATGCTGAGACTTTCGAAGAGGCCGGTGGATCATCAGCGCTCACGGAAATCCCGCAAGCTATTGCTGAAATTGCAGGCATCCCCGGCGTCATTCTGATTCTTACATCGCGTAGTAGAAGGAGTGCACTGAATGTACCATGGATTACCAAGGATATTCCACCACTAGATTCAAACTCTGCTCAAGAAGCATTCTTTCGAATTTACCGTCTAGCCAGTCGTGAAAATGCGGACGGAGGAATAGCAAACTTGCTTCGGGATTTGGAATATCACCCGCTTTCCATCAATCTACTCGCAAATGCTGCACAGCAAAACGGTTGGTCTCCGGCTATACTGCTGGAGAGATGGAAGGATCGGCACAGTGCGGTGCTAGACCATGGCGAGGGAAAGCTACAAAGCTTATCATACACCATGCAGCTGTCACTCAGCTCACCGTCAATCCAGAAACTTGGAGAGAAGGCTCAGCATGCTTTAACTGTCATCGCCTTCTTGCCCCAGGGTCTCAATGAGGCCCTGTCCAAGCGTATCTTGCCATCTACCCTGCAAATCGACGACATATGTGATGTTTTATGGAGGCAATCTCTCGTTTATCGCCAAGGCGGCTTCGTCAAAATGCTCGCACCCATTCGGCATTATGTGCGAGATTCGTTGCCACCACCTGACTCCACATGTTTGGAAGAGATACGCACCTTCTACTATTGCACTGTCCAACAGTGTTCGGCAGAACGAGATGATCATGCTGATATCATTATCTCGGATCACCTCAACATTGAGCATGTTGTTGCTTCGATCTCACCCAAATCCCTGAGGAGACTTATCGCGCTTGCTGGGAATTTGTGCAGTGCTTGACGTGGCATCTTCCTCGCCCAACTACCCTTACCCCCGCTATTTTCAACATCGTCGAGAAGCTCTTCCACGCGATGGCCCAAAGCAGGCTGCTTGTAGCGTCTCGGCTGGCTCAACATGGCTCTTTCTCGGTCCAAAGAAGCCATACAGGCCTTCCAGGCTGCTGAGCCACTCTATCTCACCGTCGGCAACCATGAGATGGTGGCGCGCTGCATTCATCCATGTTCAGACTGTATACGCATGCCAAGGCCGCTTCATTCAATCCCAACAGGTCCTTGAGGACCTCCAGCATTCCGATTCATGGCAACATATCAGCGAAACAACAAGAACCTGTGTTTGGTTTTTCTTGTATAGGGCCAAGATGTTCACGTTCACAACATCTGCCGACGAATTATTTGTGAACTCCTTGGACGAAGACTTCTGGGGATTGCGGTCCAAGATTTGCCACTGGCGGGCCAAACACTTCTATGGGGGAGATATTGTGCAGGTGAAGACGCACTTAGAAAACCTTCTCTTGCAATGCCCAAGTACTGGAGACCTCGATGCCCGCAGGGACGCACTCGAGGCGCTTGCAGAGGTAGCATTTTGCGGAGGCAGGTCATCCGACGCAATGCATCGCCTACAGGAAATTGTAGAGATGTACGAAGGACTTGATCCCAGCGTGGCGCTTTGGTATGCCGTCTGGAAAGGCGTCGTTGTGAGCGAACAAGGGCATCATGACCTTGCGAGAGAGATCATTCACAAAGCCTCCGAGCCCTTCCCATTATGTGCCCTGCCCAGTACAGCCGCATTTCTCCATAGATCTTATGGCTTGGCATGCGTCGAGCTCAACGCAGGCGAGTACGACAAGGCAGTCTCTCATTTCACCGCTACCATTGAAGGTTGTAATATCCAAGGACATCTTGACTTCAAGGCGTTCAGCATACGTGGATTGGGGGAGATTGCCTTTGAGAGAGGGGACTTTGCATTAGCCGTACAGCGCTTTGCAGAGACGCTGTCCTTGTGCACTGAGATGGAGTGTCTCCAAGAAAATTACATGGCATACCATTCGATGCACTGCCAGAAAGATTTAAAGGGTGGACATTGTTTGTGGGAAGGGCATTCACCATTTACGAGCGTTGATATGTAGATGATACACGGTAAGCTGCAAGCCGCAGTTGGGCACAGTATCACGCACGTCGATCCATATGTACTGCCAAATACTACCCTTTGTAGAGTATTAGACAGCCAGTGCGACTCCTACTTCTTGTTGAGCTCCTCTGCCCTCTATGAAGTTCTTCACGACTCTATGAACAGCTATGAGGATACGATGTTTTGAAATGCATCTTAACGAACCAATGGGGCTCGAGGCTATTGACGATGTCCTTGTAAGGCACATGCGGGTCTCGAGCGTGGTAGGCGTAAAACTCGGGCTTGCTGGTCAAGCCCGCATCACACCTGGGCCGCCTGACACAAGTCTTCTGGTTCATTAGATTGCTAGATCAATACTCAGCAAAACTATAGCTAGGGAAAGAAAGCGAAAGCGACCTGCGTACAGCAGGATGAGGAAGGATGTTAAATGTTGCTCCTGCTGTCCCTGTTGGTGACTGGGTGAAGTTGTGGTATCTTTCGTTTGTTGAGACATTGTTACAGGTAGTAATTGGACCACTATGATAGTGGAAAGCGCAGTGTCGCAGCACTTGGGGTGCTCCCCTATATACGCACCTGCGGAGCCAATCGTACGGATGACATCATTCACACGTGACGATTCATTTGACATTAGCAATTGAACGTTGAACGTTAATATGCAACTCTAGATCGAGTCACTTGCGCAGAGAAAGACAAGAGTAAGTAGAATGCTGAAGTATATTTTATTGTACATGACGCATTCCACATCACTTCGATAGCATCATCTTTCGATAGGTCAGGTTTCTGAAAATGAAATACTATGGAAATGCTAACCTTCACAAATTCTGAACCGATGCGACACGATCGACACGTGAGTACAAATAAGTACGATGCAAAAAAGGAAACGAACCATCATAATTGATCTGGCCATCGCCATCGATGTCTGCCTCACGAATCATTTCATTGACCTCAGCTTCAGTCAATTTCTCGCCTAGAAATGGCATTAATTTATATTGATACCTGAGCATCACCACTGACCCAGGTTCATCATGACATGTCTCAGCTCAGCAGGGTTGATATAACCGTTCCCGTCCTCATCAAACACTTTAAACGCCTCTTTAATCTCGTCCTCTCTGTCGGTGTCGCGCATTTGCGCGCCATCATTGTAAGGAACTCTGTGAAGTCGAGGGTACCGTTCCCATCAGCGTCAACCTCGTTGATCATGTCCTGTAGCTCTGCTTCGGTAGGATTTTGACCTATTGAGCGCATCACGGTGCCGAGCTCTTTGGTAGTGATCGAGCCATCGCCATCTACATCGCTTCGGATCAGGTGAAGTAATAATTAACATCACGTTGGTCATACCTATATCGAACAAAGCGAAAGCTTCCTTGAATTCTGTGGCGGGTAAATGAGCGCTGGGATCATCAACGATAACACCAGCGACG